CCATCGGGAGTGTTTGTTATTAGACCATTGCTTTTTTTTTTTCTTCTTGCCTCTTTATTCACTCCTCCCTGCCGATCGTGGTGTCTGTGTGTGGGTGGATTAAACCAGATTACGCCTCAACCTACCTTACCTTAAACGACCTTCGTTGAAGATCTATCTGTTGCTCCGCCCGTCGGTTGAAACCTGCGAGAATCTCATCTTCCTCCTCCTTTCTCCCCATCGCCCTCCCCCCCATCCAATCGACTGGGTGTTCCGGATCTCCCATTTCTTTCCCTTATCAGCCGGCCGTCGCAATGGCTCCTCCACCGCGCCTGCGCATTCTATCAGGTTCGTGCATCCCTTAGTGTGCCTCTAGACGTGAATCATCATCGCCTGGAGCTGTCTGTCTTTTCTCATGCTCCCCCCCTCTCTCTCACTCATCCCCTCCCCCCCCCCCCCCTGAGATCCACTTCGTTGCGTCTCTCTCATCATCCTTCGACATCGTTATTCTCTCCCCCCCATATCCCTTCCATCTCTCCTTCCCTCCGTCTCTTTGAAAACCTACGATGACCCGGAAACTGACAACCGCTTGTATAGTTGGCAGCAATGCCATCTCCGCATTCCTGTCCTGGAGGCTTCAGGCGACAACCTCATGCGATGTGACCCTGGTGTGGAAGTCGGGTTACGAATCGGTCGCCCAATATGGTGTCTCATTCAAGTGAGCAGAGGAAAAGAAGCTGTGGTTTGATGAAACGAATAAATTAAGGCTGATACACGGTTTAGATCCAAGGTCTTTGGCAATGAACGCTTCAAACCCCGTCATGGTACGGTTTCTTCTTTTTTCTTTTCTTTTCTTTTTCTTTCGGCAATGTGCTGACTCTGCTTCTAGTGGTTCGCGCGCCCGAGGAGGCTTCATCGAGAGAGAACGCCTACGACTATGTGATCTTATGCGTCAAGGCATTGCCGGACATCTACGACCTGGCCGCCGTCATCGAATCAGTCGTCACCCCCCAACACACCTGCATCCTGATCAACACCACCCACGCCATCGGCATCGAATCACACTTTGAACAACGCTATCCGACAAACGTCGTCCTCTCCCTCGTCTCGGGTATTGAAATCTCCCAGATCGGACCGGCCGAGTTTGAACACCTCAACTCCACCGAGATTCGTGTCGGTGCCACCTGCAAGAACTCGAATATTCCCAGCTCGATACAGAATGATATGGCTGCCGCTCTGGCCATGACTTTGAGCTCTGGTCAGGTTGATTGTAAGGTTTCGCCCAACATCCGTCAGGAGCAGTTTGATCGAATGATCGGGTAGGTTTTCTTATTTTTTATTTTTTTTCTCTCTCTCTTTTTCTTCTCTTGCTATTCCGCTCAACCTGCTAATGATTCTCAGTCCGATCGCTTTCCACACTGCCAGCGTTCTCTTTGAAACACCAAATCATACACAATTACTGGAGAAGGTCGGAGTCCGGCAAATGGTGTCGGATGTCATTGATGAGCTCATTGCCCTTGCAACCGCACAGGGTTGCTCGTTCCCCAATGACTACCGAGATAAGGTGATTGAGAAGATGATGACCCCCGCGGAATCGAATAGCTTGATGTTTCAAGACTTTCAGGCGAGACGACCCATGGAGGTTGAGACGTTCCTCGGCTCGCCCATCAAATTAGCCATCGAATCCAGCGTCCGGGTGCCTCGGATCGAGACCATGTACGCCATGCTCCATCACATCAATATCGTGAACCAAACCCGACCGCGTCACGGCGACTCACCGCCACCGCCCGTGGTGCTGGCCCAGCCGCCCCCGAGGATGTCCTCGGCCCCGCCGAGACCCCCTATGAACGGGAACATGCGCGCAAGCCGAACAAGTTCCAACATGGGCATGATGCCGCCTCCTGGTCGCCGCGGGCCGTCGATGAGTGGGGGGATGCCCCGGCCTCCGAGCGCCCAGCCAATGCTGGGCCCCAATAGCCAGGGTGGGCGCATGCCCCGAGAGCCCTCGTTGGAAGGGCTGGAGGAATTTAGCCACCTCGTCCTGTACGACGATGCCGGCGAGGGAGGGGTCCCGTCGCAACCCGGCGGCCATCAGCAAAACGGTCATCACAACGGCTACCCGGACATGGTGCCTCATGGTGCGGGCGCTGCTGGTCCCACAGATTTGGCGCTGCGCGAACGGGAGATGGCACTTCGGCGGCGCGAAATGCAGCTCCGGGATCAGGAGATGAACATGCGGCGCAACGGGGGCCCTCGCCGCGGCCCCCCGGCTCGACCAGCGTTTGACGAAGAGGATGAGGATGATTACGTCGACCCAATGGACATGCTGGCCATCCCGCACGTCGACCCGGATAGTGTGGACATGATGAGCATCACGTCCCGTCGGACGCGCAAGGTTCCCAGTGCCAGCCAGATGCGCAAGAACCCGGAGATCTCGATCAACAATCGTCCCGCCTCGTCGTTTAGCCGATACTTTGGAGGGCGGAAACGGGCCAGCGATCGCATCATGCAGGAGATCCCCGGCCTGCACGACTCCCTCATGGACAACCCCATGATGAGCTATTCATCCAACCGCTACGGCGCTGTGGATCGGAACCAGATGGCGGCGGAGTCCCGGGCCAACTCGATGACGGCGAGTCGGATGGGCGACTTCCCCCCGCACCCGTATCCGCAGAGCCGGCGCAACAGTCAGTCGCCCGCCGCCCCCTTCGCCGGTCGGCCCCCCATGGGCCGACCTGCCACCGCTCAGGATCCCAGCCTCGGTCCGCCCCCTAATGGCCTTCCGCGCGGGGGCCATCCCTCCCCGCCAGGCAACATGCGAGCCCCCGTTCCGAGACATCCTCCCGGCCATGGGAACATGGTTGCGCCACAGCAAGTGGAGCAACATTATGGGGTGAGCAACTCGTATCCCACCAAGGACTCCCCAAAGAACAGAAGTCTGACCGGAAGTGCGAGCGCCAGCGCGAAGAGTGGTGATAGTGCAGCCAGTGCCCAGCTCGACTCGGAAAACTCGGCTCATAGTAGCCAGATCAGCCTGGGTGCGCACCAGGCCACCATGCCGGTTCGTTGAATCCAACGCGATCCTTTCCTCCCTTTTGTTTCCTTTTTGGAGAGTTGAGATCAATGCATGACTTTGGCCATTGTCATTTGGATCTACCCCCTACATCCTGTCAACCGGCCTGTGATGAGCTCTCCTTCTCCCTCTCACACATACACATACAATCTCTCTCTCTCTCCCTCTCTAATCCACCCACTGAACGGCCAAGTCGGCGAGAGCCACTTGTGATAATTCTCTGCTGCCTTCTCTTTTACATATATGCGAGGGACATACGGGGATATTTTCCTCCCTTTTTTCCACTATTTTTTTTCCTGCTCATTCTGAATCCGGAGTCAATGGGATATCGCGTCTCTGCATTTCTTTTCCTTTTTTTTTTTTCTCGTCCCCCTTCACGGTCGCACTTGTTTCGTTTACATGAGGTTACTCGAGGATTTCCTAGCCTTGTTTCCTCGTGCTCATATCATACAATCCCATCCATCACCCTCTGGCATTCAGTTTGCCCATCATCAGCGATGCACTATAAACCCCATTTTCCTGCATGACAACAAACTGTATACTACCTGACTGGTTGGCCCCAACTTTTATGAGCCTTTGCAAATGCTGTGTTTCTGCCTCTCCTATTCCTGCGTACCTATCTGACGCCCTCATTTGTCTGCCTTTTTTTCCCCCCTTACTTTACCGTATGTACAAGCTGGACGAGGCTACGGTCGTCCAGCGCCTGTGTGATAAGTGTGTTTTCTTTTTTTTTTTTTCTTCCCTTTTCCTTTCTCTTTTTTGATTCTCTTTGTGGTCTGTCTGGTCTGGCGCATGAAAAAAGAGCGGGGGGATTTGATTTATTCGGGCTGCTTGTCTTGATTTTTGTCTGGGTTGCACTCGCTGGGAAATAATGAGGACGCCGGACGGCAATTACCCATTTCATAGAATTGCATGACCATCCATGAGAACGTACGTAGATTGCCGTATTGTAACTGCTACATAGCTAAGTGTAACGCCAACGTTGGAACACTCCGCGGATGTCACGTGTTGCCCATGTTTATTAGACTTATCAGTTATCTCTTGGGTTCTTTGAGTCTTTTACTTCTGTCCAACAAACACAAACAACACACCAAGGATGCCGCCCAGCCATCAGCACCGACCGTCACATTCCAGCGCATTTGCGCGCCCCTCGATGCTGGCAAGCGGGCCAGCGGCGCAATCTTCTTCTCTAGCAGCCTCCTCGGGATCGAGCATGTCGGCGGCCAAGGCCCGACAGTACACGCACCTGCACGCACAACTGGCGCAGCTGAACGCGCACCTGGCTGATACGGAGAACCTGTTGCGGATGACGGCGGTGCAGGCGGGGGACATGCGGTTTTTGGGCGGGTATGTTGGGGGTTTGTTCATGGGGGCGGCCAAGGTGTTGGGGGAGGAGGGGGTGAAGGAGGAGGGTGCTAAGGAGAAGGAGGGGGGTGTTAAGGAGGAGAGTGAATGATAGGCAAAAAGGGTATGTTTTTTTTCCCCCCCTCTCTATTTACTATGCTATTGATCTATGATCTAACTGTCTTGTGTAAGTTATTCGACTACAAATGCGCCGCCGAGGAGAATAGCCGGTTCGTCAATGCTATGGTGCTCATAACTGAACAGATTAGCAAGGCTACTTGCAAGTTGCAAGTTGCAAGACTGCAGGTGACTTACCTCAACGTCCCCACACCTCCGGCTTCCAATATCAACGCGGTGCCCGTGAGCGGTTTACCCATCCAGCGCATGGCAAAGGCACGCAGGATGTGCCCGTGGGCGACGACGAGGACGTCGCCGGAGGAAGAGTCGTCGCCCTGTTCTTGGAAACAGGGCCGGTGGTATTTCTCGCGGATCTCGGCGATCAGGGCATCGAGACGGTCGATGACTTGTTGGGGGGATCTAAACATTATTAGCATCCAACAATACCCAGCTCTTCTTTTTCTTTTTCTTTTTTTTTTTTTGAATGCTTGTCTGCTTACTCCCCCCCCGGACATCCGTCCTCCCAGATATCCCAACCCCCTTCGCCATTCTGTCGTCTCTGTTCCCTGATTTGCTTGCTGGTCAACCCCTCGTAGTCACCGTAATCCCACTCACGGATTGCCTCGGTGATCTGCACGCGCGCCTCGGTGCGGATAGGCGTCTGTACAGCCTGGTCTACCCATGGCAATCGTTCACGACATCCAATCTCGAGGAGTTCCAGCGTTCGTTGGGCTCGAGTGCGAGGCGACACAAACCTATTAATTAGCAAAAGAAGAAGAAGAAGAAGAAGAAGAAGAAGAAGAAGAAATCGGTTTATTTTCTTGGGAGAGATACACATGAACCAGCTTCTTCGGACAGATCAATCGGTCGTCGCCGACAAGTGCCTTGCCCGTGGCCTTGACGCGTTTCTCCCCGTTCGCCGTGAGGGGGAGATCGGTCGTGCTTGTGTGTCGGCCGTTGAGCGACCATTCGGTTTCGCCATGGCGGACGATGAAGCAGCGGGGGGTCATTTTTCTTTCCTAGGATTAAAGAGAGTGTACACTTAGTAGCTCTAAGGTAGAGAGAGTGTGTGTACACTGACTGTACTGACTTAAAGTTATGTTCTGTTTGAGTTTACCCCTCGATCTTACCCCTCCTACGTCACAGTCACTCATCCTTCTGTAGATAATACTGGTTTTATGACTGGTTATATGAATGATAGACATGTTTATGTTATGATGGTAAATAACTTATCATTACCAGGTAATTAAGTAGTTCTCAGTGGTAATTACCTTCAATATCAAGTCTACAACCAGCACCATTACCAGTAGATAAATAGATAAGTGGATAAGTGGTAACGTCAAGCATAAGTTAGACGAGTATAATAGAATAAATCTTTCCTAGCTATTGTCTACTAGGTAGTTATGTGGCACTGTAAAGGTAGTAGATGCATCACGTGATATCAACCATCAGATTCAAGATTGAGACTGAAGATTCTCTCTGTGCACTGCACAGCATCAGAATGCCCCGCGGCAAAAACGTCAGAGATCTGGCCCGTCTGTCGGGCAGGCCGCTTGCCGAGACGCTCGAGAGATCCAGCGTGACGATCAAGTCGGAAGAATGGCTGACTGCCTCAGACCTGCATGAGCCCGGTCTGCAGTTCACGCCCGAGGCCATCCACGGCATGGAGATGTACCTGCTGGCGAACCCGAACATGAACTCGAGCCATCTGTTCCGAGCAGATATCCTGCTCGACAGCTGGGGGGTGTTGAAGACGCCGCGTGAAAAGGAACAGCAGTTTGCAGGCAATGCCATCTCGAACCGTGCAGGCGACGAGACCGAGACCGAGACCGACCCGGTCGAGCCCCTGCCAGTCAAGGAGATCCCGGGGTTCAAGCACCAGAGAACGATTGTCCGAAGGCTCATCCCGCGGAATATAAATCTGGATAAGCCGCTAGACCAGACGTGCCATTTCTACGAGTCTGGCGGGACGCCCAGGAAACAGATGTTGGTCATGTACAGGCCGCATGTCGAACAGAAGGAGGATCTGCCCTGGTATCATCCTGTGATCAGGGCTTGGGCGTCTCTGTACGATTACACATATCCGTCTGAAGAAGATGGCCCTGGCTGCGGCACCATGTCGGTGCACTTTCTCCCGTACGCTTCCGAACCGATATCGACCCGTCTGGAGCGTATACTGTCGGCCCTCCTCAACGCGCAGATCCGACTCGCGCGACTGACGCCGCCGTCGCCGTCGTCGTCGCACCCCCCCGACGAGACGGGCAACTCCAATCCCATCAAGGATAATATCATCCCGAAGCATCTCGTCCAAAACACGTACGCCCGACTCAAGTGCACGTACGCGACCGAGCTGTTGGAGAAATGGGTGGAGGAGACCGAGCCGGAGAAACATGTCTTTGAGGACCTGCTGATCACCGCGTTTCTCATCGAGCTCTGGCGGAACATGTACGGTGTTGCTCCGTCGTCAGAAGAAGAAGGAGAAGAAGAAGGCCAAATGCGGCTAGAGAACAGCTTCCCCGGCTTTGTGGATATCGCCTGCGGCAACGGCGTTCTAGTCTACGTCCTCTCGCAAGAAGGATATTCGGGCCGCGGCTTCGACGCCCGCCGCCGCAAGACATGGGACATCTTCCCCGACCAGATCCAGGCTCGTCTCCAGGAAGCAGTGTACATCCCGCCGCCGTTCGTCGAAGCCGTCCGCAAGGCCGGAAACGACGAGCTGCTGCGCGACCTGGAACAGCACGTGGAGATCCATCCGGGCGTCTTTCCACGCAACACCTTCATCATCTCCAACCATGCCGACGAACTGACCGTCTGGACCCCGCTCATGGCAGCCCTCTCCTGTCCGGACTCGCCCTCCCCGTTCCTATCGATTCCCTGCTGTTCGCATTCTCTTTCGGGAGCACGCTACCGCTACCCACCTCCCAAATTGACGAAAAAGCAGCACCATTTAGAAGAGAACGAACCGATAGACGACGGTTCACATGGCGATTTGAAAGCCCTCCGAGCTCGCAAACAGCTCGAAAGGACAGACGCCGGAATGCACAGCTCCATGTACGGCACCCTAACGGCTAAGACGATGGCGGTCGCGCTCGAAGCAGGCCAAGACGTCGAGAAGACCATCCTTCGTATTCCGTCGACGCGGAACTTGGGTGTCGTCGGGGGTAGGAAAAGGGTTATCCAGCAGTATAATCATAGGCAGGCCGGGGTCTCTTCGAATCAAGAGATTCATCAACCCGCTGCTGGCCGTCGAGTCGATCTTCTTCGCCCGATCGAGGAGATTGTCCGTCGTGAATGTGCGCGGGAAGGTGGCGTCCTCGCCGCGGCGCTCATCTGGATTGAACGTGTGAAGAAGTTGCATGTTGGCCAGGGCAAGGGGAACCAACCTGGATCGTCGTAGACATCTGACTCACTGGTCTGCATTTTCATGTGATGCAATGTACATATCACAAACTTTATACGTCTCTCATGTCTATATTATATTCGCTAATTCAGGAGATGGGATATACCACGTCTTACTGTACAACGGTTGTCTATTTCGCTTTGAGAAAAAAAAAAAAAAAAAACAGGAGACACTACGCGCCAACGGCCTCTTCAGGTGCAGCCTTGTCCTTCACAAACTCCTTTGGTGTTGCGGCTGACTTTGGCGCCGCCGGGTCAAATGCAGCCTGGCGAGCCCCGACAGCGCCTGTGGTGGTGGTGGTAGTGGTGGTGGTCGTAGGTTTCTCACGCAGCCGTTTCAGTCGGTCCATGCGGCCTTCACCCGGTAACCCGCTCCAGACCTGGTCGATCGAGTCTGCACGCCAGTTCGACCGGCGGAGGCTATTCCGGTCCGCAAAATTGCTCATTGGCGCGCCGGCGCCGCCGACGCCGGCTTCCCCCCACATACGCACGCGTTGGAGCTTCCGCAGCTTCGCCAGGCCGTACACGCAGACAACGGCAGTGACGGCGAAGCAAACAGCAGAGACGACGCCGAACCCCAGGTTCGACTCCTCGATGAAGTTCGTCAGATTCATCCCGTACAGCGCCGAGACTAGGGTCCCCGTCGCGAGCCCAAGGGTACCAATGCTGACTTTCAGATCGAGGAGCATGAGCGAGTTGCGGTTGGCATCCAGGATGGCTTTCACGCTTGTGATGGTTAGCAATGTCACCCGGTTAAGAATGGGGCCGTCAAGACAGTAATTAAAGGACTGGCAAAACTCACACTTCTTCGGTATTGCGAATGCCAGTGACCAGATTGCCGCTCATCTGGACAATCTCATCGCATACTTTGTGATAGGATTCCAGCAGCATTTCGACTTCCTGGTGATCGTCCTCTTCACGTTCGATACCATTGGTTCTCTCGCTCAGATACATCGAAGCCAGGTCGTCGTCCGCTTCCAGGAGATCCTCGATGGCATCGCGCACGAGCCGGGCCTTTTGCTCAAAGGTGCCCAGCTTCTTGGAGTAGACCAGGAGATGGCGCAGCAAATCGCGGTCGATATCTTCTTCCAGCGCACGAAGAACGCGCACCACCGGTTCTCTGATTCCATTAAATTCCTCTTCAAGACCCGTTGTCACGCTGATCAGGACGGCTTCAAGCGCTCGGAGCTCGTAGGGCAGCGCACCGGCCCCTTGCTGTTTCTGCCGTAGTTTCCCCTCCAGATCATAGATGAATAGAGATTGCATGTACGAGTCGGTGGATCCGTACGCATCGAAGACCAGCACGCGGTCCGCCTTGATAAGGACGCGGAGGTGCAGCAGGTTGATCAGAATCGCGCTGGGACGCACGAGAATATGCGGTAAAGTAAAAGAATCAATCTTGCGGAGATCCCGAGGGAGTAGTCCATACTGTTCAAAGAAAAAAAAAATTAACTGCCTGCAAAAGAACCAGAAAGTTGGGCAAGTCGTCAAACCTTTGCGATGAGTTCGCTCTTCCTAAACTCCCCATTAACCAACGTCACATTCCCATTGTTATCGAATTCCGTGCATCGTAGCCGCGGCTCATTCAATGCCTTGGCTGCTAAGCTACCTCGTCCAGCGCTGAAAAGACTCCCATCCAGTCCGTCGTCAATAAGTGTCGGGCCCGCTGATTTACGCTGATTGACGTCTTTCGCCGCGCTCTTGTTGGATCGCAGGTCGAAGATCCGCCGAAGAAGGGGACGCTGCCGAGTCGATGCATTTCGACACTGCTGTATAGAACGTATTGTTCGGGGGTTTGTCGCCGCCAAACACTGTACATTCAGGCGACTGGGCAGAACGGTAGAGGTTGTAGCCCCCGGGGTTGTCGTCGTATCCAGACGTGACCAACTAGACGGATCACGTACTACCAACGAACATGAGGACAACTGGCGTGTCGATTGCGGAATCGGTCTATGCAAACCCGTACACGTCGACGAGGAGGGTGAGGTACACAGCGAGTCGGACTGGTAGCGTAGGAACCGAAGTAGCGATGCCGAGGGCGCCGACCTTTTCAGAGGTGAGGAAGACAGCATGGCTGCCTATAGAGCGGGGAGAACCGATCGATTGATCAATATCATCTGCTCCGAAAACGACGAGGTGGGAAGATGGCTAATGCTTATGGCCGTTGTGCTTCCCATCGTCTCTTTTTTTTCTGACAGAGCGCTCAACGTCGTGACGATACGGGGATAACGACGCCGGAAGAATAATGTTCCGCGTCACTTATCTGGATGCTTGAGATAGCCACGGAGTATATAGTAACGAGATGAGCCTTTCGAGAATGAAGAGGTAATGGACTATGTATACATTATAATCTCTACATGGTAGGCGCTTCAAAATCAAGGTGTCTCGGGTTACGACTATTGCTAGGCTAGAGTATGTCCAAGTAATGTGAATGCTCAAACCCATCGCTCCAGCAACATGCAATGGTTCGAAGCAGACTTTTTCCCGCAAAGAGCTCGTTCAAAGAGGCAAGAGACGCATGACGAACACCGGATATCTGGGCAAGAAGCATAAAGTATCAACTGAGCTCGGAAGACCCCCACCCCCCAAACAATAGAGAAGAAGAGAAAAGGAAAAAAAGGAAACCAGAGCGAAGGGGAAAAAAAAGAGTGGAAAGCAGACGAAAGAGAACGAGTCGAACTGCGAAGTAGTTAATCCCAGTCGTCGTTGTCGTCCGCTTCGTCATCTAGATGGCAATGAGACTCTGTAACATTATGTGAGGAAGAGGTTGGAAATGACTTACCACTGCCGCTGACCTTCTGCTTTCGTCTATCCAACGCTTCTTTCAAAGCCGCAAGGCCACCCCCAGGCGCACCTGCACCATTAGTAGAAGCAGATGAACCGTTCGCATTACCGGAAACAGCCGCTGCGCTGCGATCTTTCTTATCAGAGTCTTGAACTTTGCGCAGGCCACTGCCGCCCTTTCCTCCTGAAGCTCGGATCGCAGCCATAAGGTCATTCCTTCCACCACTGGGCGCAGGCAGGGATGGAGCAGGCGCGCCTGGAGGCGGTGGTGGCGGCGGCGGTCCACCAGGCCCAGCTCCAGTGACAGGAGGGGGAGGAGGAGGCGGCGGCGGCGGGGGGCCGGAGCCTGAAGGTACTGGAGGAGCAAAACCTGGAGGCGGAGGCGGCGGAGGGGGTGGAGGGGGTACAGCACCCGCTGAAGGGGGAAGCGGGGGAGCAGAACCGAAAGTCGGAGGTGGGGGAGGCGGAGGAGGTGGTGGGGGAACAGATCCTGAAGTAGGACGCGGAGGCGGAGGTGGAACACTCGGGGCCGAGGGAGGTGGAGGAATTGGACGAGAGATAGCGGGGGGAGGAGGGATATGATGCGGCGCCTGGTTTCTAAGGGGAGGCGGCGGAGGCACAGCGGACGGCGCTGCGCCATTGGGGATCTTGGGAGGAAGCTGGGGAGGTGCCGCCGGGCTTAGCGTCCGAGGAGGAGGTGGCGGTGGGCCTCCGGGAGTAGGTCGACTTGGAGGAGCTGGAGGGGCGGAAACCTTCCGCTCACCTGTGAAGGGAGGCGGCACGCCGAACTTGTGACCATTGCTTTCTTCAAGGGGAGTTTTGGCAGGCCGTGGAGGCGGAGGCGGGCCAGCTCCGGAGACGGCTCGTGGACGAGCAGGTGGTGCAGGGCCGGCTGTATGCGCATATTTCCCGGCGTCGGCAATAGGAGGCGGCGCTCGGAATATTTCTCGTGGCGGGGAGGGCTCCCGCGGCGGAGGGGGGGCTAGATCCTCTACACTGTCCGGCCGAAGTTTGCGTGACGGGGGAGGAGGCGGTGGTGCGCCTCGTCGTCCACCACCGCTGCTGCCAGTATTCTGAGGGCTGATGGCACTCGCCTTGAGGGGGGGAAGCGCTGACGGGGGAGGTGGAGGCGGCGCTTTTCCTCTTCTCTGATCCTCAGCCGGCGTCGAGGGAACCTCCGCAGCACTTTCGACTTGTTTCTGCTCAATATATGCCTTGATGAAATCGGAGTTTTCGGCGATCTGGTCTTCTGTAATACCCATCTGACGGAGCTCATCGAGGAGTCCTCTCCATGACGGGTCGTTTGTGTCGAAAGGCAACTCTTTGCGAGGTGGGCTGCTGGGTGGAGGGGGAGGCGCCAGTGGTCTTGAGACTGCCGGGGCTTCCAACGGGGCCGGGGCCAGAACTGGAGCTGGAGCTGGAGGCGCACTGTGCGTGGAAGCTGTACGATGCCCATGCAACAAACTACCGAATAGCGAGCGCCCGATACCCTTGCCATTAGCAACAGGAGCAGGACCCTGTCCTCTGGTCGATGCAAAGGGGGTTTGCTTGGTCTCCTTGCTGGAGTGCTTCTCTCGCTCGTTGAATTTCTTGATAAACGTCTTCGCCTCCTTCTCATCAGTGAACGACAGACCGGCCGGGCAATCTTCGGTCTCGAACGTGTGGAAAAAGGTACGGTCCTGGTTGTAGGCAAAATTTTCGTAAATTTCTTGGTCCCAGATGACCCCTCTGCTAGCAGGCTGTAGCCATGGCAAAAAAAAAAACAAAGAGTCAGTGGTATGATCTATGGGAGTGCGGAGACATGGCCACCACCTACCGACACGTCGACCAGTTTCAACCACCACGTCCGCCCAACGAGATCATTGGCAAGCACAATAGCACCCTGGAGTCCCGTATACGTCCATCTCTGCGGATCCGGATAGGCGACATATAGTCGCGCAACTGCTACGGCGAGGATCTTGTTCGAAGGCTTGGACACGTTCCGCTTGACGGTTTCTTTATCGGCATCGGTGAGAATGGACGGCATGGTGAATCGCCCAGTCTGATATTAGATGAGATCACGGACGCAAGCTCGGAGACACTATTTAACGCTGCGAGGCTGCCTGGACGCGCATTGCAGACCGAAAGCGCAGTCACTCGTCACTCTCCAGGCAGAAAGAACAGTCAATGATTAGCGCGACGAGACCGGAAGAGAGGCTACTGACGAATAAAACAGTAGCAGAGCAGTTGCAAATAACAAGCAGTAGCAAAAGAAAGAATTTCAGACTGGCTGGCCTTCTGTAAGAGACGTTGCCCTGAAAGTGCCGGTGTTGCAGTCAGCAGTAGGAGGTAGTTAATCGGTTCAGTCGGAGGAGGGAGGCACGGGCGGTGGGGTTCCTGTCGTGACGGTGGTTAGGTGGAGTTGCCGAGTTCCTCCTCCTCCTGTTGTGTCCTCGAGTGTCATCTTCTTCGCAAATTCTTGGTTTTTCTATCGCTACTTGCATAGTTCAGATCTGGGGGGGTTGAACCTGGACTCTACTACCATTATGGATAACAAATAGGGCCGCGGGGGATTGGTACCGCTTGCTGGCTGCCTGGAGAGGTCTGCTGAGGCGAGCCTGTAGGACCACGGCGGCCCAAAATGCCCCCAGAAACTAAAGAAGCGTTGCTCCTATTGAATCTCGCCAGGAGACTAAGTGCCTTGTCGTTGCTTCTCGAAGAAAATCCTTATTTTCCGTGGTCTCGTGCGCTGTCGTGGAGTCCTCGTTTGTGAGGAGGCCAGATCGACGTCATCCGAACCGTGCCACCAAATGAACGTCGATCTATATAAATAACAGAACCTGATGCCTACAACTTCTCCAAGGCCTCCTTTCTATACCCCCCTTATCAATACTAGTATCCAAAGGTACTTCCCTGTGTGTAGGATTTATTCTTCTCTTCTTCTGTTCTTCATTTATCGAGCCAGAATGCCTGTGATCGCTCCCGACGCTTCCCCCTTCAAGAAGAACGACAGCGGCTCTTCCACCCAGCAAAAGAGCGAGACGAAGAAGGCCCACGCAATGGACCACATATCCAAGGGACCTGCCATTCCCGAAGGTGGGCTATCATCTTGATGGCAGCGAGCGGTGTTCAGGAGCTGATCCGAGTAGAAATGCCGCCCAAAGCATCTAAGGAAGAGATCGACGCACGCATGAAAGAACTCAATAAGAAATAGGTCTCTGTTGTATACGATCGCTTGTATTCAATTAATTGCCGTTGTCGTGTAATATATCCTTGCTTTTTTTATTTAGTACCAAAGCACATATATCTATGCGAGTGCTCCATGTCTGTAGTTGGATGGAAAATGTCTTTATAGCATCCCTAATCAGTTCCGATTGTAACTCATAGGTATAAGTGACTTTCTTCAAGCAAAGACAATTTCTTCCATTCGCTCAGCTGTAAGTCTTTTAGACATGTAGGTGTAGTTCCTCGACGAGTTTTATCTATATGTCAGCTAAAACGGAGGAATTCTCTAATAAGCGTTGAATTCCAAGACCCAAACTTATTGATAGCATATCGCCTTCTTTCCCGATATACTCGATTTAGAGCTACCTACAAATGAGTTGCCAAGATCAATTATATTAGGTCCCTAGGTAGTCAATAACCACCAGGTAAGAACGCTTATAAGTTATGACATCATATACACCACGTGACCTCGCGACGACATTCACGGCCGCTCCAGGCGTCAGACTCAACAGCGCGTCAACGGCTCCCCATGCCACCTGAACGCGCGAATCCACCGGTGAAGCTGTCCCTGCCACTGGTGAGTGACACCTGAAAGCCTTCTTTAGTGTCATAAATAATCCAGTCCTGCTGATAACGGTCCACAGCAATACCAGCAGGACATCTTCACCGAATTGCGTGTGGAAGATGAGCTGGTCATCCTGGCGCGCGGCCTGGGGCTGCTGCGCCTGGTCACGAACTTGCTTCATTTCTACGATGCGGCGGGGAACAATTTAGTCTTGATTGTTGGGGCTGATGATCGGGAGAATGAGTGGATTGGAGAAGGTAATCTGGCCGGAGCAGAAACCATGAAACGGTATATATAAGTTATTGAACCGTTGATTGCTGACTTTCCCAATAGCATTGGCAGAACATTATGCCATTAGCAAGACTCCCCTTGCACGGGGTTTAAAAGTGATCAACACTGAGAGGGCATCGGTTCCAATGCGGTATGGCCATTGTTGATATCGAATAATTCGACATGGTACTGATCATGGTAGAGAAAAGATATATGCTGAAGGAGGTATTCTGAGTGTGACATCCAGAATCCTTGTTGTGGACCTATTATCAAGTATGTGTTTTGCTTTGCCCTCGCGTGGGTCGAATGTCAACTAATCGACTGCCCAGAGCTTCTTGACCCTGAGAAAATCACTGGGATGTTGGTATTACATGCAGAAAAGTAAGTTTCAATATAGGATCAGGTCCTTAACTACAGATTATTGATCGGGTATTAGGGTTGTGGCAACCTCACTGGAGGCGTTCATCGTCCGAATATATAGACAAGCCAACAAGGTTGGCTTTCTGAAGGCCTTCTCGGATTCCCCAGAGCCTTTCACTACGGGCTTCGCACCTTTGGCAAACATGATGCGGAATCTGTTTCTGCGGAAAACATCATTGTGGCCTCGCTTCCATGTTACGGTTGCCGAATCTCTCGAAGGACATAGAAAAGCAGAAGTGATTGAATTAGAGGTTCCGATGAATGACAAGATGCGGGAGATCCAGAACGCCGTTCTGGAATGCGTGGAAACAAGCATCAGTGAGTTGAAAAAGTCGAACACGGGTCTTGATATGGAAGAGTGGACGCTAGACAGTGCTTTGCACCGAAATTTCGATGTCTCAATCAGACGTCAGCTCGATCCCATCTGGCACCGGGTCAGCTTTAGGACCAGGCAGATTGTTAGCGATCTCACAGACCTCAGGGCTATTCTGCAGTAAACATATTAAATTTCTTATCCCTCGTGGTCTATACTGATTTTGATCGCAGTGCTTTACTTACTTACGACGCGGTATCCTTCGTGAAATATCTCGATACGATTGTTGCTGCACACTCGCCGCCTCCAGGGTCAACAAAGCACAATTACTCGCCCTGGCTTTTCCTTGATGCGGCCCATGCCCTCTTCCAAACGGCAAAATCTAGAGTTTACCAGGGGAGGTTAACAAACGACATGGCTCCATCATTGTCAACTTCTTTCTCCGCCACTCTGCAGCCAGTCCTCGAGGAACAACCGAAATGGATCGTCTTAGCCGATGTCTTGGAAGAGATTGAACGTGACACATATTTTAATCCAACTCCTGCTGAAGAGTCGAATAGTGTGATTTTGATCATGTGTTCTGACCAACGCACCTGCCGCCAGCTTAGGGAATATCTCGCAACCATGCACACGCAGATAGATTCAAATTTTGATGAACAGATGGAGAACACAGATGGTATCTCAGAACCAAAGGCTTCTGCTGGGATTTTCTTACGTAGAAAGCTACGGGAGTACCTGAACTGGAAGGGTACAGTTGCGAACATCAACAAGAATCTGTCAACGACTCCCAACACGCCGGCTGGCAAGTCCAGAGACTCATCTGCACCTCTGAACCCACATCAAGGAAGACCTCCACCAAACAAGCGGCGCCGTGTCCGTGGTGGCGGTACAACTGCTCTGGTACCAGCACGCGCACCAAACACCAGCGTCCAGACCGAGGTGGAACTCCCCGGTCAAGTATCGGGGCTGCTCGACGAAATCCAGCCTACCGCAGCCGAGGAGACGCAAAAAGACGAGATTGTCATTGATGATTTGGAGAACATGGAAGATTACTACGAACTGTATGACATGAATGACTTGATCATGATACATCCTTTTGACGGCGATATGGATGAGCATATCCTGGAGGAAGTTCGGCCTCGATACATCATCATGTACGAACCGGATGCTGCATTTATTCGACGAGTGGAGGTCTATCGCAGTTCTCATGTCGGGCGAAATGTGAGGGTCTATTTCATGTACTACGGGGGCTCTGTAGAAGAACAGAGATATCTGAGCGCTGTTCGACGTGAGAAGGACGCTTTCACGAAGCTCATCAAGGAGAAAGGGGTAGGTCATTATGAACTTGATAGCAAAAAAACAACCTCCACTAATACGTTCACAGAACATGGCTGTTACAATCACACACGACAAGAGTGCTGAAGATCCGCAAGAGCAATTCCTCCGCACGGTCAACACACGTATTGCCGGTGGTGGTCGGTTGGCTGCCACCTCCGCGCCGCCGCGGGTAGTGGTGGATGTTCGCGAGTTCCGAAGTGCTCTCCCCTCTCTGCTTCACGGCAATAATATAATCGTTGTTCCCTGTCAGTTGACAGTGGGTGACTACGTCCTCACGCCGGATATCTGCGTTGAGCGCAAGTCTGTCCGCGATCTTATCTCGTCTCTGAGGAATGGCCGATTATACAACCAGACCGAGACCATGCTACAACATTACAAAACGCCCCTCCTCCTGATCGAGTTTGATCAGAGCAAGTCCTTCACATTTGACGCCTTTGCTTCCGCCGTGAACCCGGGCGCTAGCTTCTTCACGGACTACGGCTTCTCGTCTGCTGGTGTCGGGACGTCCCTCCCTACAAGCAGCTCGTTGGCCAACCCGCTGAATCCCAAGTCTCCGCAACATATGCTCGTCCTCCTGATGACCGCTTTTCCCCGGCTCAAAATCATCTGGTCCTCGTCCCCCTACCAGACAGCTGAAATCTTTGCCGAGCTGAAGAAAAACAACCCAGAGCCAGACCCTATACGAGCCGTCCAGCTCGGCCTGGATATAGATATCGGTACCTCCTCGTCAGCATCGGCAGGCCGAGGCGCAGACGTCATGGCTGCCACGGGCATCGAACATCGTATTTTCAACAAGCTGCCACAAGATATGCTATCTGCCGTGCCCGGTGTCACACCGCAGGCGCTCGAACGACTGATTCTGGAGACGGGGAATGTTCACGAAATCGCAAATATGAGTGTCGAGCAGCTTGATCCATTAGTTGGCAAGGAGGTTGCAAGAAAGATCGTCGGGTTTTTCCGCAAGAGTGTCTTCGAAGACTAATAGAGTCAGAATATGTATGTACCATCTACGAGAGAATACGATATCAAATCCATGATCTCCGTAATTCTTTTTTCATGATTCTAATACAGAATACTTTTTCAAGGCGTTAAAAAAAAAGTGTTCGGGAAACCTAGAAGGAAGAGCAGAAAAACAAAATCGCTAACACAAAACGCGCAGCATGCGGCGGTCTCATCTTGCGCGTCGCAACCCATTTCTCTAGAGGACCCCTCACGGCCTGCATCTATGACAAGAAAGAAAAAAAGGAAGAAGCACAGGGCTGTACTGTATCCTGATTCCCATCGCATGCATTCACGGGGTCCACCTTGTCTAATGATTCATACCCTGATTGGAAAGCGGGGGAGCGATGAGCCCTGTGGTGGCGGGCCGAAGGCCTGATGTTCTTGAATCACCCATTCGGAGAAGGAAGCGGCGTGGGAGGGACACTTCCCAAGTGGCGAACTTGCGTAGTCTTTCCCAACGGGTAATGTGGATTTGGCCACGACGCGGCACCGAGAGGAAGGGCTGGTGTAAAGATCCAGGGGGCTTTCGCAGGGTTGAATCGCAAGGATTTTGAGGGGTTTAGAGCTCGTCGACATCGATCTCCTTGTCGTCTTCGCTCTCGTCACGGTCTTCGTCGAACTCGACGTTGTCCTCGAAACCTTCGTGACCGTAGGTGTCGGTTTCGTTGATCTTGGCGTGCTCAGGAAGCTCGCCATAGGCCTTCAGACTTCTGGCCTCATCGGCGGTGTACTTGAGGATGACATCGCCCTTCTCGTCCTGGTAGTCGCGAAGCGAGAGGAGGATGATGTCGCCCTGGTTGATCCAGACCTTCTTGCGCAGCTTGCCACGAATGTGTGCCAGCCGCTTCTCGCCATCAAAGCACATGGCCTCCAGGCGGCCGTTACCCAGCATCTTCACAACCTGCGCATATTCCTGACCTTCATCCTTGAAGGTGAGTTCACGCTTCTCGTTGTCGTTCTCGTTCTTTCCACGACGCCTGTTCTTACCACCCTGTAGTCGGACTGTTAGTGATTTTGTTCATATAACCGGGAAAACGCTTTCAAGTATGCAGCAAATGCATTCTCAATCTCGAGAACCCTTGCAACACCCTTTTTCTCTCAAAAAACCGTTGAGTTGAACCAAAGCGAGGCAATTTTCAATTTTGCAATAACTCTCATGGTGGGGTGCCAAACAAAGAGGGGTCAGAATCTTACTTTTCCCTTATTCTTGGGCATTTTGGAAAACCACTAGCCGGTCAAGCGTGTCTTGTAGGCAGTAGTAAAAATCCTCTATGGGAAAATATCCTCGGACCACACGAGGACTAAGGTTGAGAGGTTGGTTGTCAGGGTGGACGGGGTGATGCGTTGTGAGTAATTTTAAGGCCTTATATGTCTGGTGGGGTCAAGGTGGCGTAGTGCCTCAGGCTCGCCACATGCATGTCCCGCCAATGATACGTTTGTGTCTGCCTTCACCGCCTGAGATGGGAGTAGGTACCTGAGGCAAGATTCTCAATGTTCCTGGTTGACCAGTTACTACCTAGGTAGTTATATTTCTTCAATTCTTGTCGAGCTGTGTTAATAATCGAATTTTTTGCTTCTCATTCCATTCACTCATTATTTTTTTTAATATCTTTTAACCATAGAAGTCTTTCCATCTAATATACCCGCAAGGTTCCAGATCGGAGGCTGATCTGAGTGGATTTAATGACCCTACTGGCAAGACTCGTTGCTTCAGATATTCACAGTACATAATATATCAGAGTCCCTTTACAAGACCAGGGATCTTTCCACCACAATCCAACATGAAAAGGGTCATGACAACGAGAATATTCACCTTACTCTACTCACCCGAGCCGATAATACCAGCGGTGGCTCAGCGCTATCTTACCTCACGATACAATCCTCTCCGTCCGAAGCTACAACATTTGTACGATAACCGAGACCCGAATACCCTGTGGTGGAGACTGGCTACAAGACCGATACTGGACAGGAAACGAGTGGTGCGGTCGTGGTGCTCGAGGAGAATACGCATCGCCTTTATTCGAGCCTTGAAGAACCAAGGCTACGACCGAGATGGCAGAAAAATTGCTGACTTTCCACAAAAAGGAGATCCACGGGGCAAGCCCGGCATTGTAGGCTCAGCCACCCTACTGGTATTTCCAGAAATCCAGAAGGAGAGCATGGCCCACGTTCAGCAAGATGTTAGTCGCGCGGTGGCTGCCATGATCAAGGCAGCGAAAAAGTATGACCAGCTGAGATAGAAATGTAGAGAGTGCAAGATGATGCTGGCCATCAGCATATATATGTATTTTTTTTTCATGTATAAATAGTAGTCTAGTTAATGCTAAATATACCATTGTTATACTGTCATATTCCCTTTCCGTTTTAGCCCTTGGCGCTCCGCTAACTGCCGACCTGGCAGAAAGAGAACGACAGAACATCAACATCAACATCATTACCTCTCAGCATTCTACGCGTTGTATATACGGCATCGAACGCCGGGACTCCTGGGGTGCCAATACATGTCCCTCATTTGACTACCTTCGTTGTCTGCTACTTTCCACGATGTTGGTCTCCTTGACAGTCGGCAAGGTGGACGCTGGCGTCGCCGTACTCCTGACGCAGGATAACCGCCTCGTAAGCTCTCCTTTCTGGTCGCATATCATCACATCGCCTCTTTTTCCGGGTGCAGACAATATCAGCCACTTGTAGTGTGGAATAGATATTTTGGGGGAGTTTGATCCCACTACTAGGATGTGATTGTTGACTCTTAAGGCTTGGTAGATCGAATTTCCTTCTGTTCTTCTTCCGAACAATATTTCCTCGGGCAGCATCGTCGATATTACCGTGTCGCGCAACCATGCTGCTGAGACAGCCAGCGCATCGGCATTCCAGGCTCTCCAGAAACGGATCCTTAGTACCTACGGTGTCAAGGCGCCCTCGTCACCCGTGCTTCGCCTTCGCAATGCGACTCAGACATCGCTAGTGCTGGAGTGGGATCCGATCGATCTAGCAACTGCTTCTCTCAAATCGCTCTCGCTCTACCGTAACGGCTCCAAGGCCGGAACGATCCCGCGACCCCTTGAGACCCGGAGCACGAAGATCAGCGGCCTTGCGATTCACACGGAATACACATTCTACCTGGTGCTCCGGACTTCCGCAGGCACCTATCAATCTGAGAAGCTGACCTGCCGAACCCACAAGATGACAGACCTTTCTGGCATCACGGTCACTGCAGGAGTGATTCATCCACAGCAGAAAGAGGCTCTTGCTGCCGCTCTGGATCGCATCGGTGGCAGGCTGATTGACACCGTCCGCATTGACACCACGCACTTTGTTTGCACGGAAGGCAGAGGCCCGCTCTGGGAGAAGGCTGTGGAAATGAACATTCCTGTTGTCCGGCCCGAATGGGTAGATGCATGCGAAGCGGAGGGCACGATTGTCGGGGTTCGGAGCTACTACATGGACGCAGACCCAAAGACCAGACACTTACGGCCCACGAGCATCGTCTCGCAGCACCAGCATGCGGCGTCGACTACCTCTGTCGCAGCAGCCAACGCTCTCACAGCATCAACGGAGTCCCACGCAGATGGCAACCAGTCTCATCTCGCCGTACATCAGCAAGATCAGCCACTCGCCGAGCCACCACTGACTCCTTTCCCGGGGGGTGGAGGGCACGAAGAACGGCCCGTGCCTCCAGAACCGGCACCCCCATCGCCGCCTCCGAAAGACGGCGGGGAAGCGGAGGAAGAAGAGGAAGAGAAGGATACCGCAGAAGAAACACCCGCCTCGGAAGAAAAACTTAAAGTCATGGACCAGGAAGAGGATAATGGGGAGCAGTTCCAGGAAGAAGAGGAGGAGGGACCTTCTCCATCTGAGCCGGAAGAGGGAGATAATGACCCTGGCTCGGAAGAAGATATCGCACAGAACCCGGAGCATGCAGACAGCAAGGCTGCTGAGAACGGCGAAGGCGAACTAGAAGAAATCTCTCTATGAGCTCACCTAATGGCTTCATATTTTTTTTTTCAATCCCTTGCCTTTTTTTTTACTTCATTCCTGCTCTTTGTTCACCTTTGTCGTCCTTCTCCATATTGTGTATCCTGCTGACCTGTTGATGTCTAATGCGCTTCTTCTGTAAAGTAGATCCGTAGTCAGTCAATGATAACCTATTCATGTTAAATTAGTTAGCGCTACATATAGAAAAATCTGGTATCAGATAGGTATAGAATTGGGGGGGGGGATTAATAAATCTAATTTTAGATTGTCATGGTAGAGAGAAGCTCCGCCGAAATATATAAACAGAATAACCAAAGATTGAAGCTCATTATTCTATAATAAAATATTATGTTCTCCACCCCAACTACTTACTCCAGCATCTAGCTACATATCCAGCAAAATTTTAGATTCATGGCATCATCTGATTCATCATGACTTTTTACTCGATAGGAGGCCGACTCCTAGTCAACGTTCTATCGAAACGCTTAGTTAACGTTGCGGACGACGTCGTCGATGGCCTGAGCCACGTAGGCGACGTTCTTCTCACTCACTGCATTTACAATGTCAGTATCTGGTTCGGAAGGGATCTAAAAAAAGTATAAGGAGCTATTGTATCTTACAGCCACTGATGGATGCTCTGCCAGACTGAAGGAGGTAGACGTGGTACTTCTCCTTCAGGGCAGTGACTTGGGCGGGGGTCAGACCGGTATAAGAGAACATTCCATTCTACCGAAAAAATTAGTATCAATAGTATAGAGAGAGGGGAAAAAAAGGGACGTACCTGGTTGACAATGTGCTCCCAAGTACCAGGGGTCTGCAGCTTGACCAGCTCCTTGTATAGGGCCTGGCGCATCGCCTTGATGCGGGAGCTCATCACTTTCAGGTCCTCGTACCACTCGGCGGTCAGCTCATCACTGGTGAGCACCTTCTTGACGATGCTGCAGCCGCCGCGGGGGCCCATGGAAAACTCGCCGCGGATCAGGTGGCAGAGGTTGTTGACGACGGTGTCTCTGATGTCGACGCCCGCGACGGTGGTGACGTAGTGGAAGGCGCCGACGCGCTGGCCGTAGAGCCCAAAGTTCTTGGAGAAGCTCTGGGCGACACACATCTCCATGTGAGGCTTGTGCTGGAAGAAGTAGCGCACTGCCCAGGCGTCCTCGACGACGGAGCCGGAAGCGAAGCCCTGGTAAGCCGAGTCGAAGAAGGGGAACAGCTGCTTGCGCTCGCACAGGTCCGCGATCTCCATCCACTGCTCCTTTGTAGGGTCCAGGCCGGTTGGGTTGTGAGCGCACGCATGCAGGAGCACCACATCGCCCTCCTGCGCCTCCGCCTCGAGGGTCGCCATCATGCCGGTGAAGTCGAGCGAGCGGGTCTTGGGCTCGTAGTAGGGATAGGTCTTGCGCGGGACCCCAGCCATCTCCCAGAGAGTCATATGGTTGGCCCAAGAGGGGTCGGAGAGCCACACATTCTTGGGTTTCATGTGAGTCGCCAGGAAAAGACCCCCGAGATGGTTCGCGCCAGTGCCCGCCACGGCTTGCACCGATGCAATGCGCTTCTTCGCCTCCTCCTGCTCGGCAGACGCATTCTTGCCGTCGAATCCGAACATCAAGTCCCGCGCCAGCTCCAGGAATGGGATGTCGCCCTCGATGGCCGTGTACTCGTGGCGGGAGGGGTCGTTCTCCTCGAGCAGCTTCTTTTCCACCTTCTCCACAACGGGGAGAGGCCAAGGCTTGCCCTCATCGGTGCGATACACGCCGACTCCAAGGCTCACCTTCTGAGGGAAAGTGTCACGAGCATAGGCACGGTTCAAATCGAAGATCTCGTCGGAGGGGACTGGAGCCAGTGTGGCTAGGACGGTATGGCGAGCCATTGCGTGGGGTTTTTTGTGTGGGCGGAAGGAGGGAAAACGGACAGGGAGTATAACGTGGAAAGAAGATATCAGGTCACAAATAGAAAAAGGATTCAATTTCTAAAAAAAAAATTCTCGCGAGGAGCGACAGAGAAAAGACGGACTGTTCTCCAGGAAGGCGTTCGAGTCATCGAGAGCTCCGTAGTAGTCCCGATATCGCCAACGTGGGCGGGCTCGTGCTTTCCCCCTCATTTTTATCTTAGTGGCAAATGCTTCCCCTCCAATCCACAGCCATTGATTGTACAGGGAGGGAGAAGAATGATAATAGTGGCCTAGAAGACGAGTATTTAATTGGATAGGCTATAATTTAAGTTAATATCAGACTTGATGTCAGTGTAGTAGTATTTGATAAGTATCGGCCTGCAGATCGCTGCCAGGGCTGAACCCAATCGAGAGCTGATAAGTAATTATGGAGTAGTTACTCCATAAGTAGAATGCAGGACGTAAAGCCCATTATTATAACCAAGGGTAGATGTATGTCTCTTATCAACTGTTGCTTCTGCTCTGGAGGACTGTCGACTATGCATCGTATTGTACAGCACAACTGCATATGCTTTAATATTGGGCCCCTTGCTTTCAGCTTATAACACGCCGTGGGAACGGACCCTGGTTGTTGCTTTTCAAGTTGGCTGACATATATTCCTGGCTATCTAATATAGTCAACTTGGATATTTCGAGCCGAACTGTCCCAACTACCTACCTTCCAGCGTCGTTCATGGTATACAAGTGTAACCGTGCTGCTACCCTCCAAATTTTAACGGCTGGAAAGCACTGGCCTATTGTTTGATGTATAGTTGACCGAGGAGTTGAAAGCAATATATTTGAATTGACTGGAGAAAGCACTTCGACTCGTGAGAAAATGCGAAGAATGAGCCAAGCCGATTGGAAAACGAGGCCCTGCCTAGGAAGAGTGTGCGGAGAATTAGAGCAATATCTGAACGATGGAACATTAGCTGGTTATATAGCCTTTCAGTACATAGAAACAATAACAATCCATCTACCAAAAAGGCTGAATATGTTATGTTTTAACGAGACGGCGTTGTCCTGGGCAGAGGGAAGCGAGTTGTCAACTCCAGTTTACAGCAGCTTGCCATAATGACACTTTAGATATTTTAGACAGTTTCTCGAACTAGAAGGATAAGGTTATGATGGTAAGATGTTAAATGATTTAGTTCTGTAGCTGGGATGTTCTAGAGGTTGTTTACCAGTGACTGACTGCCATAAACTGCCATGAGGCTGTAAACAGAGAGGATTCCGAGATGGTTCCTCTATGGCAGATATTCCGGAGAAACCGTACTTCCGATACGTATACCTTACACATTACAATACAGAGATCGCCCTTCAGTTGCGCGTAACTATGTTATACCGATACCGGAGCCGGGTATTTTCGGCAGTGTTCTCGGCGGACTGGGGAAAACGGGCGGAAAAGAGCTTCGGAGCGAGTGTTTTATTTGTGCCGTCTGTTTCCTCTTGTTGTTCTCTTCGTGTTCTGAGCCATTGGAATCCAGGTCGTCGCTGAAGGATCCAAATATACGGGTATCGGCCAAGATGCTTTCCTCTACCACTTCCCGAGCCTCGGTGCGCTCGCTGGGCTCTCTGACACATGCTGCTTCCCGAGTCGCCAGCTCCAACTCCGCACGCTATGCTGCGATCAGTTGGCAACGCTCTCTGAGCTCTCAATCCAGACGCCTCCAGCTTCCCCGCCTTCAGTCTCTGGACGCTGTCTCTGCCCAGAGATCGTTTAGCACTACAATCAGAATGGTAGGCAGTTGACAGACGGCAAATCTATCCGGAGCGACATGCTGATCAGAGGGGGGGTTAACAGGCTTCCGAAACCCGTACCGAGAGCGATGCCTTCGGTGAAATCCAGGTGAGCAGAGCCGGCTGTTGGATTGTCGTGGCGACTGCGATTCAGAAGTATTGATGGAATTATCGATAGGTCCCGGCCGACAAGTACTGGGGTGCCCAGACCCAGCGGTAAGACGCCTCGTCGATTGAGGGAGGGAAGACAATGAGTGGTCACGATACTAATGCAGACACAGGTCTCTGGGCAACTTTGACATCAACCAGCCCCAGGACCGTATGCCTCCTGCGGTCGTGAAGGCGTTTGGTATTCTCAAGGGCGCTGCCGCCATTGTGAACACGAAGTTCGGCCTTGGTGAGTGGGAGGCGCGAAAAGCGGATCGTGATCCTGCGCATAGATGTGACTAATTGGCTATCATAGACCCCAAGGTTGGCGAGGCTATCCAGCAGGCTGCTGCTGAGGTCGCCGAGGGCAAGCTGATGGACCACTTCCCTCTGGTGGTCTGGCAGACCGGCTCCGGTACCCAGTCCAACATGAACGCCAACGAAGTCATCTCCAACCGTGCCATCGAGATCCTCGGTGGAAAGATGGGATCTAAGAAGCCCGTCCACCCCAACGACCACGTGAACATGTCCGCTTCCTCGAACGATTCCTTCCCGACCGTGATGCACATCGCCGCCGTTCTGGAACTCGAGAACGTCCTCCTGCCGGCCCTTAAGAACCTGCGTGATGCTCTCCAGAAGAAGGTGGAGAAGTTCGACAAGATCATCAAGATCGGCCGTACTCACCTGCAGGACGCTACTCCCCTTACCCTTGGCCAAGAGTTCTCTGGCTACGTTGCTCAGCTGGAGCGCAACATCGAGCGCGTCCAGGGCACCCTTCCTCACCTTCGTTTCCTTGCCCAGGGTGGTACCGCTGTCGGAACTGGCCTGAACACTTTCAAGGGATTTGACGAGGCCATCGCCACTGAAGTCTCGAAGCTGGCTGGCACCGAGTTCAAGACTGCTCCCAACAAGTTCGAGGTTCTCGCTGCCCACGACTCGATCGTTGAGGCGTCCGGTGCCCTGAACACCCTTGCATGCTCCCTCTTCAAGATCGCCCAGGATATCCGTTACCTCGGCTCTGGCCCCCGCTGCGGTCTGGGCGAGCTGGTCCTGCCGGAGAACGAGCCGGGTTCCTCCATCATGCCTGGCAAGGTCAACCCCACCCAGTGCGAGTCTCTCACCATGGTCTGCTCTCAGGTCATGGGTAACCATGTTGCTGCGACCGTTGGCGGCATGAACGGCCAATTCGAGCTCAACGTCTTCAAGCCCCTCATGATCCGCAACCTCCTCCACAGCAGCCGTATCCTGTCCGACGGCATGAACAGCTTCGAGAAGCACCTGGTCGAGGGTCTCGAGGCCAACGAGACCAGGATCAATGCTCTTCTCCACGAGAGGTATGTCTCCCACATATTTATAAGTATTCATTCTCTAATATACTGACCACCACAGTCTGATGCTCGTCACCTGCCTGAACCCCGTCATCGGCTACGACATGGCCTCCAAGGTGGCCAAGAACGCCCACAAGAAGGGCCTCACTCTCAAGGAGAGTGCCATGGAGCTCAAGGCTCTGAGCGAGGAGGACTTTGACAAGTTCGTCCGCCCCGAGCTCATGCTGAGCCCCAAGGAGAAGAAATAGATACCATGTAGTTTTGTGATTAGATTATAGGAAACCAGTCTCTTGGAATCCAAGTACCTTTGACTGTGAATTATGTTGTGTTTCCAATAAACGCTTGTAGTACATACTCCGTAGTAAGATATATTTGGTATGGGGCTTGGATAGCTATAAATAGCACCTGCGGATACCACAGCTGCTATCTGTAGGTACAGTACACACTGCACAGTGTAGGTAAGGTACCTGCTGTTATATGCTGCTAGCACAGCAACTACTAGGATCATTGGCGAGTTACGGAGTACATGCCTCAGCTATAAAAGCATCGACATGCAAGTCGCTCGTATTCCGTCATCGCCATGGAATGCCGGCGCAACCTCCAGGGCGATCCTTGGTGGCGGGGCTTGTTGTCTCAGGGACTGCGCACTGCTGAACCACGGGGCTTTCGTCTCGGAGGCCCTTGTTTATCCCCGGTTCTTGTGCTCACCCAGCTACTTGACCCCCCCTTTTAAATACTTCAGCTCTCTGTATAGACTGTGCTTCAGTTTTTGAGAATTGCTTTCTGTCCCTGCCACACGTCTTACCCCGCAACAGCGTAATCCCATTCTCAGCATACGAACAAAAAACAAAAATAACAAGACCAGCACTTGAAAAATGTTGAGCCCGACTCTCACCACCCCCGCCGAGGTCGACCCCAAGGCAACCGTTCTCAGCGGCGAAGATGCCCCCCTCTTCTCTCCGTCGCTCATCTCGCCTGAAGTCCTCGCTGCCCTGCCGGCCGAGTACACGATCCGCCCTGTGCGCCGCTCCGACTACCAGCGTGGTTACCTGGATGTGTTGCGCGTACTGACCACCGTGGGCGACATTTCCGAGCAACAATGGAACGAGCGGTACGACTGGATGACTGCCCGGAACGACGAGTACTACCTGCTCGTTGTCTGTGATGGGACGGGCCGCATCGTCGGCACGGGGAGTCTGATCGTCGAGCGCAAGTTCATCCACTCGCTCGGTCTCGTCGGGCACATTGAGGATATCGCGGTGGAGAAAAACCAGCAGGGAAACAAGCTGGGTTTACGCATCATCCAGGCTTTGGACTACGTTGCCGCCCAGGTCGGGTGCTACAAGGTACGCTTAACCAGTCTCTTGTCTTTGATGCAATATACTGATTGTCTTTTTTTTTATAGAGCATCCTCGACTGTTCCGAAGCGAATGAAGGCTTCTACATCAAGTGCGGATTCAAGCGAGCCGGTCTTGAGATGGCTCACTACTACTGAGTCTATCCGTTTTACTTCACACACACACACACACACCTTTATTTTCCGTGGATAATCATACCCGCTGGCGTTGCAATAGACCTTTTTTTTCAAATCACATTGGGGGACTTTGGTTTCGGGAGCAGGCTTATAAAAATATAAAACAGAAAACGAAGCGTCCTGCCCGGGGTAGAGAATGGGCTCAGGGACATTCCAATAGATGAAACATATTAGCTCAAAAGATAGCTCAATGGATAGACATACACATTTGCAGAAGTTGTTAGTGATACTTTTGACCCACGCCTCCGTAAATGGTGCTTTTGAAGGACTCGGCGTGTGGTCTCGAGCATTTGCATGGTTAATTAATTGAGCACACCTTGGAAATGGGGCATCCGTTCGTAGGTCATTAGTATCGCATGATCTTATTGGCTTAGGTAGTATGACGACTATAAGTCATGTAGAATCATGTACTACATAGTCATTCCTTTGCTGGGACTACTTCAGGGATAGTGAAATGGATGTCAGGTAAACCCGGAATCTACAGCAAGGATGGAAGAAAAGACCGTCATTATTGCATCCATTCCATTTTTGTCTTTTTTTCTTTCTGGGTAAAGAAGAAAAAAGGGTGACAGGCCTAACCGAGAGCCGGCGGGATTGTACATTTGAATCCGCGGGATCTCCCTAATAGTAATCGCTCAAGACGCCGATTTCTCTCATTTGATTTGAAATTTTGTGAGGAAACACTTTCCAGCACTGGAAACCTCCCAAAACAGGCAAACATCGATTTCCTTTCCCCTGCCCATCCCCTTTTCCTCTCATCCGTTCCAGCCCAAGCCAGCCGCTCCGATTTCGAGGATTTACCGAGACTTGGCGGCAACCTTGGGGGCAGAGCCCTTGGCACCCTGCTTGCTCTGGATGCGCTGGGCAGCGCCCTTGGCGGTCGAGGCGGCGGTCTTGGCCTTCTCAGCCTTCTTGCGGCTCTCGGAAGCGGCCTTCTTCTCCTTGGCCTCCTTGATGGCCTGCTGGCGGGCGGCGGCGCGAGCCTCGGGGCGCTGGCTGCGGCGCTCCTTGATCACATCAAGAGAGGCACCGACGATGGCACGCTGGTGCTTGACGACACGGCGGGTGCGCTTCTTGGCAACTTCCTGTATATCACGAATATCCGTCAGCAATGCTTGTCCCCTCCGAAAAGAAAAAAAAAATTCAGTGCGTCGCCTTTGGCCCCGATGATAAAGACATATAGATCTCCGCTTCGTTGTCTTGTAGCTGCGATAATCCCCAACACAGATATATTTTTATGGCCTTCCCCCAGTGCCCAGCCCCAACCGTATGTTTCCGACGCATAAACAAACAAAAAATAATCATGGATTGGAGGTCACTGACTTCGGAGATACCCTTCTTGTGCTGGCGGCGGTAAAGGACGGTCCAGGCGATGCGGCGAGGGTTCTTGCGCTGGAGGAAGAGGGACTCGGACTTTCCATTCTGGAAGCGGAAGATCTTGCTGTCGCCACGGACGTACAGCTTACCCTATAATTCACAAAAAAAAAAAAACCATACGTTAATAAAAAGAGCGCTCAAAAAAAGTAGTGTTGCGATTTTTTATTTTTTTGGACGACGACTCGAGGGTTGCCGGGTAGAAAAATGATTGTCGATGGGAAACTGATAGGGCACGGAGGACCGCAAAAAACACACCTTGCCAGGGTAGATCTTTTGACCGCTGAAAGAATCGTCGTAGGTACGCATCTTGAATGCTGGAGATGCGCAGCCGGTCGATGTTGTCGGGTTGGCGTTGGGTGGTTGAGTCGGATCGGTCTTTGGCGGCGAGCGTGACGGGAGACTGTCGAGATTGTGGTGGTGCGGTGCGGAGGCTCGCTAAGCGCGGCACGTGATCGTCCCTGCCCTTCCCCGTCCGGCGAACGCTCTCTTCACCAGCAACCCGGGCGTCGAGGTCATGGGAGCGAGGGGATGCGTATTACTGTTCAATTTGATAAGAAGGACGATGATTTTGTCTTGGATATTCATTCTGATGATGTTAAAAAAATACAAATCCATCCTTTCTGGGCCTTGGAATTATCTCTCATTGTCTTTCCTCCAGTAGTAAAGACGCCCCAGCTACTACTATGTTCGGACGAGACAGAATGAGTCTGCACGTCTGTCTTCCCTCAGAATCTGCTAGATAAACCCAAATAACACTCAAGACTATCTTTGCTATCATCGGAAACATATGACGACGACATGTTTCTTGTGCTTGTGCATAGAACTACTGATGCCAGTCGCACAAACCGCTTGGTTCGGGTTTACACTCCTACACTCGCCAAGATTAATCCGGTGAACAATGTGTTGAATCATGGGAAGTATGCTGACCTTGCATTGGATGTCCTGGCATAAGGGTTCGGGACAAATGCCGCTACACTCGGTGCAGACGTGACGTTCACACCCGCCCCCAGAAGAACAGAATCGGAACGTAGTCTCGTCTCTGACCATGTTGCCAGAAATATCGACTAGTTCGAGGACCTGACTGGCCTCATCGACCGCTCTGGTGCTGCTCTCCGCGTGCTGAATGATGCTGCGGGCGGTGTCGAAGATGCAGCATGGGATGCCGCAGATAGGACAATCGCCATGGCATTCGAAGCAGTAACGGTTCTTGATTCTCCAGTTGCGTCCGTCTAGTTGCATCTGGGGAACGTCCTTTTTTTCAAGGGTGTCGACGAACTGAGTACGAGCGATCTGGTGAATGTAACGGACCTATCGCTGATGTCAACATGATTAAATCAGTGGGTATGATTAACCAACCTTGAGCTCGAGCTTGGGATCTTCATATGTAGTCGTAGAAGAGTCCCGTTTCTTGCCATTTTCTGCGATGAATGAGCATGAATCTCATATTTATGTTGATGCTGTCCACTTACCCACAGTCTCCTTGTCTTCAGCTGCCTTACTATTTCCGAATCTTATGCTAGCTTTGCTGCGCAACTCTCTCAGAGAACGTCTACTCGATCCACTGCCAGATGACTTAGACGGACTCAAAGGAGGATTGCTGATGTCAAGGCGCCGGTTCGAGTCGGTCGACTTTCTAAGTTTGTTACTGGTACTTCCCTTGGAAGGAGATTCCACGGCTGCTTTCATTGGAATTATTTTGATATTGGACCTGTTCATTCCGTCATTCACTCTCCATACGCGGATTTTGCAAGCAGAAATGCTAGGCTGAGTGGGTGAAACTAACCCTTTGGTGTCTTTGGACTTGGAGGTGAAGAGCCCGCGCAGACTCGAGGTTTTTTTACTCTTGTCACTCTGTCTCGCAGCGTTTTGTCGCAGATTAGGAGTGCTTGGAGAGGATCTGACAGTATCACTCTGGGCCTGGGTATCGCTTCTGATAGCGAGATCCATTAGGCGGGAATCGAAAAGAACGTGGTCTGCGTGCGATACACGCTTAGTTGGTGAATTTGAGATGAAAGACACATTGAAGACAGAAAAAGTGAACATACCGTGAGCTAAACCAAAAAGCCTGGGTCTAGGATGACTCGCCAGCTCCAAGATTTCACCCTTTCTCGACCTTGTCGACTTGCTTCTGCCCAGCGGACTTTCAGCCTGCCCGCGGTTGCTACTCACGCTTGAGTCCATGGTGCTTAGCCGGGTAGGTGTATCTGGGGCTTTCTGAGAGCTACAGGGGCTTTCGATTCCAGTTTCTTGAACTGACGTCAACCGTCCTTCCAAGAAAGGATCCCCAGAAAGACAACCGTCTGCTCCTGATGAATACTGAATGACAGTGCTCTCTTCCTTGAACGAGACGCGTTTTGGAGTCAGTGCATCTGTTTCGTCTTCCTTGACAACCGTGTCGTGGGTGAGTTTAAAGTCTTGGTGTGGGGGCTGCGTCGTGTTTAAATGGGAGTTGGGAATGATTTCAGTCTCTTCAACAGAGCCAACTGCCGTTTTTGCGTTGGGCTGCTCTTCGTGCACAGTGGCAGGACCAAATTGGGGTTCCAAACTAGCCTCTTGATCGAAGCTAGGCCCTTGAGCTGAAGATGGTTCTGAATCTTCTTCAGTATCGAACGCAGGAAAAGGGTAGAAGGATTTTTGGTGCTGGGATAGAGAGCCGTCAGAGGTAAGAAGAGATGGCTCTAGCTTCGGACAGCTGAACCCCAAATCTATATGCTCTTCACTATTTGTGTGAAAGGCTTCATCAATCTCTTGAGATAAGGATTGCATAAAACTGCTGAACCCCCCATCGCCAGCTGCCAGAGCAGAAAAGGCAGACGATGAGCCCTGTACAAAAGAGGTTCCTCGATGTGTCCGAGAGCTCTCTGTGGTCTGTAGCTCAGTATTGTCTATAATGGGAAGGCGAGGTCTTGCCCAGGCTGAAGATTCGACATGCAATGCTGCAGGCTACGCGCTGTCAGTATTCTCATCTCTCGGCCTAGCAACGCTCTCTGACTTACAAGAGGAAGAACCGGATCCGAATAGCTCCTTGGTCTTATCCCAGGTGAATGCATATCAGCCTATCACTACTGTATAAGCATACAAGTCTCAGTGGTGTGAAGAAGTGTAAGAGGGATGAAACAAACAGAAGGAAAGCTAGAAAGACAGATATAAGAGGAATAACACAGTTTGAAGTTTGAAGTTTTACAGCACCCAGCCGCCAAAATATTCCTACAAGTGAGTGAATGCTGTACCAAGACGATATACCAGCATCTTGTAGATGTTTTTTATTTTATGTATACTATGCAATGAGCAAGTGTTTATACTACTTTTAACTATCCTCAGAGAAGCTAGGACACTCAATCTCAGTATACCCTGTGCTTCAAAAATAGGTAAAGGATGTTCTGTTCATACCTGCAGCTGAAGTGAGAAAATAACTGTTGAGGACCAGTGGCCTGCTTTACCTCAACTGTTTTTAAAAAGGCAGAAATCCACGTTTTGAAAGGATTCTACAACAGACACCGTAAGTTTTAGGGACTACGCCGAGCAAGAACATCTCAAAATCTCAAGATAAACGAGGCAGCGTTGTCTAGTCTAGATAGGATCCAAATGATTATCTCAACGCCCAGAAAACGCCCAAAGGGCGGATGGGATTTTAGAAGGTGATTGACCAGGCGAATTGACCCGTATCAGTGAAAGGGAATTCTCGTGTTTTATGTTGGGAGAAAAGCCAGCACCTGTTCTCGAGGCTCTGGATCTGTCGACGGTATACCAGGATGTGGTTGCAGATGATTTCGGCTACCCAACCAGCAGAAGGGTTTTGAATAGCCAAGATCCCCGTTTCATGATCATGTCATAATGTGTGTTTATTTGTCGTATCAGTTCGTATTGTATTTCAAATCTAAGTCATAGCATGGGTTCTAGTCCACTCTTTCGCCGTCTGTATCGCCGCTGGCTCATCCTCTTTCCAACGCTGGGCGACATCATTCGCCAGTGGGTCGTCGGGGTTGGGCGCACCCAAAAGAGCCTGAATCGACAGCAAAATTGTGCGAATCTGAAGGGCCGGGGACCAGTTATCTTTGAGCGAGAGGCATTAGCAAGAAATCAAGAGAGATAGGGGCGATAGCTATCACCACAGGGAGCTCTTACTCTTCAAAACATCCAAGCAGATTCTTCCCAGTCGGTCAATGTTAGGGTGATAGATCCTAGTAAGAAACCGAATCTTGGGAGGAGTCATAGGGTAGTCTTCCGGCAAGAACAACTCGAGTCTGAAAATGCCGCCTGTGACCGGATAAGCTACTGTCGACCCGCTAGATCTAGAGTGACGAGAGAGAAAAAAAAGAAATACCTTCATATGGTGACTGAGCAGGCCCGTGGATCGTCACGTCAAAATACCGCAAGTTATCTTCATGAGGCACCGCGTTGATACCGGGGACCCTGACAAACAAAACAGTAAATCTCATCAGTAATCAAAGGAAACCTCGAGACTAAATTAGTTTGTAGAACAGCACTTACGGTTCCGCCATAAGGCGTTCGGTCTCCTTAATGATTCTCTTTGGTAAAGCCATGCTCGCGTGTTGAAGGCTTTATCTATAGCACTCGTTCGACGGATGGGACCGAAGGCGTGGGGGAAATTTATGCCCCTCAAACTGGTACTTCCGATTCCCTGCGATTCTTCACTTTAGCTTGTTGCCAAACAATCGATCCAATGTCAGGAATCGACAAATCCACAGATACGGACTCGTACCTAAAGTCAAAACGCCCGGAAACAGAACAAAAATGCCAAAGTAAGGCGCTCGTGAGCAAGATGTGACTTTATTGAACGAGGGGCTGCGTCGGTGGTCCCCTAGCCGACCCGTACCGCACGCACCAAAGACACATCCGGTGACGCATAGAAACCATCCGCGCAGCCTCATCATCTCTCGCATTTGAAATGAGCTCCACAGGGCAATTGCGGAGATCTCCATCAACTTCCAAGCTGCTGGGCCAGCCGTTCTGCGATTTCTATATCAATATTCTACAGGTAAGTGTAGACTAAAGTTCAATTGATTGAATGGAATGGTTAAGCTGATGTTTCTGACAGCAAATAGGGAACCAAACTTGATTATGAGCCAATTGTCCTTGCGAATCCCGTCGATTGATACCCTTGCGATCAGCCTGGGTATTACGCTGTATCAAGTTAAGAAGGCTTGCTGATCGAACGAGATGGGAGCGTTAGCTCGGGTACACGAATCCCCCCCAACAATATCTTCATATCCGGTTACTGTCCTTTGAAGATCCCGTCGAGCACTTTTCCTTCGAGAAAAACCAACGTCAAACGGAAGGACCTGGATCACAGCGGACGACGGTGGCGAACACCGCACCTAGTCCTGCAAACATGCCGAGCTCAATGGGGACAAGGCCGCTGACGTCGGCTTTTGAGAGCCCGACATTTGGGGAAGATAGCTCTTTCCGCGTGGAACAACCTGTTGGATCCATGTCCATATCACCATGCGGCCGCGACGTGGTACTTGCGTCCAAAGAGGGGTTGCATGTCATTGACCTTGACTCGCCATATTCCCCACCTCGGTATCTTCCTCATCATACCCCGTGGGAGGTTGCGGACGTCCAATGGTCTCCTTTCGCTGCTCGTGACTACTGGGTGGTGAGCACGTCGAACCAGAAAGCGTTGGTGTGGAATCTGGCCATGAAGACCTGGCAGAACTCCATCGAATATGTTCTTCACGCCCACTCGCGAGCCATCACTGATATTAACTTCCACGCTCACCATCCAGATGTCCTGGCGACTTGTGCGGTGGATAGCTTTGTGCATTGCTGGGATCTTCGAGTCCCCGCCAGGCCTGCAATCTCCTTCTCTGACTGGTTTGCTGGCGCCACCCAAGTCAAATGGAATAGACAAGACCCACACGTCATTGCGAGCTCTCATGATAGATTTCTCCGAATCTGGGATGACAGAATGGGTGCTTCTCCTTTACGATCCATTGAAGCTCACACAACCAAGATCTACGGTCTTGACTGGAATAGAGTTCGACCTGGCGCCCTTGTAACCTGCTCGCTGGACAAAACTATCAAGTTCTGGGATTATACTGTCGAATGCGAAGTACCCGAAAAGCTCATCAAAACCCCATTTCCTGTATGGCGTGCAAGAAATACCCCCTTCGGCTGGGGCGTATTGGCAATGCCTCAAAGGGGTAATAGTGATCTTCACCTGTATAGTCGCAGGGTTGCGGAAGATAGCGGCGCTGGTTCAGACTTACCGTTGGTCCATAGCTTTCCAGGCCACAAAGGCCAGGTGAAAGAGTTTCTTTGGAGAGCCCGGGGTGGTGTGTCGGATGGGGTCGACCACCGCGAATTTCAGCTAGTAACCTGGGGAACAGACAGGGAGCTTCGTTTACACCGCGTCGACCCAGATATTCTAAAGCGTGTCGGTTATGAGAAAGGAAAATCTTTTATATCTACCTTGAATGTCACCCGCCGAGGTGCCGTTTACAAGAGCTTTCGTGACGAAAACACTGAACCCGAATTTGATGAAGTCGGGTCCCCCTTCTTACCCGGTCTTCAATCTCCAAACCAAAGTTCAATCTCAGGTGCCAAGGGCATGACTACTATCTCGATGCCTTACTCGCGAGGTTGGACTCAAAGCGGCCATTCTGATCTCGGAGTCGGTATGCGAGGTAGGTCCAGATTCAGAGCCGATACAAACCCGATCACCTGGATGCGTGGTGTCAAGATATCCGGATGGGATATTGAAACACTCGGCGATGAGATCTCGCATGTCGGCGAGAAATTCACAAAGGTTGCCTTTGACTCCGTGGACGTTAAACAGCGGAAGGCGACTATCTCTCTGCATGGACCTTGGGCTCCGGACGGTAGCTCACTTTTTCTGAAAGTGGATATCAAATTTCCTTCCGACTATCCTAAATCTTCTGTTCCCACATTTGGGATTCAAAAGACAGCTGCCGTTACCGATCAACTGTCGACGAAGATCATCTCCGACATGATAAAAATCGCAGAGACTTATCTTTCTCGCCAACGTGGTTGTTTGGAAGGTGTCGTTCGGTATCTTCTTGGCGAGAGTAGTCTGGAAGATAGCGTTGCGTGGATAATGAGTGAAACTACAGAAACAGTCAAATCTCCAATCAATGGTGTTCTCGGCGGAGAAGAATCCAGTGATGAGGACGAGGTCGGGTTGTCTCATAGCCAGGATCTGGGAATGAGTTCGGAACTCCTGCTTCCAGTTAATGCCAACGTTATGGTCCCCGTGGCCAAGGCTTGTGGTGCACTCTGGGCGCCAGACGGTCGCTTGGTGTGCTTTTTCCCGCCCAAGCGAGATAAGTCTATCGATGTTTTGGACGCCCTCGGCCTCAGGGAAATGACCAGGCTGTCAAGATCAGATAAGGTTTTCGAGGGGTTTGGGCGTTTTCAGACAGGCTCTCCTGGACCGAAAATAACGGGGACTATTGCAAGCACTGATGATGGCGCTTCTGACTACTCGGACGACTCCTACGCTGAATCATCCAGTTCTTCAGGATCATCTGACATCTTATCCGGACTGCAAAGCCGCTTCCCAGCGCCACCGACATGGCGTAGCGCTGGAAGTTTTGGGTTTCATCGACCAAGATCTACCGATAATTCGCAAAGGTCGACGGCCGGCGCTGTGACTGTGAAATCCGAGGCCCCGTACAACATCGTGTACATATACGACTTCAATTATCTCCTGCCAGCAAAGAAGGAACTTGCGAGCAAGTACCGTATCTGCGGGAAAGGGACAGACGTCTGTGCACATAACGCTGCCGTGGCTCTTGATGCAGGCTATCCGGACTTGGCTCAAGTTTGGGGCCTGGTTAAACTCATCCTGCACAATCAAACCACGGCCCTGCCTTATCAATCCTTGGAACTTTTTGATCGTCGTGGTATATCAAGCACGCGGAAGGACAGTGCAGTTGACGTAAGCTACGATCTAGCCAACCATGACCAGTGTCAGCAATTAGCGGCAAGTGGTGCTATACAGTGGGGAGATCATCCTTTCGGGGGCCGCTGGCTGATACCAGCACTCTTGAGCCATTTTGAGCGGATCGGTGATATTCAGATGGTAGCGATGCTATCCTGTGTCCTCCATGAAATCAATTCGGGACTACGCAAGGATCAACGTCAGGATAAAACCCCGTCCAAGCGTATGGAGCAGCATTCTTTTACTCTGGATTTGTATTCAGGCCATACAACCACCTATAGCAGATCACAAGCAGTCACGCCGCTCACAGCTACGCCGAAAGAAAGCCATACAACCCCCATCACATACGGCTCAGGGCGCTCCTCTTCCGAATTGCTAAGAGTTGACTCAACACCCCCATATTCGACAGGCACAACACCTCCATTGACATCCAGAGCTACTACGGATCGGAGGTTCCATAGTCACAATGTCTCTATTGCAGCCTCCCCTGACCAGCAATCCCAGCCGAGGAGCGGATCTGGATTTGGATCGGTCCTAGCATCGTCTCTTTCTCGATCATTTACATTTGGACCATCCTCTGCGTCTCCTCCCACCACCCTTTTAAACAAGAAAAAGGTCACCCCGAATGGGAGTCCGAACACCGGACCTCCTGGTGTCTGGACCACTGGTGCCTTTGCTGGAAAACCAGTGTCTGCAGTCCCCGATTACCTGACGGCATCTAGTGCTGTGGCTTCACACACCCACTCTGATACTGAAAGTGAAAGACCTGACCAAGCGGGAAAGAAGCCTGTGCGACTCAAGGTCAGTTTTAAGAACCTGGACTCGTTCGACAATGATGGCCACGCCCACAATTCATTTCTTGACCCCAGCAAAGAGAGGCTGTATCAATCATACCGTACTGCATACGCCGATTTACTTTTCATCTGGGATCTCCCCGTGCAGCGTAGCGAGGTGCTGAAAATTGGGGGGGCCACCGATAGCCCCGGCAAGCGAGGAAATAGGCACAGTTCTCGTGCGTCGCTGTCGCTTCCGTCCTCTGGCGCTAGAGCCTTGCTTCCTACCATCCTTGATTCGCATGACCAGACTTTGGGGATACAACGTCATTGTCCGCAATGTGGTGAACCTCTGCACCTGTCTATATTCTCTACCCCTATTGCTGCAGGGCGGAATTCGAAACAACGGACAATCAAAACAAACACACCCGCTGTCGTGTGTCCCAATTGCAAACCTTCGAAACCAAAGCCTGTCAAACTGCCCTGCGTGATCTGCGGCGAGGTAGTGGAGGGGATGCTTATTCCATGCCTGAGTTGTGGCCATGTGTGCTGCTTCGATTGCCATCGCATCTGGTTCTCGAAGAGCTACGAGTTGTCTGAGAATGAACCCGGTGGTAACTCTACGCCTGGGAAGGGGGCTACTGACCAAGACTTCCAGCACTGTCCCAGTGGCTGCGGCTGCCGTTGCTCAGAACACGTTGTCATCGATCTCCCTGTCGGCTGGTTCGCCCCGTCTCCAGCAGACCCAGGGAAGGAGAATAGCCAGCAGCCATCAGTCAAACATCGAAACCGGCGGCCTGAGATCCGCCCTGTGGACCGAGCCGTTCCTGCCACCGGCCACCACGAAGATGAACCGGAACCATGGCAAGCATCACCGTTCGCATCCCTCGCGAAGGGGTTCGGAGGCGGGTTGAACCGGGGTCCGCCGCAGAGAGAAGAAAAGAGGAAACCACGCACTGGGCTCACTGCGGTCAACAGGAAGACACCCCTTAGCCAGGTGGAAACAAGATAATTGTGTAGTACAGGTAGTTTGTGTGGATTTTGGAGTCTTTTTTGGGGGGGGGGTTTATGCTTTTGGGCCAGTCACAATGATACCATGATCTGTAGTTTATTTTCCAAATTCAAGAAGCATGTCAGTACTATGGTACCACCGAAAACTTCCTCCCTAGTAGTCCTCCGATTCAATGCATCACGACAGCCACATGATCGTCCATATATTTCTCGATATCTCCCAAGAAGCACGCGGCGATGATCGACACACACCCAAAGCCAATACTAGCATAATACACCCACTTGTAACCCTCTGCAAAGGCTATCTGGCCGGCCTTGAGGACGGCCTCGTACGCGGCCGGGTTCCCTGCAATCCCGGGGATGGCTTGCAGCTCCTCAACGAGGGAGGCGGAGGTCAGCTCGATCGCCTCGGTGATGGCCTGTGTGTTTGTGATGTTGAGCTCTGCGACCATGACGTACTCGATGGACGTTTCGAGGATGGGGACGAATTTCGCAATGAAGATGTTGTAGTAGATTGTGTACCCGATGCTGCCGCCAATCACGCGGATGGAGAGGGTGAGGGCCGACATGGTGGCAATCAGATCCTAGCTTTTGATCAGTATACATAGCTTGCAATACGCTTTATTTTCTCTCTCTATATTTCTTACATCAGGACAGACAATGGTGGTAATGATGGAAGCAGGGACAACGATGCCGCCGATACCGAGACCGGCTACAATCAGGATGCCCCAAAGCTGATGTAGGTTATCTGTGCGTGCGATGGACATTGCTCCGCAGCCTGGGAAAGTTAGGATAGACCGGGGGAAAATTGGACATGAGTTTTTTTTTTTTTTTTTTTTTTTTAGAAAAGGACTGACCTGCGGTCATCAAGACACTGCTGATAATCAACAACTCCTTGTTGCGTCCTCTGAGCAGGCTCAGTAGACAGAGCACAATGCAGGCACCGATGAGGATGCCAAAGCCGATGGGCAGGCTGCGCAAGCCGACGGCGGCCGGGGCATGGCCGTATACGTTGAATGACTCTGTGGGCCAGAACATGATCACGGAGAAGAAGTTGGCGCCGGAGATGAAGGTGATGATCAGCGTCATGCCCAGGGTGCGAGCCTCTTGCTTCAGGCGACTGGGGAAAATGGGGTATTTCGTCCCGTAGACTTCCCAGAATCCGAAGGCAACCAGCAGGACGAAGCCGAGAATCAAAGGGACTAGCACGTGTGCAGTCTTCCAGGAGTACTAGAACAGAATCAATACTGAACGAGCGATCGAGGTTTGATGGTTCCCCCTCCTCCTACCTGATATCCTCCCCACTGCATACCAGCCATGAAAAGGATCATGCCGGAGATGCTCAGGAAGCCACCGAGAAAGTCAATCCGCTTGATTATCTCTGCTTTGCTCAGCCCAGTCGAGTTCACTCGAGGCGGGGGTGTGTAGAACAGGACAGTGGTCACCAACCCGACTGCGTTCCACGCTCCGGCAAACGCAGCCACATTGCGCCAGGTGCTGTAGTATGCGATGAGCTGGGCCCACAGAACCGAAGCACAGAAGGGTAAGATGGTGAAGATGAGGACAGCGACATAGAGGCCGCGTTTCCGGGTAGGCGCCATTTCCGACGTCGCAGCCAGCGCGGTCAACTCATTGACGCCAGCACCCGCGCCTGCAATGGCCATCCCACCTAAGGCTGTCAATATGGTATTCTTGCTTCAATATAGCCCGGAAGAAGTTCTAGGTCGTACCGATGAAAACATTCATTGTGTGTGCGGTACCGCAGACGATCATCCCGAGACAGATGAGCGAGGCTCCGATGATGGCAACGTAGCGGCGACCGATTAGATCTGATACTGAACCGACGAACGGACAGACACCTGCCAGGGAGAGAAGATTTGCAAGTACCTAAGAGGAGCAGTTGGTTTGGTTTTCTGAAGAAGAGGCTATAAATCGGCGCACTTACAAACCAGATCCATCGATCTGCACCGCCAATATCCTGATAGATGTATGGGGGAATGCCGCCTAGAAGGCAGATTTAGCACCCGTGATGAGAATGTAGATCACAAAGTGTCAAAGAACTGACCGAAGAGGTAGACCGGGATCTGACTGCCTGTCCACAAGAAGGCCATGGCCGTGAAGCCCATGAAACGATGGAAGGTCATCTATCGAAGCAAGCGTCGGTCAGAAGACAGCCGGCTGGATCTGTCATTCTCTTCACCATCGAGCAGGCTTGAAGAAGAATCACGACGCTTATGCGTTAGATGTCGCCCTTACTGGAGTTTCATGTTCGTGGTCTTCAGCATCGCCATCGATGCGCAATCCCACGACTTCCTCGTGTTGATACCTCTTCGAGCTATGTTCGACATGGTGTACAAGTCCCTTCTCATCAACCTGAGGTTGATCGGCAGGATTTTCGTGATTCATAGCAGGCCAAAATTGGAATTGATCAAGTATTGTGAAATGGATTACAGACACTGGGACCACATCTTTGCAGGTTCCACAAGGGAGGAGGTCTGTCTCTATTATATGGCTTGGAAGCTCATATATGAATGCCCAACAGGGCAAGCCATGCTATCTCAAAACGGAATCAAAGCCAAAAACGGGTGAAAAGACGAAAAGCTACTGCAAGGGATCGCCGATTGTCTTTCGTACAGTCGGCAACAGTGCCATTTTCAGAACAACCGAGGCAAGTTGCAGTCGAAAGGACGTAGTCTTTGCGTCTGATAGCCGGTAGTTGGTGCAGACACCGTCTAGCTCCCACGGGCCACGCGCGAACAGTCGCATCTAATGGCGTTCCGTTGGTGTAATACGCATGGAAAGCCATACGATAGGACGGATGCGGTCTCATTAGGCAGCTGGAAACGTGGAAATACCATTGATCAGCCGAGGAGCAATAAAAGTGCGGGGGAACTCGAAACGCGGGGACAAGAGAACCGTCACGGTGGAGAAAAAAATACGGACCCCCTGCTGCAAGCCATATATGAGTGGCCAATATTGGAGCTTGACGGGTTGTAGTGCCATCCGGGGCATCGTCTAATAGACTTTGAAGGGGGCCTAGGCATTTGATTGATTATCATGCCAAGCCAAGCTCGACCACCATAGGACCATTATTGAACGGTGGCTTGGGCTTTACGGCAGCTCATCAAGTAATCATCGCAGACGGGGAATAAAAAAAAGGTCGCCGGCCATTAGGCTAGAGGAGATGACCGGCAAGAGCCCCTATTCTGACCCAGTCGATGCATTATGCATTGCCGACTAGTCCAGGGCTCTCCATGTTCATTGTATTTTGAGATCCGAGTGCCAGATATATATATTTGAAACCAAAACATTCGGACACCACAAGGATATTATTCGATAGCCCTTAAAGAACGCTTGCATTCCTATCGATCAAAAATTCTCGCCAATACGGTTGAGCTTCAGCGTTTTTGGGACGACAAAAATGCCCGTAGCCTCTGCGCAGAGCTTGCCCGTCAGGTCTCGCACCTCCACCAGTGCGAAAGCCTTGCGATCAGTACTCCGCTCGTGATCAATGGTTGTATGGAAGGTATAGAAGCTGTCCGAGTATACGGGAGCACGGTAGTTGATGGTGAGATTCGCGGTGACCCCTGTTCTCTCAGGGAAATGGCGAACGGCGATACGACCGAGATGCTCGTCGATGACGGTGGCGAGGGCACCGCCATGAACAACTGTCGGCCACCCCTCTAGACCGGGACCAAGAAACGCCACGCCAATGGCACTCTTTTCCTTTTCGTTCCAAAACACTTTCTGTGGCCGGGTTGGTTAGTCCAAGAGATTCCTCGGCTCGGCAGATGAGATATCTGCCTTCGGTACTTGAATTTAGGGATTCATGAATGACAAATAATGTGCTTCCTTCCGACAGCAGAATTTTTTTTTAAAAAAAGAAAAGAACACTTGATATCAGGGGTTCAGCCCACCTGCAAAGCCACGCCCCGACTTCCACGAAGAGACCCCGAGGTCAGTCTGTGCATTCTCTGTTCATCCGTGTAATTCTCGTAAACGCCGCATTCAACATAGTCCGGGTGATCTCGCAGGTCCTTAACAAAAGGCAGGCCGGTTTCAAACACTCGCTTGATGGCCTCTAATTCTCGCGCATCCTCCTCCGATCCTGGAACTGGCGGCGCTGAAACCTTGCTGTCCATCCATTTCCCACACGCCAGCCCCAGACTCGCAAACACAGTCGCATAGAAGAAGCGTCGAGGCCATCTGGACGGTTGTTCGGCGGCGCGCGTCGCGGTGACGCTGCTGGAATAGCATTTCGGAGAGAACCGTTGGACGCCGAGGGGAGGGGTCAAGGCCGGCGGCCTTGCCGCACAGGCTATCCGCGACTGGAGAGCTCGTCGTACAACAGCCATCGCCATCACATTGCAAGCCAAATCACTTGCAATGGGGAAGTTGCGTCTGAAGCAGTGAAGCGGCAAGCCTTGGGCGTGTCACGGTATCTGCGAGCGGGTCACGTGTGGTCACATGATGCGGGTCTTGGCAAGTTTGTATCTTTTACTTCCAGTCCATCATAAGAGCTTTGAAAGACACAAATTAGTAGAAATGGATACCGAGAAGGCTATAGCTAATACAGCTGTAGGTACAGAGATTTACTACTCTAAAGATGACTATAAATATAGCTTATGCAGCTTCTAAAGTTAAATCGTGACTATTCTTTATGGTATATCTTTATTATTTCTTCTCCCTTGCATATCTTCGACCTTCCACAGTATATTATTCGTAGCGAAATTATTGACTGTAGTAAATAGGACTTGGTAGTATCTACTATTGAGTATTGACTCTTGAGTAACTTCAGCACGTGTATCACACGTGGTTAACGTTCATCAGTGTAACATTAGTCAGGCACTTCTCCTACCATCAAGTCCTTCTCTATCTTTAACCTGTCTACAGAGTAATCTATGCTATCACTCGACATGCATATACTGACTATATAGTTAATTAGTACCTATAACTACTAGTAACAATGAACATATTGATGGGATGACATCATTGCCTATAAGTTATGCCATGCTGTGGATATCAAACTGACTAATACAGAGTAACCAACTAACCAGTTATTGCCTAGTAATACTAGCTGTTGCCGGATTGCCGAGTCCCCGATTCATGACTCTTTTCATTCTTACCAGAGATTCTAGATTTCGGTCAAGAAGCCGATCCCCGCTTTATGTAGCAGTTAGTAAGTAACTAGTTAGTAGCAAGCTGATTGATTCATGAAGTGGATGGATTTCCTCATCCTCTCTCCGTTTGTTCAGCAAGACCGACGTTGGATCGTTGAGAATAACTACCACTGCTCAACCAAAGACTAGGCTATAACTAGGTACCTGTTATAAGAATCGATGTTCTACCAGCTCTTTTCTCTAGTTATCTTCCTCCCATCCCAACTTCTAATAAGCGAGTCCCCTCGACTCGGCGTCTTTCCGACTCTTTTTTTCCCTCTTTGTTCAGGGGCGAATTTTTTTCTTCATAGACTAGACACCAGTATTTAGAACTATCACTTTAAACCTGACTTGCTAAATCACCATGGCAAATGGCCTTCCTTCATCACCGTCTCCGGAAGGCACCGACAGCACCCGCTTCACACCAGTGAAGCTCGACCAAGAAGACGCCGAAAAGCCTCCCCGCCGCGATGATGACTCGTCAAAGGATCCGTTCCTCGTCGCGTTCAGCGGGGATGACGACCCTCGAAGCCCTCGGAGCATGTCGAACGCCCGGAAATGGCTGATTGTCATCGTCGCCTCCACGACCAGTCTGAATGTCGCGGCCACCAGCTCGCTGTACAGCGCGGCAGGCTCCCAGCTGAAGCAGCACTTCCATGCGAGCCAGACAGTCGTCACCCTGGGTCTGAGCTTGTTTGTCATCGGGCTTGGATTGGGGCCGATGTTTCTGGCCCCGTTGAGCGAGGTATGCGATGTCAAAAAAAAAAAAAAAAAAGAAGGGGAAATAAAGAAAGGAAAGAAAAAAAAAACGTATTCGACGTATGCTAATCTGTGCTTATCGGTGGTGTAGTTCTACGGCCGAAGACCTGTCTATATCATCTCCATGTTCTTGTTTGTCATCTGGATTATCCCCACGGCTCTCGCGCAGAATCTGGCAACCATCATGATCTCCCGTTTCCTCACCGGCTTCGTGGGCTCGGCCTTTCTCAGCGTCGCCGGAGGCACTGTCGGCGATCTTTTCGATAAGCATAGCTTGGGAGCTCCCATGATGATCTACACGGCGAGTCCATTGTGAGTGATCTGTTCCTGTATTCATCTGGGAGAATCAAGCGTTGACTTGATTTTCACAGTCTTGGTCCAGAACTAGGCCCTATTGTTGGAGGTTTCATCAACTACAACGTCAACTGGTAAGCACAGCAGCACTGCTAGCAGGTTCGGGGATAGAATCGGCCTCTAACCAGATACAGGAGATGGTCGTTCTATGTCTTGATCATGTGGTCCTTCTTCCAGTGGGTGGCGCTCTGCTTCTTCGTCCCGGAGACGTATCACCCTGCCGTACTGCGCAGTCATGCCAGAAAGCTGCGCAAAGAGACAGGAGATGATCGGTACTACGCGGCCATTGAAAAGCTGGATCGGTCCATCATCCAGGTGTGTATTGCAATGGATCGTCAACTCAGGTCTTTCTTCTGACTGTGTTTAGACTATCATCAGATCCTGCTATCGGCCGTTCCTCCTCTTGTTTTTCGAACCCATGTGTCTGTGTCTGTGCCTTTTCTGCGCCGTGCTCCTCGGAGTTCTCTATCTCTTCTTCGAAGCTTTCCCCTTGATTTTCGAAAACAACCATGGTTTCAATCTGTGGCAGGTCGGTCTCAGCTTTCTCGGTCTGACCGTTGGAATGATTCTTGGTGTTTCCACGAACCCACTGTAAGCAACCCCCTTCCCCCTCCCATTTCTCTACAGAGAGAGGAAAAACCGCTGACAATTACAGATTCCAAAAGAATTATATGAAACTCTTGGCTAGACATGAAGCCGAGACGGGAGAAAAGGGTGGCTCAGAACCGGAATATCGTCTTCCTCCTGCAGTTGTGGGAGCTCCCCTTGTCACGATTGGCCTTATGTGGTTCAGCTGGACAACGTACGTTCTGACCATGACATTGCACTACTGACCATTTTACTGAATGGTATTTTAGATATGCTTCTGTCCACTGGATCGTCCCCATTATCGGCAGCACGATCTTTGCTATCGGGTATGTCACTCTACAACGCTGCATGAAAAAAAGAAAAAGAAAATAAAAAACAACCAGCTAATCTGATCCCCCGCTTATAGTCTAGTCATGGTCTTCTCAGGTGCCTTCACCTTCCTGGTAGATGCCTATCCCACGTACGCCGCAAGCGCCCTCGCTGCCAACAGCTTTGCACGAAGCATGTTTGCAGGTGCTTTCCCCCTCTTCGGCACGCCAAGTAAGTCAAAACCATCACCGTGTTGTATGACGATCCTAATACCACGTCCAGTGTATAAAAACCTCGGATACGAGTGGGCATCCTTCCTACTTACGATGATCACCGTCTGCCTGCTTCCATTTCCGTATGCATCCTCTCGGCTCGATCTGAGAAACACAAGGCTGATAAACCACAGGTATATCTTTTACAAGTACGGGAAACGAATCCGTCAGAGAAGCAAGTTCGCTACATCAATATAAAGACGGCTCACGACTGAACTTAAACTGAAACGAAAATTAAAAGCACGACGACTACCGTAAAGTCGAGTCTATTCCAGACTTGACCATCCAACACTACGATCACGCATTCGCATGACAGCGCTGGGATTTCATTTTTTTTTTTTTTTCATTTCCATCTTCCTTGAAATAATTTCGGTTGCAATAATAGATAGACATGTTCATGCAGGTATTAGCGTCTATGGATATACCTTGTGTATATTTGAAATAGGTGTATATACTTTTAACCTCTTGAATCTTAATAGTACACATTGGGAATTAGAGTATAAGGTTGACTGGAGTACATGCATCGATGCTTCGACAGCAACTAAGGCAATACGTTTAGGTGTAAACTCATACGGAACTGATGAAAAAGTATTTCCAGTGTTATATTCATGATCTAGACTCGTCTAACATTATCATGTTCTTCTCATTCCTTGTGCTGAATGTCGGCACACATGCCTACCCCTACCTAGGTACCTATTCCATGGTGGGCAGGTCGATCGCACGGTAGAGCAAAATCAACGCGGAGTGGGATTCACCTGATAAGATTCCTAGTTAGCAGAGAGTTTTTGAATTTGAAAACCCCAGGTTTGAGTTTGATAGAACTTACCACCGCCCGCAAGAGTCTCGATCTTCTCTGCGTCCACCTCGGTGACTTTGTCGTCGTTGAACCACCACCATTTCTCCTCCTCTTCTTCCCGTCGCTTCTTGCCCGGCTGCGCGGGGTCCTCGACAGCCTTGCCTCGCTTCTTGATGTACGCCGTGTAGTGTCCGCTGTCGGCACTGGCGCCTTGGTGGGTGATCACACCCCTGAGCTCGTAGAGACCAGAGGTGTTGGCCCCGGCGTCGGCGGCCATCTTCTGGTCAACAAGCTCGAACAGTTCCTTCTTGGCGGCCTGGATCGATGCAGCCATCTCGGCTTCGTACTCTGCGTCAGTCTTGAAGGGGACATCCGTCATCGTGGCGTCGCCGTCTTTCTCGGTGCCTTTGCTCTTGCTGGCCTCCTTGCGTTCCTCCGCAGCTTTCTTCTTCTGCATAGGCTCCAGGCTCGCTTCCTGCTCGGGTTCCTCCTCGTGCTGGCGTGCCAGCTTCTGACGCTTACGCGCCCGTTCGACATCCAATTCATCTTTGCGGATCTCTCGCACCTTATCTCTCACGGGGATAAGCTGCTTCTGAAGCTCTTCTGAACAGAACTCCACTGCGTCCAGCTCAGCAGGGAAGGTGACCTTGCGCATGATCTTTGCCTTCTTCTGGGTCTCGCGCTTCCAGAAGAATCGGACAAAGTGCACCGTCAGATACTTGGGCAGCCGCGCAATGCGCGACTGCTTCGTATAGATGGCATTGCGGTCTAGAGTAGGGGACTGTTTCTCAATCTTCTCCTCTAAGCCTGCCATGATACCGTCGCGCAGGTGGTTCGTTTCCTTTCCGATATGGCAGTCTAGCTTGTAGAAAACGTCGGAAGTGGTCGTTGGTTCCTCTCCCACCTCCTTGGCAGCCGGGTCATCACATTCAATCACTGATTGGAATTTCCCAGCAAGATACCGGTCGATGAACGACACCTCAGCAGCCGCGTCTCCCTTCCCGTCTTTGATCTTCAAGTTGTTCCGCAGCTGCGCCACGATCTGTGACCAGGCTTCCTCGGCGTCTTGTTGAGCATAACCGTGTCCATTTCGATCCTGTTGGGCAAACTGGGGAAAAGCGTTTCGGAGGGCATTGAGGAACATGAGGGGAGGGATACCCTCCTGCGTCTCGGACATTTGCTTGAACAGATCCCGCAGAGAAGCTGTCAGATCCATCGAACCCAGACCGCCGAGGCCGAAGCTGCTAATATCGGAAAGACGAGACGAGCCAATCGCATCCTGCGCAGGCCGATACTTCTGAAGCTCCTCCTCCAGCTCCGGGACACTTCTCAGAGTTTGAAGAGTGGAGTTGAGATAGCAAGTGTTTCCCAGATTCTGAAGGCCGGCTGGAGTAGCTCCGTCCGCCTTTGCAGCTTCTGCCTCTGTCATATCCTCCAGGAATTTAACTGCCTCCTTCGGTCGTCCTAGATCGGATGCTCCTTGTCCTCCAGAGGGCGTGCCCATCATCATGAACGTCTGGCCTGGCTTCACGTTCAGACTAGCCAAAGGGGTGTCATCTTTCAGCTGGCCACCTTTGACCAAGATCTTCTGCCGTTCGGGCTCGACACCGGTCAGGGAGTAAAGTTGGAACTTGAAGGTTTCGCCGTTCGAGGTCGGGTCAAGCTCAACCTCATGGCGCTTGCCCTGGTGCTTGACGATGACTGTGTTTTGGCGGTCAGCTAACATGGCCAGGAACGCGGGGAAAGACGCAGTATCAAGCATTCTTCATACCTGGTATCGAAGCCATAGTGATCAAGCTTCTTGAACACGCTTAGATCGAACTTCCAAACAGCTCCTGTCGGTTGAGAAAGAGAGTGTACGTAACCAGTTTCTGCCTTCGCTGTCACGGTTCCTGGAGTCGTGGGGCAAATAATACAAACAATGCAAACATAGCGACATCATCCAGGACCAGTTGACCGCCTTCGGGTAGGTACAACGACGTACGTAGAGCCATCCCACCGTGTTGAGCAACCCCTCAACCTGTCTTTTGCGGATTGCTGGCGTGCGACGTTTATGTTTGGCTTAGGTATGTCTTTGAAACCATGGAGAGCTGGTGCTCGTTCCGCTGGCGAGATCTCCCCTCAATTTGGCGATGTTGACCGCTCCGCAGCCGAGACCACGACAACAATCATCGGAGCCTAGGTAGTCTCCGGTACTCCACGTCATGGTAAGATGAGCCGAGGAATCAATGGGTATGCCTCTCTTCTAACTGACGATGCGGTAGTCTCAATCACTGCGTCCCTACCTTCAATGCGTTCGATCTTCTCTGACCGCGGCGCTTGCGATATCCAACTTCGCGTCGCAGACGGCTGAGAGGCACAATGTCCCGGAGATTGAAGCCGCCAGCTCGCCTGAAGTCCTCCTGAACCCCCTGACGATTTCTCGCAATGAGAACGAGAAGGTTCTCATTGAACCGAGTGTCAACAGTGTCCGTGTCAGCATCCGAATAAAGCAGGCCGATGAGATTGAGCACAGTACAGTTTTGACCCTTTTCAATGAGCATCATTTGATTTTGATGCTGACTTCTTAGTTCTCGTTCATAAATTCACTCGATTCCTGACGCAACGAGCGGAATCCTTCTTCATTCTGCGGAGGAAGCCAGTCAAGGTCTGCAATCGCCGCTCTCTTTCCGAGGAACCCCGCCAAGAAGATAGATCTGACGAGTATATAGGGCTATGACATCTCCTTCCTTATCACCAACTTCCACACAGAGTCTATGTTAAAACATAAACTAGTCGATTTCGTCATTGAGTTCCAAGAGGAGGTGGATAAGGAAATCTCAGAGATGAAGCTCTTCGTAAGTTTGCCGAGTTATTTCCATGTTGATACGTGTACTCTGTAAGCTAATAACTTTGATTCAACAGCTGAACGCTCGTGCTCGTTTCGTTGCAGAGTCTTTCCTGACACCGGTAAGACAAATCTCCATTCGTTCCATTATCACGGAGCCTAACGTACCTGTCTAGTTTGACTAAATAGTTTACCTCTGGTTTCCATGTCGACAAATTATGACGGCTTTGACTCTCTTTTCAAGTCTGTACAGATGCCTTAGGCTAGTAACGAAGATCGTACAATTTCAAAGTTAAATAATCTTGTGTTTTCAGTGCTTTTATACCATAAAAACTTTTAACCGCAACAGGGAGCAATCTGACTCAAGTATCTCAAGGGTTGGACCCTTTTTCTGATAGTTATCTGCTGGAATGGAGGTTTGATATTCCCCTTTTTTTAGTTAACTCGAGGCTAATTATGTAGCGGCTCGTCTTTTCCGGCCCCTGTCTTGTAATATCCGAGGGATATCTCGAATAAATAAGTCTCAGCCACACGAGCTACAGTGAATAGAGCTCTGTTATCCAGTCAATATACCTTCCCTGAAGAACAATATGGCTATTCGTGTTGCAGCTTTGCTCCATAAGCCCCTCCTATCAAGTGGCTGGCTGTGGCTTCTTGACCAACACCGCGCAGCAGCCATATCGATGATGGAAACCGTCTCTTCTTCTTATGCCGTGCATGTGAGAGTCCCCCGCTTGGTAACCAGGCAGTGGTATTACTAAATAGGAAATGGGAGTGGATCATGCCAACTGCCAGGAAGCCAGAGCAAACAATGCTGGGCCTTGGCCTTGATGATGCCTCAACTGGTTATACAGCTACATCTCGAGTATGTTCTGCTGGTTCTCGAGGTCCATGGCATGCTAGAAGCTGTATGAACAGCATATACAGCTTTGCTGGACATTTTGCTGGATATTAAACTCCAATTACTGCTTGCTCCTGGTTCTCGGTGTCGCGAGAAATCTCAGCATCTAGGTGGATGTTCACCGGGATAATCTTCTCTTCACATACTCTCACTTGACATCTGAAACCAGAGTGGCGCTATCGAGCAGATCCATTCACTCATCAAGATAAATTCTAATTACTGGTGAATTTTGAAGCACTTCCCCCCCCCCCCCAGCTCTAGGACTCCCAGTTTCTTCTCTTTCTCCTCCTTCACCCTTCTCTTCTCTTCATCCCCCATCCCTTTAACATCCTCATCTATCTCAATCCTTAAGCATCACCTTTGCCTGTATTGCAACATGGATTGGAGTCAGATCTATCCACCCCCTCCCCCCCCTCAGACAGCTCCGGGTTCGTCTGGAGCAGTTGGACTTCCTAGTCCTTCTGGACCTTCCCATCCTGTCTTTGGATCCCTGATGCCCTATTCTGTGCCTGGCGTTACTCCAGGGTTTGCCGCCCCCCCGTTCATGACACCAGCCTACCCCGGCTTTCAATCTCAACCTGTTGCACCTCCTATGGCCGCCGATCCTGGTCACTCTTTGATCCACGGCCCTCAATTTTTGACTGCGCAGACCCTTGCCCAGGCTGATATCCCTCCCCAAGTTCCCTTTGCTGCGACCCCCCTTCCGGCTCCTGTTCCCCAGCATGTATTCCCTCATGGACAAGCTCAGGTCCTACTGTCCCCGCTTTCACGGCCCACGCTGTCCCAGATTCTCATGGAACACGGTCGCGTGCCCGATACCGTAAACCATTTCGACACAGTTGCGTTGCCAAGTGAAATGCCAATTGGAAGTCTCGTCCATCTGCAGAACTCTACTACATATGGTGTTATCAAGATTACTAATGTGAGTTGTGATTGTTTCAGAACATCTGGAACTGGATCGATCGCCCAACACAACCCACCTTTCACCACTTAAAAGTTTATATTTTTATAAAGAAATCACTAACAAGTATTAAACAGATCCCATACTCCATTACCAAGTCAGAAATCCATCAGTTTATTGGTCGGGATGCACCTCTTGTGTCTCCCATCAAAGGATGCGCTGTCCACATCATCATGGAACGGCCTACTGCGAAGACTATGGACTGCTACGTTGAGTTTGAGACCAAGGAAGCTGCAAAGGTGATTCAAACGCGTCTTACTGCAATGGTTGAACAGGGCCACCGGCGTCTTGGAAGTCGCCATGTGGACGTGGAACTGAGCTCCGAGGATGAACTTCTTAAAGACCTGTTTCCTCGTGCCAAATGCGTCGAGTGGAAAGACGGAAAACCTCACCTTGTGGAAAACACTGACCCATTCTCAACTGGCTTTACGGGATTCTTCACCAATGAAGAGATTGTCAATGCTATTCGCCATGCCGAAAATCCCCAGCGTGTAAGCTCCTCCTTCAGCTCCATCCCTTGGGTCCCTTCTTTCCTAAGTGAATACTAATAATATACCAATGCAAACAGTCCCCTTTCTGTAACAAATGTCCTCAGCGCACTTACGAAAGCACTATCAGCACTCTCTATAAGGTATGGCCATCATGAGATGTTCTCCATCAGTATCTATTGCACTTCTCTGACTTGTATATTTTCTGTTTAGTTCCCCTGGCACGAAACTCACATGTACACGGTTGGCGATCGCAACCTTCTGTTTGAACTTACCAGTCGTCAAATCAAGACACTGGCCAGCCGTGTCAAGAACTCGAAGACTGTCGGACTCGATCAGAGACTCCTCCGTGACCTGCTGCACGCTGGACTTCGTTGCCCTTCATTTAACGAACGCATGAAATACACGCTGTGCTTTTATTCAGAGGACATCAGAGAAATTACCCGGTTTTCCGAAGCCGGCAAATGGTTTCCTTTCGACACCCTTGTGAGAATGCCCGGCTTCAATGAAGCTACCATGATGGTAGGTCACTCACCTCTCTCCCCTCCTGGCAATAGCAGGTGGCTGACAGCTGGTCTTTGTACAGCATTACGCGAAATTAATCACTAAGGGTTCGACTGTCGAGGAACATGCAAATGCGGAGCTGCCTAACTCTTTTCCCCCTACCATCAATCTCCAATCTCCCTATGGTAGGATTTGGTATGAATGGTCTCTGGAAGTGTCCAAATACAAGTCCTGGGAGTCTGCCGTCCAACGTGAGATGGTCATTCTTTGCAATTTGGTCCTCGCCGGTTGGATCCAGGCCCAGAGAGAAAGGAACCCCGCTCTTGCTAATGGGGATGACGAGGCCTTGGGTGCTATTTCCAGTACTACTGCCAGTGCTGGTTCCGCCCCTGGTCCTGTCGGCCTTCCAACCATCAATGTGACCCAGGCCAACAACGGCGTGCCTGTCAACCCCTATTTCCTCCCAGAGTTCACTCAGCTGGGCGGAAACACTCACGCCAACAACTACAACGGCCCTCAGGTCAACGCTGGTCACGGTAACGCTGTGGTCAACCCTGGCTTTCCCTTTGCTCCTGCCGGCTTTGGCTTGTAGCTTCACCATACGTTTCTGATCTCTGGATTCCCTTACCTTCTTCCGCTTGTGAGCTGGTCTCGACATAGCTAACCGCCAATCGCCCTCTGACTTGGTAGGTGTCACCGGTTTTGGAGAAACAACCGAGTTGTTGCGTGATCGGTAGCTGTTTTCAAAGTGGTGATGGGTTTGTCCCTATGGAATTCCTAGTTATGAGATCTGTTCTTTTTTTGCTTTTCCATTTTCCCACTTTGTTGTCGCTTTGATGTTTCGTCAATTTCGGTGCATTCGGATTTCCATCATGCTTCAGGTACAGCGCTTGACCCAGCGTCTCTTGTGGGGGAGGATTTTCGAGACGGTTATCTACTGTGATTCCATATCGAACGATCTGGTCGAGCTTGGACGAGGTCTTTTTGAATTTCTGAGTGGTGCGAATTATTGGAGAGTTAGTTTTGCGCATGGGATTCCTAACAGGTGCATTCTGTCGCTTCCTTTTGATTCGGAAATTGAAGTACTCTAGTCAAGCAATATCAACTTTATCGTCTATCATTACTTCATTTTTCGTATGACAAATGCTATCATCTAAGCTATTGTATCGTCTTTGACGTCTTCACTGCCAACCGCTTGGCTCTCGAGAGCTCTCTTCCGTGCTAAGCCCTCTGCTCGCTTTCTTTCTCTCCTGGCTTCCGGATCCTCCCATCCAGCTGGCCTGGCCCTCGCCTTTCCTGTTGTCTTGGTATGTTGAGATTGGGCCGCGGAGCAGAGGTCGAGGAGACTACTACGAAATCTCTCCCTGCGCTCTGAGTTAGTTGAAAACCGCTCGTTCGACATGGCAATGAGCATCTCCAGGTATCCCTCCGTGACTAGACTGCGGACCACAGGCTCGCCATCCTCCTCGGGGTTGCTCTCGTCGCAGTATCCGATCACCGATTCCAGGGACAAGCCCGACGAACGGACCGCAACAATCGGACTAGGGCCCTCTTGGCCTTCTCCAAGACAGCGAAGGCTTTGCAGGCCGCTTTCACGAAATCCCGAGCCAGAAGCAGCGGCCAAGACTGGCTGGGCGTGTTTCAGAGTGGCAGTCATGATATGGAGGATCTAGGATGGATTCATCAGTCAGGCTCTGGGGCTTTTAATTTATTAATAGAAACCAAGAGGGTTTCTTTGAAGAGTAGAAGTGAAGAGTAGAAGGGATTGAAGCAAAACAAGAAGAAGAAAGAGAAGAGAGAGAGAGAAGACTGACCATGGGCTCGAAATGAAAGCGCACCAGCCGCGGGCCTTGTCCATCTTTGTCCAGTGCTGGGGGCTTTCCATCTCCAGGCACCATGCCAAACAGCTTGTGCAGCGACCGGCTCTTCTCTTCGACACTCGACGGCCACTCCAGTGGGTCGTGAGAGACATAGAGCCAGTTCCCAGCGCCTTTGCCTCCAGAGGGTGCAAACTGTCGTTGTTGCTGCTCAGACTGGAGCTGCTTTTTCCTGCCCTCCAGAAACACGCTGATCCGGCCAGCGCAGCTGCTGGTTGTCACCAAGCCCGGCAATCTGTTGATGTCCCCGATCAGATCACGGATTCCTTCGTCCACCGATCCCTTGGGCGACAGATCGAAGTACTCTGCATCTGGAATGGAAAGCTCTGCAAGGATTTTCTGCTTCCGAGACTCGAAGACCGGGGGGATGGCTGGGCCCCCTCCCTCCATCGTGCCCGACGCTTGTGTCTGCTCTTTATTCGCAACCTATTAAAGGGTTCAGGCACCGCTATCCAAACAGTTCGTTGACAGGTTCCCCGCCCCCTCTTTACTTCTTTGGCGGTTTTTTTTTTTCCTTCGAGAAGGAAGTGGAGCTGACTAGGAATAGCAGCTCCCCTACTGGAGTGCAAGAATTATTGTAGGACCAAGACGTTACAAAGAAACCGGATCCTCATGGACTATCGCTGGTCTTGATCTCCCAAGAAAATATCCTGCTTCGAGCAGTTCTTTGGCCTAATCGCTGTCGTCATGGAACGTCAAAGGGAGGTAAGGTTCCTCTTTCCTTGTTCTTTAATTAGACGCAGGTTCGGCGGCGCCCGGCGAAACGGAAATCGCCCCAGAAGCTACCAGCCCCCTGGTCTCTTCTCGGACTCTTTGTTCGCTCCAAGCTCGCTAGGAAGACACTGTCAAGCCGATCGAAATCTTTGTCAGCGATCGAGGCAGGGTCCCGTCCATGCTTAAATGCGGTATACCCCTCCAGCCAGGTTGCCAGGGCCGCCCATTCTCTCCTTCGATAGACAATATCCTACAGGGGGGGGGGGTTTTCTGTCTAGTACAATAACCATTACTCTTCTGCAGCAAATAAGGATCTTCGAACCATGCCTCGTCGATCGCCTCGGCCCGGATCCGCCTCAGCGGCTACTGCTGCTTCCACAGCGGCCGCGCCAAAACGGCGCGTATCCGCCAGATTGAGCGCCGGCGGCGATAGCAAAAAACGAAGACTGAACGCAGGTGCTACTCCCCATAAGACCAGGGCTACGGAAAGCAAGAGTAAATATTTCGAGTCGGATTCTGAATCTGATGCTGCAGCCGGCTCTGATTCAGCTTATGGCGACTCGGACTCTGCCAGGAAGAGCAAAGCTAAACGGTCAAGCGCAAAGCAGAATTCATCAACCCTGAACAAGCGCGGACAGTCACTCAAGAGCCGTGAAGAAGCCAAGGGCAGCGACGAAACCCAGGATGCGACCGCCAGGCCGAAAGGGAAGGAGCTCTGGAGAGAAGGTGTTCGCACCGGTCTCGGGCCAGGGAAGGAAGTCTTCATTCAGAAGCCCAAGGCCAGAGATCCGGGTGATACCCTATATGAGGATGAAACGCTGCATCCCAATACCATGTTGTTCCTGCAGGATTTGAAACAGAATAATGACAGGGAATGGCTCAAAGGTATGTCACAAACTGGCGGTCAGCGGCAGTTTTTTTCCCCCTTGTTTCTGTTGATTTGTTCAGAACCAGCAAGGCTAAATTGCTAATTTCTTGCCCATCTAGCCCACGATGCCGACTACCGTGCTGCAAAGAAAGACTGGGAGACATTTGTTGAAAGCCTCACTGAAAAGATCATTGAGAAAGACGAGACCATCCCCGAACTTCCAGCCAAGGACGTCGTGAGTAGCTCTCGCTTGTATGGCCCATCGTGAAACGACAAGACTAAAATGGTCCACCTTTGTAGGTTTTTCGCATCCACCGAGACGTTCGGTTCAGCAAGAATCCCACTCCATACAAGGTGAGTCGAAAAGAACACTCCTTCTCAGCTAAATAGATATATGAGAAGAAAGGAGAACCGTCTTTCTCTTCAAAACTGGCTAGCTGACAATTTTCAAGACTCATTTCTCGGCTGCATGGTATGGGGGACTCGGGACTGTGTGCAAACGGTTATTGTCAGCTAATGTGTTCATTGATAGGTCACGAACAGGCAAGAAAGGGCCTTACGCTGCATACTATGTTCACCTTGAACCCGAAGCCAGCTTTGTGGGTAAGTCATTCGAGATTGGGATTGCGCAGTTTTCCTATTCATGCGACACTTTGAACACCCAACACCTCTGGAATCTGTGTCTGCTATGTCTGCCGTGATCTTCCTGGGGAATTTAGACACCTGCCTGCCGCGTCCATTTTCCTGCCATCAGCCAGAACTCGGTGTGTATGTTTGGTGTCTGTGCTGATCAAGGTTGCTCAACTCTAGGTTGTGGTCTTTGGATGCCCGAGGCTGAGAAGCTTGCACTTCTCCGCGAGGAGGTGGATCAAAGGTCGCACCGTTTGAAAGCTATCCTCCGAGAAGCAAACATGCGCCGTGTGATCTTCGACGGGATACCAGACGAAGAACGAGAGGCAGTCAAAGCCTTTGTGGACCAGAATAAGGAGAGCTCCCTCAAAATTAAACCCAAGGTGTGTATCCTTCCCATCGTTCTTCCTTTCTCGTTTGTCTTTTGTTCCCTTCGGTCAGGTTCGCGATTGTCACAGCAATTGTCTAAGCAGGAGCCTGTCATGGCAAGGCCGTCTATACTACATAGACAGACGGCCTTTGCGATCATCTCATGGCAGTGATTCGGCGGCCCACCAGGGTAGCGTGCGTCTCTGCTGGCTTGCTAGATGAGCCGAATGTGTCAGTTCGCATTAGAAGACGCGACTCCCAGGGTATCATTCGTGTCAGGGTGGGGTGTAAAGCTCCAAAACAAACACTGAGAAGCCTTTCCCTGCCCTGCCGTCTTTCGTGGCGATCTGAACGGGATGTTGCCACCAGGTCCACCGTCAGCGCTCGAGCATTTCCGGCCAACGGAAGAACCATTGCAATATCTGACCATCAACTTGCCATGGGAACTGCCAGACAGTTTTAAATGTCATTGATGGATCAAGCACAGTGTTGATGGTCAAAAACGCAGCTCCGCGCCACGGGTGGTTTCGGGTAGCTACTAGCTGAACCGTGTCAGGAGTGTACCTTTTCCCCGACCCCTGCTATCTGACCCGAGTCTACGTTTCTTGGGTCTGGTTCGCGCCTGTCCCACACACACGCACTTTTCCTTCGTATCACCCGGCGATTTGTTTTGGCACCGTCTACCTTGATTCCATGGTTCAGCAAGTTCCAGCCTGAGCTTCGGGCAGCGGGTCTCGGACCAAATTTTGAGTGCAGTAATAATGTCTGATCTGACTGACTGTGTTGCTTCTCTAGGGCTACGAGGTGGACAACGAAAACATCCTGTTGCTACGCTTACGCAGCTTCACGATCAGCAAAAGTCTGGCTGATGTAGACTTGCTCGGTCCTACTGTGCAGGAGAAAATTGCCACCCTGATCGGTACCATGGAGCCATTTGTAAGCCCCTCAACTTTCCTTTTTTTTTTTTTTTTGCGTTCTCCAGGTTCCCGCGCAGGCTGCAGCGATTAGGTCCTAGCACCCCTCTCAGGCCTCCCGGACTCCGGGCTCTCTTGGGAGTGTTGGCCCGCTGGGTTGATGTTGCTCTCAGCCACTTCAGCGGTCTGCTGCCCTTGGTTATCCACCAGGGTGAACAGGAAGCTGAAACTAGATGAGCGTCGTGACCATGAGGGAACTCGCACTGGCCACGAATCATAATAACCATGTGATGGATAGGTTACGTATCTCAACAAAGTCGTCATGCCGGATCCTGGAGCCCAAGACTCAACCGACGAGTCTGAGGACGAAGATGGCGCCAGCGTCTGAGCGACCTGGCCGTCGATATAGGGATAGTATTGCCCATCTTATCTTGTCTTGGAATTTTCGAGTCGTATGGTTCTGTCGCTTTTTTTTTTCCAGTCTGCTTGTTTCAGCCCCCCTCATCCTTCCTTCTTCTTCAGTCCGTTTTCGTTGGTGCTCCTCCCACAAGACATTTTTAATCTTTTTCCTTCCCCCCCAGCAACCACATTTTGCGTCTGCCTTCCTTTGGTACCATTTCCCCTCGTCCACAATAGAAGTATGCTAGCAAAGTTCTTTTTCCTCCCCTGTTTTACAATGCGTCCATCTTTTTGTAGACCATCATCATCTCCTTGGTATCCCCCCCCCCCCCCCCCCCCCCAGACGGACATCGGCACGCGCTTATTTTCACCCTGACCGCTACTCCATGGAGTAGAGACTGAAAGAAGGTTCTCTCGGATCGACAGGCCGGGGGGAGGGGGGGGGGGGGGGGGGGGGGGCCACGATACAACAATACGAACGTCGGAACGACCTGACAGTGACACTTTTCTGGCACTGCTACCTGCAGTCCGCTCGCGCCGCAGTCGGCCCGTCGGTCTTTCCGTTGGGTTGGCTCCACGCTGGTCCCATTATTATTCATTCTGGAGTTTTCAGGATTACCCAGTGGGCACTGGGCAGCGGCACTGCGGCAGTGCATAGCGCGCGCGTGGTGGTGCACAGTGCACACTGGACACTGGACACTGGACACCGAAACGTCGGGAAACCAAGGGTGTGAGGAATGAGTTCCACTTTCCAGAGCCAGCGAAAGTTGGTCTCGCTGTCCGTGTCTCTCGTGTCCCATGGTTCGAGGAGGGGAAATGGAAGCACCGCCGAACCAGCCTGCTGGAGCCATTTTTCTGCATCACTGCCCAAGGTAAGAAAGTACAGACCAACGCGAAGGAGAAAAATAAAAAAAGGGAAAAAGAAAAAAAAAAAAAGGAAGAGAAAAAGAAAAAGAATAATGGAATAAATAAATCCAACCATGGTGGGTCGTCCGTCTTTCCCTCTCCCATGGACCAGAATGGGTGTCTGTTTCGGTCTTGTTGCGTCCGACAATCATGCAGCTCCTTTTCCGTCGAGTCGAGTCGATTCGATTCAAGTCCTTTTGGAAGGGGGGAAGAGCCCGAGCTAGGCTTTAGCCTGCTGTCTGCTGTCTGTTGCCTGTTGCCTGTTGCCTGTGATTGTGACTGTTAGCCTGTCAGAGATGCGTCTTGATCTGTCGGGGGTGACATTGCGGTACAGAGCATGAGAGGAGGAGGAGGAGGAGGAGGAGAAGAAGAAGAAAAACAAGAAGAACAAGAAGAAAAAGATGAGGCATAGTCTCCTTTTTTGGTGCCTTGGGGCATTTATCTAGTCTTTTGGAGAAATATTTGGCGGAGCTGACGTCCATCAACTCGACATCGCCCACGTCGACGACATGGACAACGATCAAGATGAAGGCAAACCAAGGACAAAAAATTAGGTTCATGTAACTAGAACTGGATTATTGCATTGAAATAGGATAATTAATATTTGGGGATCTGTGCTCTGGCCTCGTACCATACACGGAGAAGATCTCGAGCTGTACTCCGCGTTCATGCAGGAGACGACAGGGATGGGATAGTGGTACGAGATTGGCATATTATCAAGGTATAGGTAGTAACATAATAACCAACTATGGTATGATGTACTACAAGTATATGTTAGTGGTAAAATTCTCGTTTGAGGAGGATGACATGGATTGATTATTGTTGAATGTTGGATCTACTAACTACCTAACCTAGTTTATTTGCCAATGGCTCACCACAGCGTACAACAAACTAGGCATCCGTGTAGTCCAGAGTCTAGATCAGGATCCGAATGCCGGGAGAAGAGAAATCCTGTTCGAAATATTGGAATTTGGCTGGGTTTATTGGTGGACGGATCCCTGCGCGAGTCATGTCCCTTTCTTTGTTCTCTCAACATTCGTCTCTTGGTTGGTGATTGACCAGGAACACCTGGTCAGATACTACCAGGTACCTCGATAGGTACCTGGGTATTCGGTTACTCCGGACAGACTCACCAAGTCTTCTTTGTCTGCTGTCTTTTTAAGTTTCAGGGAATCTCCCCTTGCATCAATGGTGGCTTCCAGTCGATTTGTCGAGAACCTGTTCCGAGTAGTGACAAGACACTGACAAGAGGTACGGAGTACTTCACTATTTACTCTGTAGTGTATGTAGTAGGTGAATTTGGATCCTGGCAGGTCTCTTTAGTCCCTGTCAGGTGTGCAGCAGAGGTAGTTACTCCATAGAGAGGTACTCCGTAACTAGTCAAGCGATCTGCAGGATGACAGGTGATGTGTCACACCACCGGTGATCATCATAATGCAGACTTAATATGTAGTAGGGATGTGTAGTAGGGATGTGGTAGTAACTAGGTAGGTACAGAGTACTCTGTACAGAGGACTCCGTCGAGAGTATTGTTAGGCACCAACCAGCCTGGGTTAAGGCATCAACCGGTCCTCCCACATTAAGTTTACGCGTAGAGAATTTTCCCACCGCATCTATATGAAAAATCGCCCAGATCTCCTCTTGATTGGCGTGTTGGTGGCCCTCGTGAAAAGCCACCCAGGCCAGCTGACGGTCATGATAGGCTCGCAGTTGTTCCCGTGACCGACAACTCATGCGGGACGACGGGAGGAAAACAGGGGTCTTCCATGATATTTAGTCTTACTATTTGGGTTAGTCCTGGTACTACCTAGTACGGAGTACCTAGGTTAGATACAGTGGTACCTACTAGGTACCTACCTACTTAGGTACAGAAGACACTGTAGTACCGGAGTAGTAGTAGTTGCTATCTAGTTTCTACCTAGTTAACTAGGTAAGATACCACGTCAGACTTGGCATCTACATACCATCAAGTTAGGTAGCAAACCAATGACGCAGTGACGGTGGATGCTGGCGGCAACGGAAAGACGCGGACGGCAATGCAAGTGCGCCAGCCACACCGATTGGTTTTCTTCCACTCCGAGGTAGCACGGATTAACTAGTTGACTAGGAGTAGTTGACTAGGAGTTAGTCAACTAGTAGTAGATACTAGATACGTAGAGGCTAGTAGTAGATACTAACTACCTAGGTAGATAACTGGAGGCTAGTATTGACTAGTATTGTACCAGTCCGTGTCCGTGTCCGTATCTGGTCCACCACCCAGTGCGGACTGGCGGCGGCCCCTCCAAGAAAAAACGTGGCAAGAGGATTCCAATTTCCAACAAACGAAGCGCTAAACAAGTGCCTCATGGTGCGACGAGTTACTTGTATGATTACATACAGAGTATTACACAGTATTACACAGTATTACAGAGTATATTATACTTGACTTTATAATATAGATATATATACATACATATCTATATTTATTTCATATGAACCTAATTCTTAACTATGTTACTTACCGAGGTATCCAGTACTACAGGCCCTACCTAAGTACAGAGTACTCCGTACCTAACTTCGCGGCCTCTGTACCGTATGGTAACATCCTATGTACTACTAGTCATGCATGAGATCGGCGGGAGGTCGGAGCGGCCCGCCTGGACATGGTCGGAGATGGCCAACGAGGCACGGTGCCAACCGTCCGTTTGCATCGATGGTTAACAAGTACTACTGTTTAGTACATGCCAGGTTTTTTTTTTTCTTTTTTTCTTTTTTTTTTCTTCTCTTTTCCTTTTCTTTTTTGCTTCTTCTCCTTTTTTTTTTTTTTAGTCCCTTTACTATTCATGTGTAACGGTTCTGATTCCTGCGAGGACTGTAGTGTAGTACTATGCAGTCCGAGTCCAGTCACAGGTGATCCGAGCGTCCGGCTGGCCAGCAAGATAAACCCTACCTAGGTAGGTACCTAAGAGGTATTCGTCTTTGTCGGTTGTAATTAAGACGCCACAAGCTTGATGGGAAATTCAAGTAGCCCACAGAAAAGAAAGGGGGGGGGGAAGAATTGCAAAGGAAAACCGGGCGCAGAGGTCTCCCTTACGGAGTTTTAACTACTCCGTACATACTTCCTAGGGTAGCAAAGACTCTACTACATACTATTTGGTTACGTATGCGACGGGGATGTGATACCCCGCATCATTTGAGACATTCCAAGACAAGTCGTTGACTGGTAGAGGAAGTGAGGTATGTAGTGCTTGCTCGCTTGCTCTTTAGTTTAGGTACCTAAGTTTGCTATCGGGTAATTCTCTCGACTGGGATAAATAGGCCTAATAGCCAATGATCGTATAACACTCGGTAGTAATTACTCCGTGATTAGGTACCTAGTAATGTTAGTTAGTAGGTAACTAGTGGTAGGTAGCAGGTACCACGACTTATTGGATCGGTGAGTCGCGCGCTAATGCAGGATACCTGGGTGTGCCCATAACGGGCACGCTGGTGCGGTCCCAGGACTGTAGCACTGGGACATTAGGGCCCTCCACTCTCTGCCCCTGTTATTGGATACCAGAGGCTTACTCGACCGGAATACGGAGTACCTAACGGAGTGAGGTACGGAGCACCTTACGGAGTACCTTGCATTTCTTGGGTACGGAGTAGAGCATATATACTTCATCATTACGTAGGTCAAGCTTGGTGGCAAATTTTTCAGCTGACTACATACCACATACTAGTTACATACTTACTACTATCATTACATAAGGATCGTGATAAAAAGACTATTAAACAATTAATCACCTATTAGGAGTACTATATAGTAGCAGTACTACAAGTCTAGGAAGTCTCGGAAGACCTCCGCAAAGGGAAATAGTCCAGACTGTACCATGGTAACGCAGGCCGTGGTAACGCCATCAAGACCACGGTATCCAAGACGTACCGTACCGTATCTACCGAAGGAACGGAGGCTCATGCAGCGACGGCTCGGAGCGCTCCTTTCCCGTCATGGGGCATCGCTGATAGTTACCTAGAATATGCTTTATAGCTACAGATATAATAATATAAACTCGTTATTGATGTCCTCGGTAGTGTAGGGATTGATATCAATGTGTATATTACACTACGTAGTTTCATCTTTATTATGATTCCCTCCCTGATGTTCCCTGTCCTTTTATTCTTGTATGCACATTCCTGTCGGTGATCCTTGCAGACGGCCCAGCCCGTCCGATCGCAAGCCTCGCCCGAGCCTTGCGTTACGGAGTACATATTTGTCCTACAGTCTTGCTTCAAGCTACCTAGGTAATTAATGAGGTGTACGGAGTATGATTCGAGGCGTACGGAGTATGACTCGAGGTAGAATAAGTTCAGAGTATGAAGAGTATAGCTTTGTATCATACTGTACTCATATGTACTCATATGTACTCCTTCTGTACTCATTCCAAGTCAACTAGTTACCTGAGTAACTACTACCTAGGTACGGAGTAGTTGACTAGCTAAGACTACATACACCGCTTAGACATATAGCTGCAACTTCATCAACCGCCAACCATGCAGCAGGCCTGATCTGGATCTCACCGCTTGGCGTATTACACCATGAGGACTTGCTCTCCGTACTGTCCTACTGCCAGCGATAGAATTACAAAAATATACTTATATTTAGTATGATAGCTATAGAGTTAGTATATAATAGTATAGTATGATAGAATAGTATAGTATAACAGAATAGAATAGTATAATAGAATAGTATAGCATAATAGAATAGTATAGTATTATACTGTATTACATACCGTACATACCAGCCCAAACGGCGCCCGATAGTTTCAGCTGATCCCCATAGAACCATGGATCCCAGCGACTCTGGCTTGGCTGCGCCTGAAGACTAGGATGCGAGGTTCCCCATCCATGTCTATGGGTCGTTGGCGTGTTGGGTCCGACCGGCTTCTTCATGACCGCCATTTGCCCCACTGTCTGCTATGGAAGATGAATCTGAATTTTAATACTAGCAGGATTACTTTTTTCACTGTTTGACTCCTCCCTATTCCTAGTCTTTTATCTTACAGATACATAGATCTTTCTCCTCCTCAAGAATTATCTAGTGATACCATCAGGTAAGTTTTCAGTCTTGACCCTCATCACTACATATTTCCTCTCTTATTCCTCTCTTCTTTTCCTCTTATTCCAATCTTTTCTTTTATTCTCGATTTCTCTAATCTTTCTCAGTCTCCGCCTCTTCCCGCCCGAAACCCACTCGCGCTTTCAACTTAAACCGTTTCCGTGCACGTCATCAGCCCTTTTTTTTTTATTTTGTCTCCTGGTCACCTGCTTCCTTTTTCCCATTGGCTTTCTTTTTTTCTTTTTTTTTTCACTCTTTTTTTTTCCCTCTCTTTTTTAATTTATTGATTTATTATTTCAATTATTATTTATTACATACTGTATTTTACATTTCACCAACAAAAAAAAAACCTCCCACGAGGGCTATGCTGGCTTTCGCTGCACATCACCCGACGGCAGCTGCTTCTCTCCTCTGATTTGACCTCCCTCGCCTACTGCCTTCATTGTTGTGATCCGATCCCCTGCCATCATCAGCGTCATCCTCATCCTCATCCTCATCCCGACCCTGGTCGTCTCGTCGTGACTCGCCTCCTCCCCTCAGCCTGCCCTCCACCTCTCCCTATCCACCCTCCGTCGCAAATCTCGCCTCTCTCTCTCTCTCTCTCTCTCTCTCTCTCTCTCTCTTTCTCTCTCCCTTTCTTCCCTCCCTACAAATGTCCAGCAACCCCCACGATCCCTCCGATCCTAATCGACCGCCGACTCAGTATCCACCTCCCCAGTGGACCGCTGCCAGTCATCCGGACGAGCCTGCCCATCAGTCTCAGTACTCGGTATCTCTCTCTCTTCTACTCTCTCTCTCTCTCTCTCTCTCTTCTACTACTACACACACACTCTCTCTTTCTCTTTTGTTCCCCCCTGCTAATCATCATGATGATTCAGTATCCTCCTCCCGCCTCCTACGCTCCTCCATCTCATCCTCATCATCCTCCTCCTCCTCATCCTCCTCACCCTACGACTGACCAGGATCGCTCCGCCTACTCGTCTTCCTACCCTCCTCCGCCGCCGCCACCGCCGTCCGCTCAATACCCCCCGCCGCCCGCCAACATGGCCGCTATCCACCCTCAGGTTCAGGGCCCTCAAGATCCCTACCGTCTGCCTCCACCCCCAGGCGCATACCGTCCGGCCGATGTCTACGCCCAGCCTCCGCCCCAGGTTGTCTACCAGGCCGCCGCCCCGCGCCAGCGCACCGCCATCGCCTGCCGCTACTGTCGACGACGAAAGGTACGAATACAGCGGAGGGGGGGAAAAGAAAAGAAAAGAAAAGAAAAGAAAAGGCTAATTCTGATGGATAGATTCGCTGTTCCGGCTTCGAAAGCTCCCAGGACGGTCGTTGCAGCAATTGCATCCGGTTCAACCAGGAGTGCATGTTCACCCCGGTCTCCTCCCAGGCCCAGGCCTTTGTGCCCGCCCACGCCGCCTACCCGCACCTGCGCAACCCCCAGAACCAGGGCCGCCCGGGCGTCACCCTCTACGGCGCCCATGGCCAGCCCCTGCCTCCTCAACAGCAGCCTCCCCCCGAAACCACCTTGCCTCCCCCGCAAGGCATGTATCAGCATCCTTACGGCCGTCCGCCTCACCTGGATGACCGATCCGTTCCCCCTCCCCTGGCTCCGCCTATGCCTCAGGATCCAGTATGTCCTCTCTCTCTCTCTCTCTCTCTCTCTCTCTCTCCCTCTATACCAGCTAACTCTTCTCAGAGACAGCCTGGTGCACGTCGCGGCTCAGGTGCCGGCTTCGAATACCCTGATCCCACAAACCTGGCCCCAGTGACCCCCGCCGTGTCATCCGCAGGCTATCCCGGACACCCCGTCCCCAACTCGTACTACCCACCTCCCCCCCAGCACGATCGTCGTCCGTCCCCTCAGGCCACCTATCCTTACGATAGTCGCCACTCCTCCTCCCCACACAGCTCCTCGCCGTATCCAGCCTTGCATCCTGCCCAGCCGGGCATCACCCCGCCACCAACCTCCACTGCAGCTCCGTCTCGTGGTGGTCTGAACGTTCGCGATATGCTCAACCCGGGGGACCAGAGCCACGGCCGCTCCAGCACCGACAGTGATATGCTCAACGCCCTCAATCGCCGTGGCTTGAACCAGTAATCCGGGTGTGACCTCAGTATTGACGGGGAGAGGAGAGGAATGGCAAGGGAGAGGGAGATGAAGAAAGAACCGGGATCTTGTGTGCTGGCCACACAAGATTCCGCTTCGCAGATTCAAAATGATCGATGATGTTTTCTCTGGCATGGAACGGAATAGAACCGCCTTTTTTTTTTTTTTTTTTTTTTTTTTTTAACAACAAGCCGTTTGCTCCGGACCTCCATTTTTCAAAACGCCCATTGCTGCTACGATTCGACCGGTCTTATGTTCGCCGTTATGATGTCAATTGACTCTCACGAATTCATGGAAAACGAGATGCGGGGAGGGAGCCTTACGAGCCACACGAGGGCGTTTCTTTCTCCGGTCCTGAAGGCAATTACGGTCATCAGTTGAATTTACATCAAGGAGAGAGGGAATGAATGACAAGGGGAGAGAAGAAAAAGAAAGAGAAAAAGAAAGAACACCAACAATTAGAAAGTATCCCGGGGCGACCCACTAATGCTGTGATTTGAACCTGTTCGCAAAAATCCTCCCTCGTTTCCTCATCTGGTTCAAAATCTCTTCTTTCTTCTTGCGCAAACTTCCCCATTTCCAACACTGAGAGGGACCATCTTGGTAAAAAAAAAAAAAAAAGAAAGAAAGAAAATCATGGACGAACAGGTGCTGGCAGCTTTTGTTTTCTGATGATACCTCTTTTGTATTAAACCCTTCCTCATGTCTCGGGCGGCTCTCTGTCATGTTTTTTGTTCATTGTTTGCTTTCTCTTTTTTTTTTTCTTTTTTTTTTCCTGGAATGGGTGGCAATCTGAGAATCTGGGGTTCTCCTGCGGTTATAGATGCGAGGACACACGGTTCCCATGTTCATGTTCATGAAACTCTCTCGGTTCAGTCGATCTGACGGGAGAAAAAAAGGCATATGGTCTATGGCGGTCTGCTGCGTTTTCTTTTCCTTTTCTTTTCTCTTTTTTCCTCCCCCCATGCTGCGATTGAGATTTGTGTTCTGCGTTGAGCTTGTTCCATTAGGCTATGTTTTTTTCTTTCTTTTTTTCTCGGGTGGCAAGCTGCTTTTCAGTCTCGAGTTATGTTATCGTTTTTTTGTGTCCTCTCTGCGATTTGCATGCTTTTCGACTTTTCATTGTCCTACTGTCTTTACGAAAAGATCTTGTTTGCTGTTGTTCTCTTATACTGGGAGGCTGTCTGATCATCTTGTACTCTATTTAGCTATGTCAAGGCTATTCGCATGTCAATGTCTTCGTAGATGAGTAGAAAATCGCTGTTATAAGCTAGACAACTTCCTTATAGTTACTGTAATGGATTGGACTGCGGTTGTATTATCTAACTATCACCAAGCTAAATGCACGAGCAAGACAGCAGACAGACACCTAAGAGAAACAGAAGAGGATGATCTAGACAGTAAGAGTAACGAGTGGACGCTTGCCTCTTTCCCAGATGGAAGGGATGCTTTGCATAACGAAGGTATGAGAGTACAGTACTATGTAATAGGTAGCAAAAGAAAGAGAGACAGTGAAAAAAAAAAAAAAACAGAACAGAGTAGGCTTCTAGAAAGCATCCAGGACACGAGTCATCTTCTTTGCCCGGACGGGATCCTCGACCAGGATGCCGCGCTGCTTGAGGACGTTGCAGAGGGTATCCACGACCTTGTGGAAGGAGGACGCTGCGCCGCGGTCCTGGCGGAACCGGACGAGACTCAGGTTGGCTTGTCGGCCGTGTTCGAGGACGGTGTAGAATTCGGCGGAGAATTCGACGGGGTTCAAGCGGAGGACTGTTCATTAGCGAGAGCAGGAGAGGAAAAAGGCAAGGGAGGAACTTACGATTATCATCACCGACTCTACCGCGTATAGTACTGTTGGCTTTGTCGAGAAGGACTTGTTCGATGCCGTACTGTTTCCAGTCGCGCAGGATCCGGTACACATCCCGCCAGGCCTTGACTTTGGACGTGTTGAGCGCGGCAACTCGCGTGGCCGGCTTGATCTGGAAGACACGGGCGAACCAGTTCTGGTTCTTGGGGCTGGGGAGGTGGAGGTTGGTGGTCTGGCTTTCCGCGCCAGGCTTCTGCGAAGTGATCGTCTCGTAGGATACGTTGCGGAGGCTACCAGCTGCACTACTAGCTGCAGTGGCAACCAGGATGGCCTCGGGGTCCTGGTAATCGCCGGCAGCGACCCTGACGTCCTGTTCCTTGCTGCTGCTCGATTTCTTCTTGATGAGCTTGCGCAGGAACCCGCCCTTGGATTTGGCGGAAGAGCTGCTGAAGTGCGAACAGTCGGTCTCGTTGGACGCCTTGCGCACTACGTCGGCCGGCTTGACCTCATGCACCACGACTGTAGTGTTGCTGGGATGGATCTGCTGCGCATCCGAGAGGATCTTGTGTGGGGTGTTGTCGTCCCCGGCGGCCTGCGGCTTTTGTTTGAACCAGGTCCACTTCTTGACGTTCTCGCCAGGAGCCCGGACTTGGCTGCGTCTTGGTGAACGGGGAGGAACCTCATCGATGGGGTCCAGTCCGCAGGGGGACCGACCCGGCTGCGAGCTGCTGGACATGTAACGTGTTGGGGAGCCGCTGTCGTAGCGCTCGAGCCTCTCAAATAGCTCCTCCGCAGGCTCAGTGGCTTTGGCCGTCGTTGGGCGGTTCTTCTTGCGGATGGTCAAGGGCTTGATCTCTTCTAGTGAACGCATCGACTCATGCGGCACCATGCGGATCGTAGTCTTGCCATCACGGCTGAAGAGGCTACTCCGTGTCGAGGGTTGGGACATATTCCGGGCTTCCCTTGCTCTCGATTGTAGCTGCGGGTCGCTATGGACTGGAGTCGGTAGTTCCTCCCTGATAGGGGGAAGCTGGCCGGCGTCAATCGCGGAGCGGGTAAATGGATCACAGTCGTCGATTGCGAGAGGTTTCTGCTTGTGTTTGGACATGTCTTGCTCGATCAGTCGGTCCATACAGGCAATCACCCTAGCCAAGTCGGCTAGGATCTCCTCTGAACCATCCTTGCTGGAGTATTCGATCAGCTTGCGCCGGGTTTCTGTCAATTTTGCAAGACTATATGACCGTGGGAACTCCGCCGGGCCATCAGGTAAGGGCTTGCTCCGCACCTTCGCTCCCGACATCATGGGTTGTAAGGGCTCAGGGCTCGCTGTGCATACAGATGTCGCTGGAGTGTCACAACCTCCACAGATGCTGGCTGTCGAAACAGTAGACATCGAAGTGCCATTAAAGGCTTCCTCGCAAATCTGACTGAGCTCGTGGGAGACTTGCCTCGCCTCCTCTCTCCAAGCATAGTTGGCTTCGCGTGCCTTCTTGACCTCCATGCCACTATTTCTCATGGTAGCAACGCCACTTCGCACAACCTTTGGCTGAGTTGGCAGGTGCGGGCTATCCACCACATCTGATGGAAAGTTCTCCTTGACAAATACCTTGGCACTACTCAGCTCACTCGACACCTTGCGCTGTGCTGGTGGGCCCTTGGTCATCTTGCCCGATGTCGAGCCTTGAGAGCGATTGCGGACATGTCTGAAGGATACATTCCGCTTGTAACTGGCAGAACGAGCCGTGGCAGGCCCGTTCATCCCTCGACGGGAGCTTGAGTGGGAGACCCTCGACTGGAAAGACTTGAAGGAGTTAATATTCGACTTCTTGTTCGCCAGCACGGCATATGGAGAGCTAGGGTATGCCCCGGCATTCTCCTCTGACATATCGTCATCGACATCCATTGCGTCCAGGGTATCCTCGACAACATGCTCAGGAATTGAGGCCTTATGACTTGCTATAGACACCTTCCGATGGACGGTGATTTGGGCATACTCAGCTTCACCTCCCATGTGGCTATGTGGGGACCTATACGGGTCGTAGCTTTCCACAGTGCCTGACGATCTCGGTTCCTTAATCGAGTTCATGAACCGAGAGGTACCATCCGTAGCAACAGAGAAATGACATCGTCGCCGAAGATGGCCTGGTCTGCGGCCGTTCTGGCTGCGCCTGGCGCTCACGCGGAGAGCAGGCCTTGAAATGTGGTGGTAGTCGCTTGCTGAATATTCAAGTGGCTGGCCTTGGTAGTTCTCCAGCTGCTCGTCTCTAAACTTCAGCAATGCGTTGTAAAACATTCTCTCGTGGCTCGGCCTATTCGTTAATCACCATGTCAGTCATTCTCTTCGTGAATTGCATAACGAAAAATCATTCCTGCCACTTACTCAAGACTCAACAGTCTCTCAATCAGAGCATCCGGCTTGACTCCATGCCATAGAGTCTGGAGATTCCGCAAGATGTCCGGGTCGATATCCTGCCGACCATCCACTGGAGGGCCGCAGTCCTTGCCTGACAGTGGTGGTGGGGGCCCAACAAAGTAGTCAGACATGGCCTGATGAAGCTTCTCATACTTCTTGAGCAAAGGGTGCATCCAAATATCCCGCATACTGATTCTGTCCTCGGGGCGTTTCTGCAGGATGCGTTGGATCAAGTCTGCAGCCTCATCGCTGAGCCAGGGAGGCAAGAAGTACTCTCCCTTCTTGACCAGACGAAGAGTGTTTGGCAGGTCCCCTCCATCGAATGGCAGAAAGCCCGTCAGCAAAGCGAAGAGAATGATACCGCAGCTCCACATGTCGGCCTTGTCACCACGATATCGATCTCCATAAATGATTTCTGGCGCTGCATAGTGTGGACTGCCACAGGAAGTATTCAACCAGTGTCCCGCAGGTTGAAGGGCAGCCATGCCGAAATCCGCCAGCTTGATGTTATGGTTTGCGTCCAGCAGGATGTTCTCCGGTTTCAAGTCACGGTGACAAATGTTGAAACGGTGGCAGTAGGCCAGACCGGCGATGATCTGTCGAAACAGTCGGACTGCTTCCTCCTCTGGGAGAGGCCCGTGGCTCGAAACGTAATCGAACAGCTCACCACCTTCAACATACTCGAGGACCAGGTAGCTAGATGCGGAGCAATCAGTCAGATCTTGTCACCTTAGTTCATCAATGGTTTTGTTTCTGTTTCAACTTACAGCTCGCCCCTGTTCTCCCACACGTCGTAGAGGCTGATCACATTCGGATGTTCGATTAGTTTCATGATCACCACTTCACGTTCAATGCCACAGGGCATCTGTCTAGTGCCAGCGGTTCCCGAAAAGAGGCTCGCATTTCTGTCCATGGCAGCAATACTCTCACTTTGTACCATCGCCGCCGACTTCTTCGACACGATTTTGATGGCAGCAGCCTGGCCAGTAACAGCATGCTTCGCCAGTCTCACCCGCCCCGTGGCTCCCTTCCCAAGCGTCTTCCCCAACTGCCACGGCCCAACATGCGTCTTCCTCTTGCCTTTCCCCGATGTTATTGACATCGTTGAGATGGCCGAGCTTCGGTTCGAGCCAGACTCCACCGCGACCGAGAGCTGGTTCTGGTCCGTGTGCCCTTTCATCGACATGGGGCTTGTTTGGACAGACTTCCGGTCTGGTGACTTGAGCTGATCACGGATCCTCTGGACTCTGTCACGTCTCTCGCTTTCAGGTGATGGACAGTTATTCACTCGACACGTCGCGTCCGCCAATGGGTAACGCTTCCCCTGAGGGGTGTGGTTACCGGGCGACTCCATTGCCGCCATATTATCCCAATCACTGTATTGGTCTCTTGGAGATTTTTATTATTATTATTATTATTATCGTCTGTAGTTCTGCTTTCTGTTGAATCCGGTTGGTCAGTAGAAGATCTTCCAGAAGTTCAGCAGGGTGACGTACAGAATTGCATCCTTTGTATGAATCTTCTGGATAGATGTTTGTGTATTCGACTTTCCGAAGTCTTACCGGATCAAAAGGAGGGTAGTAAGGAACGATGCCAGAAACCAGGCGTAAAAAAGAGAGAGAGAAAAAGGGAATAAACAAAAGCTCTCGACGGAGGTGAACCTGAAAGAACGGACGGTTTGGCCACCGACTCCAAACCAAACGAGATCAAACCTAATGGGCGTCGAGAATCAAGATTGTAGAGAGTGTGAAGATTGTCGAGTATCGAGTGTCGAGTGTCGAGTGTCGAGTGTCGAGAGTGTGTCCTAGTCGTGGTTGTCGACGTCTCCTGCTCCTGCTGCAATACAGTCAGGCGAAGACAGCAAGAGTCTCTCTCACAAGCAGCGGAACCTGTGCATCACTGGGGACCGACGGCTAAAGGGACCCAGGCCGCAGCTGGGAATGCCATGGCGAAGTCCCAGTCCCCGTGGAATGGAAAGCGATGAATGAATGAATGGGGGTGAGGTTTGTTTGTTGCGGTTTTCCAAATGCCTCGTCCCTCTTGCCTGAGGCCCGTCTGGAATGCACCTCCCGACACAACCCCGTTCTTCCACGTCTCGTCTTCTTTCAAGTCTAATGAGTGAGACAAAGGTTTGGGAAATAATCTAAAGGTCAAGTATGCTGTTATGTAGGTTCAGAGCTTGCTCCCTTTGCTCGAGTCGTCTTCCTGCTCTTCCCGCAGCTGCGTGGGAAGATAGAGCCTACAGTGCTAACTGTCAATTTTCCATCCTTCAGAAGTCCCCTCTGTGCAATTCTTCCATATCTACACGCCACTCGTTTACGAGTCTCTCGAGATTTTGCCCTATGACGCGGGAATCTCGCGTTGTTGCTGTGGGCATTCCATCGAGTCAAGGGGCACGCAACATCAACCCCCCCCTCCTCATCTTTTTCCTACTCGGAACACCCGTCCGACAGTTGAGCTCCATATATGTCAAATGCCTGGTGGCAACTTAACGTAATGTAAGGGTCGTCCGTGTTCTTCTTTTTCTTCTTCTTCTCCAGAAGACGAGATTCCAGTCAATCCGGTTATCAGCACGGAACGCATTCCAACGGCGGGATCTACTACATATCAGACAGCTAAGCTTTCAGCAATGGTTCTCGCTACAGCTGTAATTGTGAAAGGCAAGGGGATAGAGATTGTTCAGTTCAGTCAACGCGGACTGTCGTCTAGACTCTGGACTCTGCAAGATGTCGTCAGAGACACGCTACACTTGAGGGCTCCGATAAGGCTCCGATAAGACATTTTTGATGGGAGGACAATATAGGATAGAATGGATATAGAGCTTTAAGAAGTAGAAAGGTAGTAGGTAGTTACCAGTAGATAGTATTAATTAAGTAGCTAGCTAAAATCTGTTCTTCTGAATGTATATATTTTAGAAGATTGGCTTAGGTCTGAAAATAAGATGTATGCAATGATACTATATATCGAGCACTACAACATCTGTAATATATTTTTACTCGGTTTATATATATACAGGGACTATATACCATAAAGTTATAAATAACATTCACCTAAGGTTTTCCATATGCTATAATACATCATAACACTTTGTATGGGGAATACACCAGGACTATATTACTTTTCGTTGAGAATACTGCTATTAATGTTATAATATAACGCTTGGAAATTCTACCATATAATTCAACATGATAGTTGACACAGCATAAAAAAATCAGGCCAAATGACAACTCGCGCTGCCTCTGGCAGGATACTGATGGATAGACAGATAGGAACAGTGTATGATGTCTCTCAAACCCCTGATAATTTTGTCAAATATGACATTGCAAGAAGCTCTCTTCCATAGTCTAGTCCCAAGATAACCAGCGAATAATCGGACCAACCTGGCATTGCATTCTAATCACGGATCGCACGAACATGCTCCCAGTATTCTGGGCACCAACCCCCCATTTCCCAATCTAGCAAGGCAGTGACACGGTGCTCTTCATCAACAAGAATATTCCGAGGTGCCAAGTCGCCATGAGTGAAGATGATATCATGGTTATCTGTCAATTCGGAGACAGCGTAATGCTCCAAAAGGTCGGTACGGCAGGGAAGGTTTGCCGGAAAAGGAACTCGTTGAACTCTTTCTCATGAAAGAAGGGACCAGCTTCGCAAGGTGTGCGATCCTCAATCACAGCCTTTCCATGAGAAGCTGCCTGGATATAGGTTCCCTTGAGCCCTCGCAATTGCGATATGTATCCATGAAGATGATTGGCGACACCTGTTTTGTCCTCAGAAGTCATATGCGGCCAGGCTTGATCAAGTGGTTTGCCAGGCATAAAGTCCATGACAATACCGCCCACCTTTCCATCACCACCATATTGGACGGAATGTACTTTTGGCACAGGTATAGTAGTATTTTCGGCAATAAAGGTAAGGTTTCTGGCTTCGTGCTCTCGTTGGCCCCAACCACACACTATTGGACTTTGCCGTCACCTATCCTGATGACTCTGCGGCCTCCCAGATCATGAATGGTGGTTTTTTCTGATCGAGTCAGAAATCTTCTGGACGACTATTATACTGAACACAAATGACCTTCATCCATTACATCAAGTAAGCCTCAAACCTGTAGGAACTTGACAATGAGCGAAGGTGTAAACAAAGGGCGTAGGCATCGCAGCCTCGGGCATCTAGATTTCGAGCTCTGATTCGTCAACAAAGAGTGGGAACATATTTCAACATAAAGAAGTGGGAACAGATTTCATAATTGACATTCACCCACCTTCAACGAAGATCCATATAGAGATAGATGTTCATTTATGGTGGTTTATAGGGGCTATCAGAAGAAAAGAAAGGCAGGGGTTCGTTCTGCCAACTAGTTGAGAAGGCGGTGACAGACAGCAGAACACAACAGCAACTACGTCATCGCCAGAGACTCACCGAGTCGTGATAATAAGTTATCCAGATATAAGGCATTGGGTAGATAGATAAAGTAGATATATCTCGGTATATTCTATAGTCCACCAAGAGTGGCCAGGTAATTCCTGTTGAACCGTATGTGCATGGAGTGAAACAGTCCTGGTTGCTCCTGCCGTCAAGGGAAGTCGTGGGACGCGCCTTCCTCGCGAAGGAGAATACGCGACTCTTGCCAACCTCCAAACCTCCAAACCTCCAAACCTCCAAATCTTCAGCTCCTTCACCAGGAAGAACCCGAGCTTAGCTTGTATCGAAAGAGAATAAATCCTCGAGTCAGTCCATCAATCAGTCCAGTGACATCCTTTGCCCTCTTCTCGTCCAGTTCATCCGTCGTCAGAGCTCCAGGATCCTTTTTCACGTCAAAGGTAAGGGAGAGGCCAGAGGACAGCAGAGGGACCGTGAGGCCCTTGGAGTGGAAGCACTTCATTCCAGGGAGTTTAACATCTCTCACGTCTGTCGTGTCGTCCAAGAGACGCAGTTCGTGGCCGTTGGCTGACAGCTTGAGCGAGGAGATAGAATCGCCGGCGCCGCCCGCCTTCTGGTCGAGGAGGACATAAATCTCGTCGATTGTCACCGAACCGTTGCTTTGTCGCGCATAAAAGGGCACGAAATTAGGCAGGTTGCCCAGTGGGAGGGTGCGAGGCAATACCGCCTGGGATGGTTGCTTCTTGAACGCGTGCCAGGCCATGGAGAAGTCGTTGGGAAGATCGAGCAGTGCAAACAGTCCTGCAGCCTCGGAGATCTTCGCCGCGCCCTCCAGGTATGTCGTGAGCGCTGTTGTGGCAGCCTCGGCCAGAGCCGACCCTCCATCGCGAGCCGTGTATTGGATTTGCAGCACCACGTCGGAGATGCTGCGGTAGTCAAACTGACGGTACTTCTTGGGCAGGGCGATGGTCCACGTGCTGATGGCGCCTGCGCCCTCCATGGGCATGTAGCGCTCGCCGTGGAAGTCCAGCATGGCCACGCCGCTGTCGTTCTGCCCGTGGCTCACCGCGATCGCGCTGATGGGGATCTTGTCCACATGGAATCGGGCGTCCTGCTCCCCGCTGGACTTGTATCCGCTGTCGACCGAAGGATCGATGCGATAGCAGTGCGACGTCAACGTCAGCGTGCAGTTAAGGCTGCCGTATGGGCCCAGCACACACGGAATGCTCACCGTCACGCTCTTGATCCGCCGCTGGTAGTGACCCGGATAGTCTAGGTCGAAGAGCGCCTCGGGTAGCGAGAACGAGGCTGTGCCATTCTCGCGCAGGGATAGCAAAGCTAGCGGATTCACCTGGCGCAGCGAGACATTCTTCCGGATCTCCAGGCCAGCCGGCTTGTGCTCGACGTACGCGCACTCCAGCTGCTTCAGCCGGCGGTAGAGCGTCTCACCGGCCATGAGGCCGCCGGCCGCCGCATCCCACGCCCCGGTGACGGCGGTCGTGGTGGACGAAGATGACGAGACACCGCCCGTCTCAAAGCGCAGGGCGCGCTCGGCGCGGCCAGCCATCTGCAGGGCCAGCAGGTAGGTCTGGTAGAGGTGATCGCGCATCTGGCCGTCCAGCCAGATGTATAGCTCCTTGCGGGTCCATTTGCTCTGCAGGTGCTCGACGACGGCGCGGGCGTGAGCGATCTGGGTGCGCTGCAGTTCTAGATCCTTCTTGGCCATGGCGATGCGCTGCCTCTGCTGCTCCACCTGCCTTTGGATGCCCTGCAGCTCGAGACCCGCTATATTGGCCTGGAGCCGGCGTTCCTGCAGCTGTTGCTGTAATCGATTGACGCGTGCCGCCTGCACGCTCTCCTCGTTGTGGCTCTGCGCCTGCCACCGCGCGTTGCTGGCCCCCAGCGTAAAGTGCTGGCCCCAGGGCGGGGCAGAGATGTTGACCCCAATACCCCAGGGGGCCATCTGGGTTGATAGCGCAGGCAGCATGGCTAGCCCGCTCGCAATCGCGTCCATCCCGGATGCCATTACATTAAAAGAACCTGCCCACACGGCATGCTCGATCTCCGTCGCCTCGAGCACGTTCATGTGCCCCAGCTCCAATCGCCCGGAGCGCGCCACCGACTTGGACAGGGGCACCAGCTGCTGCTCGATTGGCACAAAGTCCGCTGCCGCCGCTGCCGCCGTCTTCTTCGTCGCCAGCTCGTCTCCAGTCAGCGCGGCAAAATACTCGAGGCGGAGGCGTGGCCCCCGCTGCGACTCTTCCAGAATCTCCAGCGTTTTCTCCGCCTCAGTGAGTTGCCCCTGTTTGAGCTCTAGCATAGCCGTGTGCACGGTGGCCTCGTGCGCGGCGCTGAGCAGCGCCAGGGCGTCCGCGTCTTGCCGATCGCGGATGGACAGGTAGCTGGCCGCGCTGGACTTGAGCTCCTGGCACAACTCCAGCGCCTTTTGCAGCAGATGCACAAACCGGTAATTGGGCATCGGCCCGTCATCGTCACCCCCCCAAGGCGGCGCCGTAGTCGTGGTGCTGCCGCTTGGACCCCACACCGCTAGTCGCCGGCCAGCCTCGAGGGGGTCAATGGGCACGCCTGCCGATGGCGGAGTACGCAGCTGGCCGTGGATGTCCAGCGAGTGCCGGATCTTGGACAGGCGGTCGTCAATCATCGTCCGCAGCTTGACCACCTCCGGATTGATGCCCACGCAGAAGTATGAGGTCGGCGTAACGCCTATAATGGTCGTTGGTGTCCCACCACCCGTGGTGGTAGACATGCTGCCGCTGCTGCCAGCACCCGGATAAAAGGGTAACAGCACCTCCATATCGATGCGAGCGTTGGACAGGTCGTCAAGCTCCTTGGAGAGCTGCGCGTAGCTGCGCACCGCCGCGGCGCGGCTCTTGGGGATGCGCGCCGGGGCAGGCCCGAAGACGTGTGCGGCCTCCACGTAACGTTGGATTGCCAGCGCGATGCTCTCAGCCGTGAATTGCCGGAAGTGGTGATCACCCGCGGCGATCAGAATCTCCACGTACTTCATCGCGACGCGCTTCATGTACACCAAAGGCCGGCTACGCGCCACCGCATGCGCGTTGAAAGGGTTCTTCCGCCACTCCAGCACGGTTTCAACCATGGTGTCCTCGACACCGCTGGTGGGCTTGGTATTGTTCAGAAGTGCAACCAGCGAGCCCGCCTCGGTCACGGTTTTGTCCTGGAAGGGGGCAAACCGCCAACAGGCCGTCGTGGCCGCTGTTGCCGTCGTCTGATTCTGCGCCTGCGGCTGGACCATGGAAGGGTCAAACACCAGGCGTGCAACCCGTAGGGCGAGGTCAAATTTTTGCACAGCCAGCAGACGCTCCATCAGCAGCAGAATGGCGTGAAACCCCAGCTCCCAGGTGTAGATGGCTGCCGGGGTGGCGGTCTCCTTGTACGGCGCATCGTTGAACCCGCCGTAGACGTTGGCAGCCACATTGGGTCGCACGGCGTTGGGTTTCTGCAGAGCGGCCTGGTAGATGGCGGCAATGTCGTCATACACGCTCGCTGCCTGGACCAGAGCTGGCGACACGATGTGGTCCATCCTAACCGCCGTTGGAGCGACGGCTGGCTCCTTGTCGTTGTCCTTATTGTTATCCATGCGCACCGCCATCCACACTTCAACGCGGTCCGAGTCACACTGGGCGACCTCGGTCACCAGGCCTGTAGACCCGTGGTTGCTCACCAGCGAGGTCGTCCATTTTGCGATGCGCAATGCGGTGTCGGGGATGCTGCCGGCCGGCATGTCCGCCATAACGACCGTTTCCTTCTTCTCTGTTATGAAGGGACGCTGCCCCGCCTTGAAGTCGCTCGCAAACCCGGGCTCGGAGATGAACCGCCCAAAGACGGTCTGCTTGGTCTCCGTGTATTTCACCTCCACTCCCTCCGGCGTGTATGGCTTCACGGCCACAATCTCATGGCCCTTGAGTTCGAAGCTGCCCACGGGCACTGCGATAGGTTGACCAGTTTTCAGCACCCAGCGACCGACCTTGATGGCCAGACGGCTGCTATACACGTCTTTGGTCATCCCGGGGTTTTCCTCATCCATCACCATCTCGGTAACACGGATTCTGTCCTCCCAAAAGTGGAAGGAACTCACTGAGGGTAGCCCGGGTTGTTCGTCGACTCCAGCTAGCCGGTCCACCGAGAGGCTATCATGAGAGATGCACACGGGAGACCACTGCGTCCCCCGCAGGATGCTCATCCCAAGCTTGATCTCCCTGACAAAGTTAGCAAAGTGTGGAAAAAACAATGGGGTTTCCCAAGGTCTGGTGTGTCTAACCAGTAGTCATCCGGTGCTTTTCCGGGCTCGACGGATTTGCCGTCCTTCGACATGTTGTTGCTGGGGTCAGCGAGTGGCCGCGTTTTGGAGCTGATGTGCGCGATGAAGAGATGCAGCTGTTGGTTCATCATGGTGGGAATGAGGTACGTTCCCGGTTCATCTAAACCCCGGCCGTGCTCGTCTGTGGTGAGGGTTGGGATGTCGAGCGCCAACCGCTCCCATGGCGACCAACGCGGCACCGCCGTCTTGTCTCCTACGCGGCAATCCATTCGGCGGTAGTAGTAAACAAAGGGCGCGGTGCGCGTGCGGCCAAAGAGGTGGACAACGTATGCTTTCTTTTCGGCGGTGCGGTCCCAGCAGTAGCTCTGGACGAGCAGCTGCGCCGTGTCGTGGGTCTGGAAGATGTACGTCTTGATCAGGGATGTCACTGTCGCCTCTGTGAGCTCGCTCTGCATCATCCCGCGCTCTAGCTCCGCAAAGGCCGGCGTCTTGTTGTCGCGCAGCGTCGGGTCCGCCCAGTTTTCCGGGTAGAGGAAGACCTTGCGGTTGGCCTCCCACATGCGATACTGGCCCATCCACGCCCAGCGGTCCACATTTATCGAATTTGCGGCGATCTCCGGCTCCAGACCCAGCAGACAGCGCTGCACGAACAACTGGACGCTGGCGATTGCCTGGGCCATCCGGTTGGTGCGCATCGCCGCCCCCATCTGCACGTCCAGTAGCAAGTACTCGAAGAGGGCATCAGCGTCGTGCACGTTGCACCCGCGCACAATCTTATTCTGCAGCAGATACTGCACCAGGGCGTCACGCCGGCGCTCGCGCAGCGCCTCGTGCATCGCTGCGAGTGGCCCTGGCCGGCTCGCCAGCGCCGTGACGATTGCCTCCGTACCCGACAAGCGTGGCTGAGGCTCTGCCAGGCCGAACAGCACTGGCAGATGTTTTTCCTCTGGCCAGCCACACTTCCGGAACCATCCTACCTGGCGTGCGAGTCGGTGCGGTTCAGCGATGCTGGCAGCTCCCAGCAGCGCTACCCGGCTTGCCAGATTGCTCTGTGGATAGTTGAGATCCAGCAGGGCCCGGGCATATGAGGGCGCTACACCGAGCGCGGCGGCAACGTGTTTCTCGAAGTCCTCAACTGTTGAGCTGGTGTTACTGCTTGTCTCGGCCGCCCACAGGAGAAGCTCAACCGGGGCGGTGGCCATCCGCATAGCTCGTTCGACCTCATCTAGTGACCAGCACGACGGGTTCAGTCGCAGGGCCGGGGATTGTTGTACACGGGCGAGCAGGGCCGGCGACAGACTTGACTGCCGAATCAACACCAAGCCACGTACGAATTCGCGATGGAACCCGCCCACCGCCGTCAGGAGAGCTGCCGGCACGCTGGTTGCTGGCTGCTCATTTTTTGGCTCCTGCTGCTGCTGCTGCCGCCCTTCCTGCTTCAGGATCGTGCGGATACTGTCGACTTGAGTAGCTAGCGAGGAGATCAGGATCTCGAGTACCCGCTGTTCAACGTCGGTATTCAGGCGGCCAAGCTGTTCCAAGAGAAAAGGTGACGGCAGGAGCCTGTTGGCGGGCTGGCTGAGCATGTCTGAGGCTAGCTTGGTGACCACCGATAGGACTTGCGGATCGCTGAGATGCTCCTCGGGCGACGATGATGCCAGGCTTAATAGCTGCTCTGCCGTCGAACCTGTGGCCACCACCGCGTTCCATCGCGTGAAAATATCAAGCGTGTGGGAAGGAGCCTGTAGAGCTGTCGGCCAGGAATCACCCAGGAAGGTCTGCAGCCGAGCCCCGCTGACCTCGGGAACACCAAGCAACTTGCAGAGTCCATGGGATTTGACATCATCCTCCTTGTCATCGTCATTCCCATCAGCACCCTGCCAGATGGCGAGTAGTGTCGGCAAGGGAAGGCGTCGCTGGACGCCGAGGGTGTCGAGCTGCCGGATCGCAGCGAGCTGCACTAGCATGGCGCCGGTGATCTGGCCAGAGTACCCCGGATGACAGGCCTCCAGCGCCTGATCCAGCATGGCAGCCGACCAACCCAGCCGCAGCGAGAGACGCACAAAGGCACCCAACCTGTCGCAGAGTATCTCCGACGGTGACTGGCCCTGGGTATCCAGCAGTCGCAGCTTGCCCAGCTTGGAGAAATCGCCCGGTGTCTGCGGGTTCTGCACCAGAAGCTTCCCGTGCAGCCATGGCACCTGTAGCACCGCGACCAGGTCTATGAAAGTGATCCCTGCCCGTGGCAGTAGCTGCTCTTGGATCAGGGCCAGCTGTTCCCCGAGAGTAGCCATCGTTGTTTCTGCAGGGAACCCCCAGCATTGCACCGGCGATGGTGGCTGCGGCTGCTCAGAGCCCGCCAGCTCGGACGGCCGAAGAGCCTCCTTGGTGATGGCAGCAAACTCCCAGTCCGAGAGCCCCAGTGCATCGGCCGCGGCGACGCGCTCCAAGGCCGTCGCCGACTTGCTAGCGGCCCGGTGCGGTGACTTCAGGGTGGAGAGCAGCTCGCCCTGGGAGCTACCTACAGCAATCAGCAGCTGACGGGTGGCTTCGATGTGCAGGTTGAAGGGGAGTGAGGCCATCGGGGTCACCAGCTGGCCGACATAGTCGTCATATAACCCCCAGTGGATATTCCGGGGCGTGGCCACCAGTTCCGCTGCGGTGTCGCCGTCGTGGCAGTTGTACGAGCTGGCACGGGGCATGGGTTGGCTTCCTTCCTCGAGCTCCGCGACCAGCGTCTCCATCAGCTCATTACACAAATCGATGTACGGAATCTCGACCTTGGTATTGGCGCATGACAGCTCAAGGTATTGCAAATCCGGGCGCCGCAGCAATAGCCGGTCAAGCACGCTACCCCCCTGGGCTCCCTTGGCCGGGTCAACCCAGGTGTTCTTGAGCATGCGTAGTAAATCCACCAGGTAAGCAGCCGGGCTTAGCAAGGAGCAGCAGTCATCGCATGCCACGTTGTCCATGTCGACCAGGACCTCGCCGGCAGCTGCACGCTGTGGGTGCAACTTGGGCATTGACTGCGTCGCCTGTAGGGATTGCGTTGTTTGCAACGAATCCACCGTCTGCAATGAATTCACCGTCCGCAGCGCTGCGATCGGTTCGTCGACGGCGCCACGGGCCTGAGCCCACAAACGCTCATTTCGGGCGTTGATGAGACTCGCGAGGGCGTGGATCTGCTCTGCGCTGCCAAGGATGGCGTCGCCACAGCCCAGAATAAACTGCTCTACAGCGCAGGCCGCAATTGCAGCCGCAGACTCGAAGCCCAGATCCAGCAGGCGCTGGATATCTTCTGGGTACTCGACCACCAGCGCGAGGCGCCGCAGGGTAGCGAGTGTCTTTTGGGCCATGGTAAGTCTTTGATTTGCCTCATCTTCGTCCTCCTTATGATCATCTTCGCTGTCCTCTTCGTCTTCGTCTTCGTCGTCGTCGTCGTCATCATCATCATCATCATCGCTGCTGTCTTCTTCATCGTTACCCCTGTCTCGGTTAGGTACCTCCCAAACCAGCAGGTCTAGAGAATCAGTAAGGATATTGAAGCCATCATTCTTGAGTGCTACCAGGAGTACACGGACGATGAGATTCTGGACACCGGCTGGCAGCTTCAGCTTGGCATGCCGAAGCCAGCCCAAGAGCGCCGCCGTGGGTTCGCGCCGAAACAGTGACCGCTTGAAAGCCTGCCCTTGCGGGCAGGAGATACGTGAATAGTTCCTCATGGCAACTGCGGCCACGGTCAGCGAGCCTCGGACGTCCTGAAGTGCCTCTTGGACCAGGACCACGTTGTGGTCTGCAAGCTCGTACAAGTCCACCACGGCCTGGAGGCGTGATTGAACCTCCTCTTGTTGTTGATTTTTTGGTTGCAGCTGGATTGTCGTCTCCTCCAGATACCGCTTGTGCGCCGCTGACAAGCTCTTGGTCTCGTGGAGAATGTCAATCAATGCCTTCAATTCCGTGCTGGGAGCCATGGTGGCTCTCAGCAGCATTTCGCATTGTTCCAACTCCTCTTCTTCGGACTGACGCTGCATAGTACTGAAATAAAAGGGGAAAATATATGTCGTTGATGGAAACTTGGTGCATAAATACTGACACTGACTAAAAAGTGTTCTTGTATTCCTACTACATATATATCTCTCCACCTCAACCTCCCCCCGAGGGCCTTTGCTCATTATTTAATCCATAAGGAAAGGTAGAGTTAAACTTCTCCAGGAAAGAATTGCCGATGGGTGACACCAATCAATGTGTATATGACCCCATCCGTGTTTGCGCTTGTATAGATTCTTCACTAATTAGTTACTAGCTTATTGTAACAGCCATCGCCATCCGCCATGGCCACCACTCATTAGACGAGATAAAAGCATCACATGCGTCGAGTGGAAGTCTAGAAGGTCGTCCTTGTGTCTATTTCTCTCTCCGTCGCTCTCTCTCTCTCTCTCCCTCCCCGCGTTGGTTTTTCCTTGTTACCAACAGTTATACACGACTCTTTTCTTACGACAGTAGTAATCTTCAGCATGTCTTCTTCCCTAATCGAGGTGATTGTCCCCGTTCTCTGGAGTAAAGACGCCCTCTGCTGACTTGATTATGTGAGGTGCAGTCCTTCGACCAGGTGACTGTCTTGTACGTTCCGTCGTTCCCGACTATGGGTGGGTGAAGATAGGCACAAAAGCTTGAGCTGACGCGGAGGGATGGCTCAGCCCACAGGGGATGATAAACAGTCTGATCCGCCAGTGTTCCCCCCCGCCGGGGCAGGACAACAAGCTGCGAGTCATGAGTCGATCGGGAAACGGGTTCTCCAACCTGGTTCCCGGTGTTCCTCGTCTCATCGTCGACATTGAAGGAAACAGCCCAGACCGGGTCTTTCTCCAACTCCCGCTCGTCAGCGGGTCCCTCAAGGTCTGGCAAGACAACAATCCTTCCAACGAGACCTGGATCGAGTACCACGTCGAAGATTGGTGCCTGGCGTTGCCGGTCAGGCTGAATGGTAAGACAGGGGCAACGCAGCTGCCAGAGAGTCTGCTCACGCCGATGGCTCAAAAGCGGCGCAAGGAGTACTTGAATCTCCACGGGCAGTTGAAACAGGCGGGCAGAGAAGTGCTGATATGGGACTGGTTGATGCAGATCGGAGGTAAGCATACCAGCCAAAGAGAAGGCGGAGAACTGCAACACACTGATTATCCTGGACAGTGGGTAACTTCCAGCCGGTGGACGCCAGGTATAGCAGCTTTGGTCGGTGGACGGACAGAGACTATTATGTCTCCGAGGACGTGCGCGAACCAGCCACGAAACGGTTTGCGGCAGGCAGCCCCCGGAACTGGCCGGTGGATGACAATCCGTGGTTTCAGCGCTTCAGCGAATGTCTGCAGGAACTCGGCCAGGAGCTCTGGCAGTCCATCACATTCGACCTGTTTAAAGGCGTGGCCGCGACCATCGTGGTGGCGCCTCCTCATTCTCCTTCTTCGCCCCCAGCCACAAAAGGTCGTCGTCTGTTTATCCAGCCGCGGGCCTCGGCGAATATGGGTTCGGATTTGAACTCGCTGTGTTTCCTAGAGGCCGATGGTGACGATACCGAGGGCAAACGCATTGCAGCCCTCGACCGGTTGACCGTCGGCCAGGGGTTGCTCAGCGTGCAGCTTCGAGCGGACCGGATCGTCGAGACATGGCTGGCGCCTGTACTGAATGCCTATAATGCCCTGTTCAGGGCGTGTTTCGGTGCCCCGAAAAATATCCACGACGCAATCAGTGAGTCGCAGCGCGGTGGCTACTCATTCAAGCGTTGCCAGGACCTTTTCGACTTCACACGGGCTGCTCCCTTCTATTTCAATACGCCTCCACTAGATGCACTGATCTGGACATTCAACAAGATGGATGAGTGGCGACATGAGAGTGTTCGTGAGTAGTGTCATCCCATCTCTCAATCAATCGAGCAAGTTGATTTACTTTACTGGCTTTAGGTCGAGAGATGACCACCTTTACAAAGCTCTCTATCCGTCCCGGGACTGCCCAAATGCATGTTGAAGTCCGGTATTATGATCATTACGCCTGCGACTCTTCCCCCCTCTTGCCTATCGTCCTTCCTAGGTATGTCCTCTGTCCCTTCGACCTTGATAGGGCTGATGGAACTTGATTGCAGCACACTTTTCACGGGGGGCACGATGGTTTTCACCTTCAAAGACACTGACCAGGGGCTCTGTCTGACCGCAGAGCATCTCTGGGAGGCTGTGGTAGAGTTTGTGAAACCGTTCAGTCACCACGAGTCCAATGTTCCCCTGATACAGCAGCAACTGGAGAAGCTGCAGAAAATGACCGAGCAGCTCCCTTTTATCACCTTTCCTCTGGTATCTCTCCCTCTCTCTCTCTCTCTCTCTCTCTCTCTCTCTCTCTCTTTGCAGTCTAACTGGTCTTTTAGAATAAACATATCCCGGGTATGCAGGGCAAATTGGTGACCAAGAATCTTCGATTTACTGCAGAGGGGTGTCTTGCCTGGGAGCTTGCATTGCCTGAGAATTGATTGATCACTGATTATAGCTATTACGATATGATCTAGTCACTTTGTTTCTATGTAGTAAAGAGCAGGTTACTACTTGAGTATACAGACAGAAGTAACTATACCACCTGCTACATATTGTCAACGAGTGAAACCTGATGTGACAGCACCTGCAGAAGGGAATTAAAACTAGCTAGTGACTATAATTAATAATAGGAGTTTATTATGATTATTATCTTCTATTTAGACTTCATTGTCTAGGGAAAAATAGCCGACCCGGTTGTATTGAATGAAGTACTCCGTATTGAAATACAACATAAGATGAAGAGGGGTTTATTCAATACTAATTAATTAATTAAATTCTAGATATAATCTAGACCAACATGCTGTCCCTCTTTTGAATTATCTAGAATTGGTTTCGATTGAATAATTGACCATGTGGAATTTCCCTGCAACAAAAACCACCACTTCGACTTCGACTCCTGCTCCTTCTTCTTCTGACAACAACCACCACCACCACCACCACCACCACCACAACAACGACAGCAATTCCACCATCAACAACAACGACAATATCATCAATAACAACCCTCCGACGACTTCTACGTCTGATAATAATGGCTCTCAAGGCGGTCACCGGTCGATCAGCCCCCAGTTCAGCGTCAACCCGGTCAACGGGACGATGAGCCTGAGCCTGCCCATCCACACCACCGCTGGACGCTCTGGGTTTGGCCCGCAGCTGAGCCTGTCGTACGACTCTGGCAATGGCAATGGGCCGTTTGGAGTCGGATGGCAGATGTCGATGATGGGAGTGGGTGTGTCGCGGAAGGTTTCCAAGGGGATCCCACGTTACGATGACTCGGACGTCTTTCTGCTCTCTGGTCTGGAGGATCTGGTTCCTTTGGGGACGCCGACCCTGGTGGGCGCTCACCACCGTGTCCAGCAGTATCGACCGAGGGTAGAATCCGAGAAGAAGATCCTCCGTATCGAACGCTGGACTCGTATTGATGATGATGATGATGATGATGATGGTGATGATGTACACTGGCGGACCATCTCGGCAGAGAACGAGACGACCTTCTACGGTGAGACGGACGAGTCGAGGATTATGGAGAGAGAGGGCAAGAGCTCGAGGATCTTCTTTTGGTTGATCTCACGTACGGTCGACGCCCTCGGCAACGCGATACACTTTGAATACAAAGCCGAAAACGCAGAGGGCCTCGACGAACTGGATGACTCGCGCTCGCTCTGCGAAACCCTCCGTCCGGCAGAGGCGCGCACGCGAGTCCGATATCTCAAGCGGATTCTCTACGGTAACTGCCAGCCCAGCCGTGATCTGGACACCTGGAACATCATTAAACTAGCAAACAACAATGACGACGACGACGACGACATCAAGAACTGGCTGTTCGAGGTGGTGTTCGACTATGGGGATCACGACGCCGAGAACCCCACCCCTGCAGAGCAGCAGGCTTGGGAGATGCGTGCGGCGCCCTATTCCACCTGCTGCAGTGGCTTTGAACTGCGCTACTATCGCCTGTGTCAGCGGGTGCTCATGTTTCATCATTTCCCGCGCGAGACGGGTCGTTCACACGCCCTCGTCGCCTCCACGCGCTTCCAGTACACCGAGTCCAACGGCGTGACTCTCATACAGTCTGTCATCACCACAGGGTCACTGCCAGCCACTGCCACCAGGAAGACAGGAGAGGGATACTACCATGAGTCTCTCCCCCCGGTTGAGTTTGAGTACACCCCTGCGCTGGAGGTTGATAGGGCGGCCGCGCTGGAGATCCAGGAGCTCCCCCGCGACACGCTACACCAGATGTCTTCCTCCGGGGTAGGATGGACTACGGAATGGGTTGATCTGGATGGCGAGGGTATGCCGGGAGTCCTGCTCATCATCGAAAATGGCGCTTGGTGGTACCAGCGGAACGAATTGCCCAAGACCCTGGCATCTTCGGACTGCTCCTATTCCTCCCTGGGGCCTCTTCGGCAACTGCACCTCCAGCCCCAGGGCGGCGGCGGCCAGCACTACCTGGAAGACCTGGAACACACCGGCCACATGGATGTGGTCTTCATGGATGCTATGGGTGTCCCGACGGGCTTCTTTGAACGTACGCCCGACGGCGAGTGGGCTGCCTTTCAGTCCATGACTTCGGTGCCTCAGCTGTCCCTGAGCGATCAGTCAACCAAACGCGTCGATCTTACCGGCAACGGACTCCCGGACTTGCTACACCAGGAGCCCACGGGGTGCCTGGTCTGGTACGAGTGTCTGGGCAAGGCTGGGTATGCCTCAGCGCGGCCCGTAGTCGTGGGGAAGTCTTCTTCTTCTACTCTGGATCATCCTCCATGCCTGGTCTCTCCGGATGCTGCTCGTATCGGCACCTACCTGGCGGATATGACAGGGGATGGGCTGTCAGATCTTGTCGAGGTACGCCAGGGCCGCGTTGTATACTGGCCGAACCACGTCCACGGCCAATTCGGCGCCCCCGTGCTCATGGGCCACAGTCCCATCTTCACCGAGCATGGGGAGTTCTCTCCGGCTCGCTTACGCCTGGCAGGTGTGTTTGGGTCCGGCACCACCGATCTGATCTACCTGCCACCCTCAGGGGGGATCCACGTCTACTTCAACGAGGCCGGGAACCGCTGGAGTGAGCGGATGGTGATTCCTCAAGTCCCCGCTCTGACCGATAGCGATATCGCCTCCGTCTTCATGTTGGATCTTCTGGGCTGTGGTACAACGAGCTGCCTTTGCTGGAACGATCGGGACAGAGGCACCCTGCGCTTTGTTAACCTCGCAGCGGGCGGCGGCGGCGGCGGCGGCACAAAACCGCATCTCATGGCTGAGTACCGCAACGGCATCGGCGCTACCACGGCCATCACCTACCAACCGTCTACGCACTACTACCTCGCCGATGAGGAGGCCGGCACCCCCTGGACTAGCCGGCTGTCCTTCCCCGTGCACTGCGTGTCGCGCGTCACCATGCACGACCACATCGCCCAGACGGCCCGCAGCAGCCGCTACGCCTATCACAACGGCCGCTACGACGGGGTCGAGCGCGAATTCCGCGGCTTTGGCGTCGTTGAGCACTGGGATGAAGAGCTTTTTGGTGGCACCGGGGATCAGACCACTGCTGCTGCTGCTGCTGCCACTTACCTGCGCCGATCACCGATTCATACCAAGCAATGGTATCACACCGGAGCGGCAAACGACACCGACAACAACAACCTGCACAACGCCTGGCACCGATCGCAGGGAGCCGCTGGGCATAAACTGCCTCCTAATCTAGCCCAGGAGGAGGAGCAGAAGCAGTACGAGGTCCATCGCGCTCTCAAGGGCCAAAAGCTCCGCGAGGAAGTGTACAGCGACGACGGCTCCCCACGCGCAGCTATACCGTACTGCGTTACCGAGTTCAGCCATCAGGTCATCTGCTGCAATGATAGCAGCCGTAGCAGCAGCACTGCAGCCGGGATAGGGATAGCCGGGACAGGGAAAGGGCCAGGCTGCTACCGCGTCGTGCCGCGCGAGTCCGTCAAGACGCTCTACGAGCGCGAGGAGGCCGGCACGCCACGGATCGAGCGGGAGATGGTCCTCCAGATTGACTCCTATGGGAATGTACTCAAATCACTCACCATCACACATGGTCGACCATCTGCTGCTGCTGCTGCTGAAGGCCAAGCGGTCTCCTGGGGCGTCTACATGGAGAACACAATGACCAACGACGTCAATGAGATCCATTGCTTCCAGGCGCCGCAGCTGGCGGCCACGCGCCGATACGCCGTGCGAGGACTTACCGATAGCCAGATCACTGATCTTGATGGCCTGGCGGCCGCCGACTGCGCTCTTCTCCGCACCATCGAGGAGGTCCCATACAACACCCCAAATACTACGGACGGGCTGTGCAAGAAGAGTCTGGTGCAGGAAACGCGGCAATACTTCTTTGATGGCCGCCTGTGCGATCGGCTGGATCTCGGGGTCATCGAAGCGTTTTCCATGCTCGACCAAAGCTACGAGTTGGCCTTGACGGGAGAGATTTTGCATACAAACTTCGTTTCGACCGGCCTGCTGGATATCAAGATGCTTCCCACTACGCTGGCCCAGGCAGGGTATGTGCGTCTCGACAACGATGACGATGATGACCGCGACGCAGCGGATGATGACCGCTGGTGGACCCCGTCAGAGCGAAAAGAGTTCGCGACAGACGAAAGTAACCGACGGTTAGAGCTCGCGCGACGCTCCTTCTACCTCCCCACGGTGGTCGTCGATGTCTTTGGCAACCGTACTACCCAGGTGCTGGATGCGTACTACCATCTTCCCGTCGAGATCATTGACGCGGAGGGCCATACGATTCGCTTCCGCAACGATTACTGGCACGTTCAGCCGTGCGAGATCACCGATATCAACGGCAATCGGCTGCAGGTTGCCCTAGATGCCTTTGGCTCCACCGTGGGGATGGCGCAGCTGGGCAAGACGCACGAGCAGCAGCTTGGCGACTCTCTTGAAGGGTTCGCTGCCATCGTGACGCCCGAGGAACTAGAGGCCTTTATTCAGAACCCGACCGGCGAGATCAGCACCCGCCTACTGGCCGGCGCCGGCCAGCGGACCCTCTACTATCCGGGCCGATACTATGATCATGCCGCACAAGATCGTGTCGTGCCCCCGTTCACAGCCGACATTTCCTGCGACACCTACGGCCGGGAACGCACCGCCAATGCGGCCCTCACGGTTGCCATCACCTACCTGGACGGCGCGGGGAAGCCACTACAGACGACGACGCTCTGCATCCAGGATCTTTCATCGGAGCAGTGGCGCATCAGCGAATGGACAATCCACGACAGCCGGGGCAACCCCGTGCGAATCTGCCAGCCCAGCTTCGCGGCAGACCATCACTTCCGATTTGAGGCAAATATCGACTCACCCAAGACGACTAAGCTGATGGATCCTCTGGACCGGGTGATCGGTGTGCTCAATGCAGATCACACCTGGTCCAAGGTCCGCCACACGCCGTGGGGGCAGGTTGCCTACGATGCTGGGGCCACGCTCCGGATCGACGACCCGGCCTTGGACGAGGACGCCGGGTCATTCTTCCGATGCCTGGAGCGTTCGGAGTACTTCCCTTCCTGGCTGCAACGGCATCCTGCACAACTCGAGGACCCCGATGTCATTCGGCAGTGTGACGTGTATGCGACCAAGCGAGCCATCACGCACCTCGATGCCCGTGGGCAGGTCATCCTGCAGGAAATGGAGCTCGGGGACGGGCAGGTGCTGCGCCTGCGCAGGGAGTATGACGGGGCAGGCCACGCAATTGTGCAGTACGACGCGGCGCAGCGGTTGGCCCAACGGGTCTGCTATGACATGCAGTCCCGCCCTATTTCGACCAAGATGCTAGACGCGGGCGACACGACGGTGTTGCTTGATTGTATGGGACAGCCGCTCCTGCGCTGGAACCAACTCTCCATCCGATTCCGGCATGTGTATGATTCCCTGCGCCGGGAACGAGAGATGTGGATGAAGGATGACCGCCGTGAAGATGAGGAGGTAAAGGAGGTGCTGCTGCACCGGATCACGTATGATTCACACCGTGGACCACAATCGGCCGCCCTCAATCGCAGAGGCAAGATATCCGTCATCGAGGATCAATCCGGGCGGCTGGAGTACACCCACTACGACTTTCGAGGCCAGTGTGTGAGGCAAGAGTGCCAGATGGCACAAGAATACCGAAACGCTCTGGACTGGAGACAGCCAGTCGCCTTGGAGCCACGGCGCTATGTCTCCCGCGCGACATTCGACGCCCTGGGCCGTGAGATCGAGGCGGTCGATCCCACGGGCTGCGTCACCACGCGCGCCTACGATCTGACTGGGAACCTACGGGCGCTTTCCGCACGCGCGGAGGGCCAGTCGGACCCAGTTCCCTTGGTCGTGGAGATGCGCTACAGCCCGGACAAACTGGTGCTTCACGTGCGGTACGGGAACGGGGTTCGATTGCATCAAAGGTATGACCGCGAGACGCGACGCATGCTGCAGAAGACTCTGCTGAGAGGGGGGGTCGCGTCGCAGGAGACGATCCAGGACGTCCAGTACAGATATGACTGTATGGGACGTTTGATCTGGAAGTCCGATGTCGCCCAGGCTTCCCACCACTTCCGCAACAGCCGGACTGACCCAACGTGGACATTCGCATACGACGCGCTGGGGCAGCTCGTCGAGGCCACGGGGCGAGAGCAGCTAAACGCTCGCAACGGCGGGGGGTTCCACCTGTTACCCCATCAGCCTCAGGGTCGTCCTTCTCCGACGGGGAAAATAGGGGAGACCTGCCAGTATCGCGAGCGCTACCGGTACGACAACGTGGGGAATATGCTGGCCATGCACCACGAGGCCGTGAATATGCCCTCAGTGGCGGGCTGGACGCGGCGATTCGAGTACGCCGAAGCGAGCAACCTGCAGCCGGGGGTTATGGGAAACCGACTGAGCTTCACCCGGACCGGACGCAACGTTGAGCGATACCAGTATGACTCGGATCGGGGATGCATGACCGGCATGGCCGGATACTCCGAGCTCACCTGGGACCACCTGGACCAACTGCGCAGCTCATCCCGGCAACAGGCGATGGCGGGCATCCCCGAACGAACGTGGTATGTGTATAACATGGCCGGCATCCGGGTGCGCAAAGTCACCGAGCGAGGGGTCTCCAGAGTCTCTGCAGAGACGACATCTCCGCAGAGACTGAAAGAGACTATCTTTGTGTCTGGGGTGGATATCTGCCGCAAGTATCGTGGCGACGGGCAAAAGGTGAGAGAAACGACACAGAATAACATCCTGGGGGATATGGGCACCCCTGTGGCCATCCTGGAGCATCTGAAGCATTTGAAGCAGGAGCAGCAGGAGCAGCAGGAGCAGCAGGAGCAGCAGGAGCAGCAGGAGCAGCAGGAGCAGCAGGAGCAGCAGGAGCAGCAGGAGCAGCAGGAGCAGCAGGAGCAGCAGGAGCAGCAGGAGCAGCAGGAGCAGCAGGAGCAGCAGGAGCAGCAGGAGCAGCAGGAGCAGCAGGAACAGCAGGAACAGCAGGGACCTCGGCAGGGGAGAGACTCACTCCTGATACGATACCAAAGCGGGGATAATCTGGAACTCGACGACGGTGGTCGCCTACTCTCGTACGAGGAATACACGCCCTTCGGGACCACGATCCTCTATATGGGTGTGGATCAGATCAAGGCACCACGAAGGTATCGCTTTGCCGCGTATGAGCGAGACCATGAGACCGGGCTATGCTACTGCCATCGGCGATACTACGCCCCCTGGCTGGGACGGTGGACGAGTGTCGATCCCCTGGGCACCGTGGACGGGCCCAACCTGTACCGCTACGTGGCCAATGATCCTGTCAACAAGCACGATCCGTCAGGGACAACAGGAAAAGAAGTAACAGAATTCAATTTCAAAAAACAGGTGAATGGGCTGGAAACCAAACATAGGACAGCAATGAAGCAAAGTCAAGAGGCACCCGAGCTCCGGAAGATAAGAAAAGAAAACACTGAAGCAGTGAAGATTGCAGCTGAAAAGGTGGAGGTGAATGAGCAGTTGGTGGCAGCGAAGAAGAAGGAAATGCGGGATAAATCCCGTAAGCTGCTCAGGGGCCATCAACATCATATGCTGATGCGGATGTACCAGCCTTACTGGTTCGCAGCGGGGATTGACCGCGATAAATTCTGCGCCCATCTCACCCAAAGAACCCACAATTCGATTGGAATAGGACAGGATAAGACCTGGCATAGATTCTGGCGAAAGGAGGCCAACGAACTCATCCGGACGACCGATGGTGTCACTGCTGACAATGTGGGCGAAAAGCTCTACGAGCACATTCTCAAGAATTCAGAGACGTATCGGGGCAAAATCGCCGAGGCACTAGGCAAGGGTATCCAGGAAGTAGGGACAAGTATCGCGGCCTTGGGTCCGGTCACGAATCCCTACGGAGACACCGATCCTGAAGAGGCGTTCAGCATCAACGCCGGCTTCGAGGTCTCTTTCAGCCCGCAAGAGCTTTCCGTGATCAAGCAGGATGAGTTCAGCCGTGGACGTCAGGAGGCTCACAACAATACTCTGATGCAATTGACTGCCATGCTTCAGCAGATGGGAAATGGGCAGCAGTCTATCTCCCTGCGAGTTGGGTCGATGACGCTCACAGCCCTTGTGCAGGTGAACAGTATCACCTATGACAGGTAAAGGTTAATGGTTTATTACTTTCCTCATAATGAATATTCTATTATTTATACCCAAGGCTTAGCCCTGTAACCGGTGTATCCAGGTCTGCCAGAAGAGTACCGTAGACATTCCGAGCCTCAGGCAGACTCAGGCAGAATTGATTCCTGAGGCATACTCAGGCATAAACTATTGCCTCAGGCAGGATTCTTGGGCAGATTTCTCAGGCATCTCAGGCATCTAAGGCATCTATACATATATGACGTTCGACGGTCGGAGAGAATAGGATCTGCACTGCAGGACCAGGTGGTGATCTGTACTCCGGGATCTGTATTCCGAAAAGAAGCACTGAATAATCAGATAACGCAGCTTATCTCAGCAACTGGTCGAGAAACCAGAAGATCCTGAGGCAAAGAAGAAGAAGAAGCCAGAAACCAGGCGTGGTGGGGGCCTGCAGCGGGGCAATTCCACAGTCTCGGGCGGTCTTCTTGATAATACAGCAGAGAGTCGGAGGCGGCGATTCTGGGAAGTTCTTAATAATATTGATTAAATGAGGTCTTCTCTCGCCAATGGGAAGCTTCTTCGGCATCTTGCTGTATCGGATCACCTTATTCTTGCCAGTGTTTCCAGTCTTTCCAGCGTTTCCAGCGTTTCCACTCCTCCAGGGCGGGTTCCCGATAGCGAATCTTTCCACCCTATATTAGACGCCCGCCCCTCTTCCCTCCTCTTCCTTCTGTTTCTTACCTCCCATCTTCCATCTTCACCTTCATCTCCATCTCCATCTTCATCTCCATCTTCATCTCATCTTCATCTTCATCTTCCATCCTTCAATCTTTCTCCATCACAATGTCTGGCCTCAAGTCTGGTGACAGCTTCCCTGCTGACGTCGTCTTCTCGTAAGTGGACTCTCTCTCTCTCTCTCTCCCCCCCCCCATCTGGCAAGAGTTTCGTTTTAATGGTTTTTTCTAGCTACATCCCTTGGTCGGAGGAGTCTGGCGAGATCACTTCCTGCGGTATCCCCATCAACTACTACGCCTCCAAGGATTGGGCCAACAAGAAGGTCATCCTCTTCGCTCTTCCGGGTACGTTCTCCAACAGCTCCCCCCCCCCCCCCCCCGGGGACCTTCTTTCCGAGACTGTTGCTAAACTCGCTCGAATAGGTGCCTTCACCCCCGTCTGCTCTGCCAGACACGTCCCCGAGTACATTGAGAAGCTCCCCGAGATCCGCGCCAAGGGTGTCGATGTTGTTGCCGTCCTGGCCTACAACGATGCCTACGTGATGAGCGCCTGGGGCAAGGCCAACAACGTCACCGGCGATGACATTGTGAGTTTCTTCTGGGAATATGCTTGTTGGAATCTTGGAAATACCCATTGGAACGCATGCTGATCTCTTTTCTTCCAGCTTTTCCTCTCCGACCCCGAGGCCAAGTTCTCCAAGAGCATCGGCTGGGCTGATGAGGAGGGCCGCACTCGCCGCTACGTCATCGTCCTCGACCACGGCAAGGTCACCTACGCTGCTCTTGAGCGCGAGAAGAACGTCCTCGAGGTCTCCGATGCCAACACCGTCCTCAAGAACCTGTAATTTTTCCTCCTCTTTTCTGAGGGCTCTCAGTGGACACCCTCCAACCCCCCCCCCCGATAGATTTCACATGCTGTCAGATAGAAAGATAACGACCGGCGCTGGAAAATCATAGAATAGATTTTCTTAGCATAGAGAATAACTCATGACGCTATGACTGAAGCATTCTTAGTATTGTCAAAATGGGTAGTTAATAGTAGCTCATCTACCTGCGAGAAGTACTCTGTAGTAATAATAAATACTAAACAGTATAATACTAAACAGTAACCTATATAAAGAATTTACTATTCGTTATATGAATGCAAAGCGTTAAAAGTATCTTCCTGCCAAGCATGACGCGCTCCGCTATCGATAATCGCCTACAATTTATTTTCTGGACTCCGGACCACGACAAAGCTCAACCACCCACACGGCCGTCATGGCCTTCAATCCCTCTTCTTCCAGGCGTCAACCCGGCCAGCAGGCCTCAGCCTCCGCCTCCGCCTCTGCGGCCGCTCGCAAACGGGCCAAAACACAAGATGCACGCTCGCTTGCCGTGCAGGCCGCCGACGCCGCCCTCTCTGCGACAGGCGAGCTCGACGTGGCGGCGTTTATCGCCGCTCGTGAGTTCGAGATCCGCGCCCTGGAGAAGGGTATGAAGCGATCCCGAGAGGCGCTGACCAGCCGTGCGTTCCAGAAGGTGCCTAGATGTCTGCGTCGGAGGACAGCGAGCCATAATGTCAAGCGGGTTCCTCGTCGGTTGAGAGCGCGCGCAAAGAGAGAGGTAGAAACAAAAATCATCATGCTGTTCTACTGTCCTTTTTTCGCTATTCGTTCTAACGAATTAGATGATTGAAGATAATACACCGACGGTGACTGCCCGACGACGCAAACCAAGTCAACGGATGCGGATCCGACTGGAGACAGCCCGCCGTCTCCAGGGATTGAACGCGAAGACGAAACTGCGCCGGGCGGCGTTCAAAGCGAAGCAAAAGAAACAGCAAAAGAAAGAAGACGAAGGAGGAAGTCATGACTATGAGATTGCCCCCCGCATACCCAAGATCAAAAAGAATAAGCTCTCTCGCCCGAACCCACCGGAGTCGACGCAGTTCAGCAAACGGCAGAAGAACAAGACCTGGTTACCCACCCATATGTTCCATGCGAAACGGGCGCAGATGACTCCCTCCGGGCAACCGCTGTGGAGGTTCGCGCTGCCGCTGTCCCCGACGGAGAAGAGTTACCGACCTTCGCACCGGGCGAGGGGCGCTCGTGGCGCCATCGCCTGGGATGTGAGTTATATGTCTACGATCCAACTGGAGGGGAGTCGAGGCGCGTTGGAGAATGTGCTCCGTGTGATGGGCGTCGAGGGGGAAGATGCTTGGGGAGTTGGCAGTTCACGGGGGAAGAAATGGCGAGCTGGGACCAGAACGCTGCAGACTTGGCTGTTGGAGCGGGAGGGTGTGAGGAGACCCATCGCCCCGGTGACTTTGATCTGGTGTGGTTCAAGGAAGGAGGATGTCGATGTCGAGATGGTCGATGTGGATAATGCTGCTGCTGCTGCTGCTGCTGCTAACAAGTGCAGGGTGTGGATAAGAATCCATCCGTCTGCATTTCTACAACTGTGGAAGGATCTACTGGAGGTCTCGAAGCGACAGAACCCCCCCGTCATGGTGGAAGATCTCCGCTATGAAATCGGGAGTATCGACATCACAGGTCCTGGATCGACAGAAGCCTTGATCTCGACGTTACAGCCGGTGCTAGACCCTGCAGGCGATGACTCCCCGCAATCCACCTGGAAATCGCTGGCAGCAGTTACGAATCCCTCCTCGCTACCGCTGAACGCGCTTCTCGCGTTTTCAGCGACGGACCCGCGCCTCCGGTTCCCACCCAAGACCGTCAAACCGCGCACCTCCGAAGCAGACATGAGCGAGCTTGCGGTCCGGCTCGCCGACTGGGCTCCAGACCACACGCAGGGCCCTGCTGCTCTCTTCGACCGCCCGGCTCGGCTTGCTGCCGCTCGTCGCATGCCCAGCCAGAAGGCCATCAATCGACGGCGCACTCTTGCCGGGCCGGGCGTCTACCCCGCGCCGCAAGCTACCGATCCCCAGATCCCAATCATTGCCTTTACGTCTCGGCCTAGAGTTCCCAGCAGCAACACTCCAGGGACATGGACAATCCTGCTGCCGTGGAAATGTGTCACCGCGGTGTGGTACTCGTTAATGTTCTATCCGTTATCCAGCGGGGGGGTTCCGCGCTTCGGCGGCATCAAGGAACAGCAACAACTCGCCTTTGAAGCCGGCGAGGCGTGGTTCCCCGGCGATTTCCCGGGCACCCGAGCCGGGTGGGAATGGGGCCTCCAGGAGCGGGAGACGTCGAAACAAGCCTGGGAGCGCAAACCGAAGGGGCGAAGACCCGAATTCGACAGTCTCGATTTGGGAAATGGGCAGAGGGGGGAGCTTGGTCGTGGCTGGGCTTGTGATTGGGAGGTGTTGACAGAGGAGGATCATAAAGAGGAGAAAGGTAATCACGAAGAGAAGGATCTCAAAGAACCTCTTTCAAACATCTACCAGCTCAGTCCGGCGGTTGCGAATCTCGCCCTCCATCCTCGTCGAGGCGGGCCAACGGTCCAGAATCTCCATCTCCATTTTACAGATGGATTGGCGCTCGCCACTGTCCGGATATCTCTTTACGGCCGCGGGACGCCTACGCCCCATGCACGAATTTACCGACTTCCCTCGGATGAATCGCGCCAGAAGTGGCTTCGTCTGTTGAATCTGAAGCACGACGGGAAAGATAACGACGACGACGACGACGACGACGACGACGATGGTGGTGATGGTCTCCCCCTTCCCACGGGAGAAGACCTGATCGGCTTCGTCACGACGGGGAACTATAATCTTTCGGAAGGGGCAGGGACGGGGATCGGCTCGATCAGCGTAGGAAAGGTTTGCAAGTCCAAAGACAGGTCGCAGAGGAAGATGTGTATTATTCGAGCGGCGGGGGAACGGGTCGGTCGACTTGGGTATTGGGAGGTTGCATGACTACATCAACTACATAAAAGACTAGAGGTAGAGTAGTACAGAATAAGATCAATACAATACATATCAAACTCTTTCCAAGCAGTTGTCTATTATCCCACCACACGGTCGACAAAAGCCTCTTCCAAACGAGAAACCTCGCGCTTAAAGTCCTCGACCTCCTTCCAGCAATCGAGGGGCCGTCTGTCATGCAGACGGAGACAGGAGACGACCTGGTTCTTGGCGCGGGCGACCCCTTCATCCAGCTCGGTGAGTTTTCTGCGGCCCTCGAGCTTGGAGCGCAACTGGTCGATCTCGCTCATCACCGAGTCGCGCGAGATGTCACGGTTGACGATGGGCGTCGAGGCAGGTTCGGCAGTGGGTTGTTCGGCGGAGAAGAAGGATGAAGAAGGGGTGGAGTCCCTGCCTGCGAAGGGTATGCGGGGGGCATCTAAATCGAGAGAACCGGCCGGGTAGCTTGTAGTTGAAGAAGAAGTAGTCGACGAAGGAGAAGAAGAGGAGGAAGGTGCCTTGGTATCCTTGGCCTCTGCGATCCGCTTCTCGATCTCGGCGAGGGTCTGTTGTTCGCGTGCACGCAGGCGTTCGAGTTCCTGGGCTACACGGGCTTGAATCTGGAGCTCGATCGACTTGGCGCGGGACGAGTCGGTCTGTAAATAAGTTTTTTTTTTTGGACTTTATTTATATCTTTTATGAATTCGGGGCATTGTGCATACCTCGGTGCTGGCCTGGAGGTTGTCGACGAGACCGGCGGAGAATTGGATGGGCGAGGAACTGCAGAGATATCAGTATCTCATCATATATTCAATCAAGATGGTATATATATATCAGTGAGCAATCGTAACTTGTCGTACCTCGAGAAAACGTGCGAGCCCGCCGTCTCTTGGGTCTTGGAGCTACCGGCGCCCATTGTGTCTCTGCTCACGCTCTGCTGATGTGCTGAGTGGTTCCCGCGGATGATGCTCTGGTCCTGCAGTGACAAGACGCTCCGACTCGACCGTTCTGCGCGGGTGGTGAATGAACTCGTGGAATCCCAGTGCGTCGATATCCGGGCCTGAGAAGCCGGGATCACATTGACAATTGCGATGGTCACGTGTGGATAGCTTAGTCATGGAATAATGTACACAATCTATGCAGCACACTGTACAAGACACAGTATGGCGCACACTGTTAGAGGTAAGGTAACTAACTAACTAAGTTAACTAGTTACTTAGTACAGTACATTGTAGGTACTCCGTACGGAGTATAAAGTATTAAGAGAATACCACAATTATAGAGACTATATAATAATAGAATAATCAATACCTCTCGTATCTTCAGCTTGACCGCCACTAGCCATCCATACTAAGCAACGGGCAGATGGCGGGCATTCAAAAGACCTCCGATCTCCAATCTCCGGCTCTCTGCAGCATTCATTCAATCTGAGCATCTGGTGATTCGTGCATGTTCCGTCTGTCGGTTCCAGGTTCCTTTTTACTCTGTCTATCTTACCGGGAGAGGCGGTATTACCATTGGTAGTCACCATTAGTTACCTATTAGTTAGTAGGTACCTCCTACCTAAGGTACTCCGTACCTGTTACTAGGTAACTACCTGTTCCCTGCTCCAGACGGTTCAATAGTCAAGACTGACAATAGAGTCTTATTGTCTACCTACTCTTACTAGGTAGGTATTAGGATATACCACAATTTTACCAGTAAGTAATGCTCGGTATTCTTCAATCCTGGACTAGCCATTGTCACTCACCGGAACCCACCAATTTCATGGTGTCATGACAATGAATGGCCTGACAAAACAGAAGATCTCAGGTAACTAGCTGTTGACTGACTCGAAACAGGTTTGACGTACTCCGTATGGTCCGGGTCTGGAGAACGGGGGAGAAGAAGAAGAAAGACAGAGAATGCGATGGTTGTACCTGACGTCCTCCGTAAGAAGAATCACCCGCTGCAGACGGCGAACAGACCCTGGTCGGTCTCCCTCCTCTTCGCTGCTCTTCTGGCCGTCATCTTGAGCCACTTTCTGCGGCCGACAACGTTGTTGTCCTTCTGTTCCTTCTGTTCCTTCTGTTCCTGCTGGTCTCCTGGTCCCGGTGAAGATAAACCACTCGTTGTGGCCCGCCCGTCCAGCGCTGACCTCATCGTCCACCCCTCCTCGTCATTGTCATCTCCAGACCTCCTGCAACCCCACCAGCTTCTTCTTTATCATTCGCCTTCCTGCCTGCTTCGTGGCTCGTGCTCCGCTTCTGTCTCTCTTTCCTCCTCCTCTTCTTCTTCTTCTTCTATTCTGCTAAACGACGACTTCCCTTCCTCTCGCCATCCTCCCTCGTCGCGCTTCTGTCCCAACCCACACCCCGCTTCCCGTCTTCCCTCTGTCCTCCTCACCACCATGTCGTCCTCCTCCTCCTCCTCTCCTGTGGTGGAAGAAGCCAAGCGTATCGCGCGAGAGTTCGATTACCCCGCCGAGCGCGTGCAAGTGGGTGTCAAGGAGTACATCCGTCAGATGAATGAAGGTCTGGCCGCAGAACACACGACTTTGAGCCAGATCCCGAGTTTTGTGACGGCAGTTCCGAATGGCACCGAAAAGGTTTTTCCTTTTTTTTTCCCTTTTTTTTCCGTTTTTTCTATCACTCTCTCTCTCTCTCTCTCTCTCTCCTTTTCTAACTCGTTAGGGCCTCTACTTGGCTGTAGACCTGGGTGGTACCAACTTCCGCGTGTGCTCGGTTGATCTCCATGGCGATAGCACATTCTCCCTCACGCAGTCGAAGATCATGATTCCCCGCGAACTCATGGCGTCGGGCACCGCCAAGGATCTCTTCGTCTTCCTGGCCCGTCAGATCGAGGCCTTTCTTCGCATCCACCACAACGACCATTTCGAGGCACACATCCGACGGAGGAGCCTGGGGCAGACGGAGCAGGAGCTGTTCGACTTGGGCTTCACCTTCAGCTTCCCCGTTCGCCAGATGGGCATCAACAAGGGAACTCTGATTCGCTGGACGAAAGGCTTCAACATCCCCGATGCCGTCGGCCAGGACGTGTGTGCGCTGCTGCAGTCGGCCATCGACGAACTCGGCCTGCCCGTGCGCGTCGCGGCTCTGGTCAACGACACCGTCGGCACCCTCATGGCCCGCTCCTACACCTCTCCCGGCAAGACCGGCACCCTGATCGGCGCCATCTTCGGCACCGGCACCAACGGCGCCTATGTCGAGCGACTCGACAAGATCACCAAGCTCGAGCAGTTCCCCGACGCCCACTACGACAGGTCCACCAGCGAGATGGTCATCAATGCCGAGTGGGGCAGTTTCGACAACCAGATGAACGTCTTGCCCACCACCCTCTACGATGACGCTCTCGACGCCGACAGCAACAACCCGGGCATCCAGATGTTCGAGAAGCGCGTCTCGGGCATGTTCCTCGGCGAGATCCTGCGCCGCGCCCTCGTCGCCATGCACAGAGACCCCGCCGTCGGTCTGCTCAAGGCCGCCGGCCGCTCCAAGGTCGTCGTCCCCCAAGACTCCGCCCTCTACAAGCAGTGGGGCATCGATACCAGCTTCCTCAGCTTGGTCGAAGCAGACAACACCCCCGGTCTGGTGGAGGTCAAGGTCGCCCTCAAGGACCACCTCCGTGTCGATGACCCCAGCTACGAAGACTCCCAGGCCGTCAAACTGCTCGTCCACGCCATCGGCAAGCGCGCCGCTCGCCTCAGCGCCGTCCCCCTGGCCGCCATCCTCCACCACACCGGCAAACTGCAAACCGAAGATCTGGTCGACATCGGCGTCGACGGCAGCCTGGTCGAATTCTACCCCAACTTCGAGGGCTATATCCGCGAAGCCCTTCGCCAAGTCCCCGAGATCGGTCCCGAGGGTGAGAAGAAGGTTCGCATCGGCATTTCCAAGGATGGCAGTGGTGTCGGCGCAGCCCTGATTGCCCTCGTTGCCAAACAGGAGGACCACCACGTCCAGCATCAATAAATGAAAAAAAAAAAAAAAAAAAAAAAA